AAGTGAGGAAATGTATACTTGCTCTGCTGTGTCTACTACTGGTGCATCAGTCGGTGGAGGCTACAAAGTACATAAATAATGTGTGATTAACACGTTATTCATCCTAATAATAATAAGTGGGGTGGGGGGGAGGTGGAACAGGAGTCTGGGAGAATAGGGGCTGGGTAGGGTGAGGGATGCAGGAGGGGAAAAGAGTAAGAGGTGGGAGCTCTAAAAGGGTAGGAAGCAGGAGAAATACATGTAGGGGGAAATTATGTAACAATGCTTGATATTTTGCAATTGAAAACGGGCTACAGGGAGGAAGCTAACAAAAAAAGGGTCAGGGGTACAAGGGGTGGGAGATTTGGACTTCCATTTCCCCCCTATAAATGCAATTGCAAAAATACTAGCAATTGGATACAGTCGAAGATCTCTTAAGTTTTTCCCTCTTAGGTCAAATTATGACCGGACAATATTATTAGTCACTATAACTTCACTTTTAACTCAAAATCTTATGATCCTATGATGTTACCATTCAAATGAAACCTCTCTTGGCAGACCGTTTGCATGGTTCCCTTTATTTCTTAGGACTTTTCAGAAAGATAGCTTTCTTTGCTTTTAGGGGACCGTAGCTTTATAGAGGAAAAAACTAACTCAATGCATGAGCAAAATGATGACTTTATAGAAAAAAACATGAATCTGTTTCAGCTATTTTCTTTATTAGTCTTGCTTGAATCTACGGTAAATTGCCTACAATCCAAAAAATTACAAAGAAATGTTCCGATTGCGAAATTCATGGTTCGTGGCCAAAAGATGCGATCAGAAATGACCAGTAATAAATATTGCACTTCATTCCTTCTTTGTTGTCGAACGTACAACATTATATTTTTTTGTCGTTTTAAACCCGTCATTTAGCTCGCACACTTACTTGTTTTCCTCTTTAGAGCAAAGGTCAACTAAAAGTAATGAAAGCCAGAAAGATGTTCAGAAAGTTTTTTGTTTGTGTGTTTCCTTTATCGTTGGCCACAGCTGGGAGTGACAGGGTTACTGGACACCCCTATTAGACAGTCACCTAGAGTTTGCGCCACCCATTTTCTTTGACCCCCTATGACTATAAGGCAAACACCTCCCTAAAACAGACACCTCTGGTCAATCCCAAGCATCTGCCATGAAGAGAATTCCCCTACGCTTACCCTAACAACTACAGCACATTGTTATTAAAACTATACACTTTGTGGTGTTCAAAAATCCGTAAGATTTGAGTTATATTTTACCAGTTGAAGGTTCATTATGTTATCCAGTTTTTGTAGGAGCACCAAGAAGCTAAACAATATGACTTTCATAAAAACCTGAAGCGTTGTAAGACCTTTGAATAATAGCATTTCTGATATTTTCACTCAATTCAAACTTTCACTACTGAAGCCAATTTTCGATAATAATGCACCTGGATATGTCGAAATTTCAAGACTATTTCAACAAATTTTTCAGCAGAGAGATGAAAAGTCTCGCATGAAACGCGACATCCAAAATGATGGTGGTAACAAAGAAAACTTAAGCTTAAATTATTTGGGGGCGAAATACATGCCACGTAGAGAACTACGACAATACTTTTACTTACTTGTCCAACTCCAGGTATACCACCAGATCCTAAACGTAAAATCCTGTCCATTTTCAGGTCGAATCCTAAAATTTTCTTTCGTCACGCCGGAATGACAGTGCACTGTAAAGATGGCGGATGAACTCTTTAGGTAGCTACGTTGTGTATGGAACAACAAAGTGTGCTACAATAAAGTGTTCCGCTGACATCCTTATTCCGTTGGCTCTCAGCAGGTCTGTTCAGCAGATATTTCAGGTTGTTTGAATGTAAAGAACTGTCTTGGAACACTGTTTAAAAGGGACTCATAAACAACGCAGACAGAAAGTTCTCTTCAGTGCAAACAGTATCAAGACGACTCTTCCAAAGCTTCTGCCCCGACAGGACGAGCATCGTGACTGTTTAGTGCGTGACTCAAGGTGTCACAAAATGCCCACAGAAATCTGGCACTAGCGCGATAATTTAAGCGCGTTGCAGCTCGTTTGTCTTTCTCGCTTAGCTTTGAACTTCTGCAGTTCCACTAAAGTTCGGTAAGTAATGTTTTCGTTCACGTTGTAGTGTTTTAGAGTTTTTATTCCCAGTTTGATAAAGCAGAAGTTACTTATTTAACCACCGAAATTTTATACCAGTATCTATAAACGAAACTCGAAAATGATTCCTGGCGCAAATATCCGTCACTCATCGATCCTTCGGCAACCTCTCACTGTACAGAGTACTGTACGGCCGCTCTTTGTCGAGCGCAAAACGTTTCGTTGAAACTTCTTCACGTTCTGGGAAGTATTTACACAAATCTGATGTGGTATTAAATGAAAAAACCAAATGAGAGCTTGAAACGAACTGCGCATTAAATTATTTATGTCGTTCATATCATTTGACCCTTCATGCTCTCATCGATTTTGGTATTTTTTCTTGACATTCAGTGGGTGTCAAGCACTGAAGCCTGCCATAGAATGTTCTTTCTGGGAAACTCTTTCTATCCTGCCATGCTCTTGTCTATAACGAAAGTCGTTTTGTTTTTATGCTCTCTTGACTTTTAGTTAATTTCAGGTACACCAACTGTACCAGAAAATTAACTTTCTATAAAAACGCGGTATAAGTAATATCTATCTATCTAGCCTACCAGTTTTTTGCCTCCATCACAATAATTGACGATTCTTGCAAATTAATAAGTGAAACTTAAATCGATAATGCTTTCAAAGGAGCGGGTCGGCATAATGAATAAGCTTGTCCTGTATGGGAGCACTTCCGAAGTGGACCTGAATAAAAAGATACTGGATCTGGGCAGTGCTCGGTGAAATAAGTACACAACGCCTGAGCTAAATTGAAGCCAATAAGTAAAACTATAGACAGTGTTCTTACCAGGATTTCGTACACTGGGGTCCACAGGACCCATAGAGAAGCTAAAGGGGGGTCACGAGGGAGAAAAGCGGGTCACAATTTTTAGATACAGTTAACTGAATGTTTTCACAGGTCTGAGCCGTAGGTAATGATGGGTGGTTTCAAAAGACACCATAGCCAATTAAATTTTGGCTTATATTGTAAGGAAATGTACTTATGTGTACATCTGTTTACATACATTTTGTAATAGGTTTTTGTCCTTCTTTGCGCCCTTGGGACCCCTTGGTTAATATTATTATAGTGCAGCATTTCCCGAAAGAGTGCGGCTGGTAAGAACACTGTGTTCAAAGCCATACACACCATGGAGAACACAAAAGTACAAGTTAGAAGTGGGGTAGAGAAAGAGTAAAAACGGAACTTTGAAATGACTTTGTACTGTCAGCCACTTGTCTAGTGGTATTAAGGTTAACGATCAGAGCACCACAGAGTGCTATCTGATGGAGTGACCCGTCTGTCTAGCAGGTTTTATTTACGAGTACCTGTAGTCCAATGGGCAAGCAACATTTGTTGTTGAAATTTGGGGTTGGCAGACCTGCATGGCTGCTCCAGGCTCATAAACTTCAGCAGCTGCTTGCCCGAAGCGATTTTCTTATTTTTCACCTCATGCCCTGACAATCATAGGAATCATAGGAAATTATTCTTTTAAATCTATCTTTGATCCTTTTTGGTAATTTCCTTACAAAGTTATTGGTAAAGAGTTTCTCTCCTTATATTACTGTCAGTGATAGCTGAGCTTTTTTCTGTCGGTGGTAACAAATAGGAGTCATTGTCATGGAAACCATCCCTAGGAAGAAACTTGACTCCAGAGCAAATGGAGTGTACAGTTCTTGGTTTTGTTAATATGTGTTCTTTAGGTTTGTTAATCAAGGCACAAAGCATAGGTTCAGTATTGTTTATTCCTTTTTTTGAAAGTTCTTGTCTCAGACTTGCTCATTCAGAGGCAATGATCATTAGAGACTGCAAAAGAATGATGACATTGTGAATAATCACTGTGATTAAAAGAAACAAAACTTTCCAATTCTTTTTTTTACTAGACTGATGATCTGAAGATCTAAGATGTGATGCACAGATAAGATCAATCGATGATTACCACTCTCAGTTCAGAAGGCCAAACACTGTTTGACAACAAAGGATGGTGATAATTTGTAAGAGGAGTTAGTATTTACCATGGAGGGTAGAACAAAGTGGCATTCCCCAAGGACAGTGAAGCGAAAAAACTTTTTTGGTGATGATAATTCATCTCATGAGATAAAAGAGGAACGTTTCAGAGCTTGTGAGAAAGCTGGCTGTCCAGCAAAAAAGCCAACATGTTGTGCCAGGCTTGATAAAACGTAAGTCATGTAAGCTAACATTGGTATGATGTGAGGCACAGTGTACAAGACAAAAAATTAATGGCCTATTTAAACTAAAGAATGATCCATAAAAGGATGATGTAGAATGTCTTGTTTATTGTATAAAGTTTTTTCTTTAACACCATGAACTTACACTGTTTGTAGAATTCATAGAGTAGTACATGTACATGTATGTTCTGTTTTGTAGCTTTATCTTTACTTTCCATTATTTTACGCACTGTACTAGATGCTCTGGTGCTGGCTACACATCAAGATGGTACCACATGTCAGATGGAGAACACTTTTGCAATGCTTGTTTTGATCACATGTATCGCAGGTATGTCAGTTTGAATATTTAATAATCACCCTAATTTGTGCATTGTTACAAAAAGAGATTAGCCCATGAAGAATTGGTTTGTACATGTATACTCTTTTATTCAAATGTACTTGTGTAACTACTGGGTAACCCTCTAGGGAAAAAAGTATAACTGTTATGTAATCCTGAAACGGAAAATTTTGACCAAGTTTCACTTTACGATTGTCGATGGATTGAAATGAATAAAACCATACATGTATTTGAAGTAACAGAGGTGTGATGGATTAAATACTTCTCAGGTCATTAAAGTTTTTACTATATGATGTTGTACAGCTGTAGCTATGCACATAACATTCCAGTGTGCATATAAATATTAGTTGGTTAGATCATAAACACAAGCCAAAACTTTGCCTGTAAATAAATACACTGTACATTTTTTAATCCTTGATAAAAAATGCAGGGATTATATCACTAAGATCTCAAGTTCTCAGGTAAATACAACATAGTAGGCGGGGAATCAGACAGCTAGGGATTTCTTTTGGTTCTATTTTTCTTCTATTTTCTTATGAAAGTAGCCGGAAGCCCCATTCACAGTAGCTGGGGAAAAACCCTGGCCTCTGCCTCTTAATGACAGCCTTGAAAACATCAAATAAGATCTGATGATGTTTAAATGTAACATACATGTTCCAAATTGCTTCTGTTTATCTCTTTTCTTTGCTACTTAACATTTTACTTTGTCAAAAATGTCATATTCAATCTTTCTTTTCATCTTTCTGGTCGTGCTTGTGCATTGGATAATTTCCTACGTGTGTTTCAGTTTTGCCTCATGTGCTTTTGGATTGACAATGTTATGATTATTAATAAATTAAAATGAAAATAATGATCTCTGTGTTAAGTTGCAAGGGCGGTTATGAAGCCTACACAAAATGGAAATATGATTGGACCATTCATTCTGGACAGAAGGAAGCAAGCATCAAGGTGTACGTTTCAGAAATGATTATGCCTTTTTGGGTTCAGTGCACACTGTGTTTAAAATGGAGAGAATTCCCAGCAAAGGACCTTACACCAGCTGTGATCAAATCCTGGAAATGCTCAGCACCAAGTTGCATCATCACAAGTAACAATAAGGTGAAATGTAAATACAGCATAATTAATCTTTGTCTGAGTGCACACAGGTGTGCTCTTTTAGAGCTTAAATCCCTGTCAGATTTAGACACTTAATGTTGCATTTTTTAACCCATCCACTTCTGAATCTCCCATAATTAACTGCCTGTGGGGATCCACGTCCCTTTTAATTACTGCTTGTGATGCCATCAGTTTTGAATAAAAATGTCGACATGTGTAAACTTTGTTTCAAATGTAATAATTACGTTAATTTTTCTTATAAATATGTTGTGTTAATAGGAGAAAAAGAAATTAATCAGCCCTTGTGATCTTGAGGAGGATGAGGTATTAATCAGTATTTTTGTATTTTATTTAGCATACCTTTCATTGACCAAAAATGAGGTCAAGATGAATGAATTTTGAATGATTGTAGTAGTATATTGTATAGTACATGTACTGCATGGAAGTACATAACTGTATAAATGAGTGTATATTAAAGCATGTAGTGAAAAGAGTGTGTTTCATTGTGTTTCTGTTGATAGAATTTAAACGGACCCAGAAACTTATATCTTTATATAATATATTCTATAAATGTCTAGGTAGGTTTAAAGTGAGATCTTTACTTCTGGGGTGTGTATGCAATCATCAGACTTAAAATATACAATAATGATATTATTTCAAACAGTTTTGTAGTATCAAACAGTTGAAAGTAAACATGAAATTTAATGTTTGTGTCATTGTCAGTGTAGCTAATATTACTAATGTCATTGTTACCTTACATTATGTTTTTTGTCTTATAAGAGAGTTTCTGCAGTGAACGGTGCTGAATGGTTACAGAGTTTGACGGAGCCACCTCTTCTTCAGTACAGCCCAGCGGCGCAATTCCTTAATTCTTATTTTCCTGATGGTGTTGGCCTTAGTCCTACATTAAATGATTGGAAACAAGATGTTGAAGACTCAACAGGTACAATATTGTTTAAGAGAAAAAAGTTAGGCCATGGGTTCAAATCTTGTTGAAGTCCGAAATGTTTTTTTGGGGGGGTTAATTTGCAATATTGCTTAAATTGCAATTACCACTGCAACAATCATATCTTTTTTGAAGAAGTTCTGTTGTTGAATACTCAAGTGACATTAAAATTTCTGCATTGATTAAACATGATAATGTTTCAACCCAGGATATGTGAGACTGTTTCACCACCCAGAAAACACTGAAACAGCACTTACCTTCCGCCCTGACATTATGGAATCAGAAGAGAAAGAAGCTTTCCCAGAATTTCTCAGGTAGTTTACATCAACTCTATCAAAATAACGCTTATTTTAATTTCTACTTTGAATCACAAGTCATCCATGACATGTTGAAATTAACTTGTTACTATATCCTTAGACAACCCATGCTGTATCTTGCACTGAGAAATCTCATTATATCATTATGGATGAAAAATCACAAGGTAAATAATGACCAAATGATGTTTATGTTGCAGTTAATTTTTTATCTTGGGTAATTTTTATTTTCTTTTGTTTTTGGGTATGTTAATGTATGCTAATGGGGTTGAAACAAAAGAAAAATAAAATCTGCCTGAGATAAAAAATTAACTATGTACAACATTTATATTTTTTATAAGGAGCTGCATGTGTCCAGGAATTTGCATTAAGCCAAATTAATTCAGAAACCATATTAAAAAAAAAAATAGCCACAACTTAAAACAGGGGTTGAGGAACACTAGTCTTAAACTACAGTGTAACGCATGAAAAGCCTATGAATAAATAAAAATAAAACAGGCAGGGTTGGAAAAAAGGTAAGGGTGATTAAAACAGATTACAATATTACATTGGGGGTTTTGAAAACTGTTTAGTTTACAATATGGTATTTGTTATTTTATTTCAATTATGGACAAAAAATTGCCGGCGACAAGAAGAGCCTTCAATCATAATCTCCGGGTTGCTTTTATGCATGCATGACACATATATAGCCAGCTTCTTTTAACAGCTTCATTTGGACTCCCACTAAGAATGAATGGAATGCACTGAACGCAATCTGATCTGACGCGTGTTTAGATGTTCTATATCTTGTAATTTAATTGCACAGGTTTTGACCTTCTATCACGTAACGCACCTATCAATGTAAAGCCTGGGGGAGGCACGACATGGGGTGGGGGTTGGCCCTGGGGTACCAGTGGGGCATTTGACCGATCTTGTTCTCCTGGGGGAGGGGATATTTGAATCTTTCTTCACCTGACATGGGGATATTTGACTACTGACTCAGACGAAAGAAACTGATACCGACCAGACATTTCTCACTTCACTCATGCACCGTACAGTCTGGAAATCAAGAAGGTCAAAGATGAGGATGAAAGCAAGTGAAAGTTGAGTGAATTTGATTGTGTTGTCTTCACATTTTGTTTTATTTAGGGAATTTGACAACAACTAATTTTTTGAAAAAATTCCCACCTCTTGCCCTGCCTCCCCCCTGGCTTTACATTGATAAGTGCATAAATCTTATGCAAAGCATGGTTTTGAGCAAAATCATTTTGACCTTCAAATTGATGTCGCCTTCACTCCATAACCTTTGATATCACCAGTTATTTGCTTTAATGTTGTATTCATGTATCTATGACATCATGATGGTTTGTCTAGGAATTTTTGACTCCAGAGAAGTGTGCTCACCACATTATCATCAGAGGACTCATCAGAGTGTTATTGGCCAGAGAGGTCAAGCGCATTCTGCTGTTTCTAACAAAAAATGGATTTGTTAACCATGGTATCTTACGTGATGTTCCCAGAAATTTGACTACCATACCTAAAGACAAAGAGGTTTGTTTGTTATTGCTGCTGTTTTCGTCCTTCAAATTAAAGTAGTAAGAGTCAGGTTAAAACAGATAAGTAAGTGTTAGTAGGTAGGCAAGTAAGTAAGTAAATGAGTACATAGGTAAGTAAGTAAGTAAGTAAGGTGAATTAAATTTATTGCTGCGTTATCAAGCCAGCTTCTCTGTAACTAGCTTACCATTTAACTGAATAAGCACTGGCCCCAATTAAGCGCCACTCTCAAATAAGCACCACATTTGGAAGAAAGAAGTTACTAATCGCCGCCCCCGAAATAAAATTAAAAGATGTTAAGACGGAATCCATCAGGAAATTGAGTAATTTTAATGTTCAGTGGACAAAAACCTTGTACCAGAAAAATTTAAACAATACCGCATTCATTTGAACATTCTTCAAGGGCTATAGATGTTATTAGTTATCTGTAGTAACACCAAAGAAAATTTCTTATAAGAACCCGAGAAAATACATGTCAAATTTCACAAAATGACATCTTACACATGAAATTTTTAGAATTTCACCTGTATTTTCTCAATTCTTGCAAAATGTGACTTTTATTTTCTAGGGCGCCCATGAGAAATAGTCTTTGGTGTTATTACAGATAACTAATATTGTATCTATAGCCCTTGAAAAATGTAAAAAATGTGATATTATTTACAATTATTCTGGTACAAGATTTTTGTCCACTGAGAATTGAAATTACTCAAATTCCTGATGGATTCTGTCATAATTCTGTTAGATGTTAAATATGGAAAATAATAGCACCATAGTTAATACAATTCTTTATCATGTCCAACTTCCAAATAAACTCCACCCTCAAATAAGCGCCTCTCTCAAATAAGGACTGCACTGGAGGTGTGAAAAATTTAATAGGTGCCATACAGCTTCTTTAGTCAGTGAAGCAGCTTAATGTTGAATTCTGCAATTATGAATTTGTTTTCAGCTGTCAGTTATTGTGATTGGTGCTGGACCTGCTGGTTTGTCTGCAGCGAGACATCTGAGAAAATTTGGCATTCAGGTACTTGGCCAGTTTAATTAGTGTTGCAGATGGTGTATCACCTGGGGAATCAGAGGGTTACTCCCTGCAATGGCCTATTAGGCGGGGGGGGGGGATGGTGTTCAGCCCAAAAGGGGCACCATTTTCATGCTAGGGATTTCCCTAGTTGAAGTAAATGAACGGGTAGGAAAATCTGTCACTTTGGTCGGTAAAATGACCTAAAAGGGTTAACTGAAGGATTTTATGGCCGTGAAAAAGTCGAGAAAATATCCTGTTTTTTCCTTCAAAATTAGCTTGGAGCCTTGTGGTTTTTCATGAAAACCTTTTCCACCAGCAATGAAACTAGTAAATGTCCAGAAAAAGATTACTTTTCCAGCAAGTCTGAATTAAGTCAAGCTTTCTTATTGCAACTGTATAGGTTGGATCTTTAACTGCATCGATCTTGCATTGAAAAGAATATTTTGTCATTATTTCAGATAGTTAGGGTTTTTGAAATGAGAGTTGTACCAAATTCAGTTTCTGCTTTTGTCTTATTTGAAAGTCATTAGTCAAAAATCATGTCTTGTTGAAGGTAACCTTAGTGGAAAGTAGAGACAGGATTGGTGGGCGTGTCTGGGATGACAACAAGTCTTTGGGCTGCTGTGTGGGCAGAGGTGCTCAGATCCTCAATGGCTGTATAAACAATCCAATATCTGTACTTTGTGTACAAGTAAGTCCCCCCCTACACACGCTTTATAGCTTTAGATTATGTCTCCCCTGAAAAAACCTTTTCCTCATGTTTTGTCAAAGTTGACTCTTTTCATTGCTTTCTTAGTATATTAGTAGAAAACAATATCACTTTGATTTTTTACATAAATGATTTTGTGGAGTGAGTGAAATAGTCTTGATTAATTCATAAGTTAAAAACTACGTATCTTATGTTACAAAACTTCCAATTTTGAACTAAGTTACATCGTAATAATTTCAGAGGTAAATTATATTTAAATAATAATAATAATAATACAGATCTAAGAGTTATTAGCTCATTTGAAAAATACCAGTACAGAGCTTGGTCGTATGTGCCCCAATCTCCTCGCGGTTTCTCTGCCCTCGCCCACCTTTATTACTTAGCACACCCAACCAAAACCGCCATGCTACGCATGCTAATTAGGCGATTAAAATAGGAGTTCTTCATTCGTTCTGTCTTTAATTTTGGCCGGTGACTAGATTTGTGTCTTAGATTGTATTCTGTGACCTTCAGTTTTGGCATAAGGTTTCTCAGAGGATGTTTCACTTGATTTTTTACCTTTTACCCAAAATAAATTCTATTATTTGTTTACTTCTTTATTTATTTTTGTTTCTCCATGCTAAAGAAACGTGTTGATCTCTTGACAAGATGATTTAATTACTTTTGTGTTACCTTTCAAATGTAAGCACAGTTGAAATAGCCTGCAAGCAACCTCTCCATTTGACAGCGTCCCCAATACAGCCTACCAATAGGGTTCTTCAATCCCGTAATCCCGACCCAAAATTTCGTGTAATCCGTAATGCCGAGGGTTATTTTAGGTATTCACCTCCTGCGCATACTTTCAATCAGGAATCTCGCCCCGATTTTGCTTTTCAATTTCAAATCCCAAGGTTCAAATAAGGCAAATTCGGAAAAACCTACTGAGAACCCGAATTTGAGGGTTAAGCAAAGCGAGCCGTCCTAAAGTCTCTTTTCGCCTGGCGCTTGCACGTGACTTCTCACTGTATCCTCCAAATAGAGAACTTGCTTGCAGACGACACCTTGTGAATACAGTTGACCATTTATTACTTAGAGTTTAAAACAACGAAAATCACTTGATGGGACTTAAGTAGCGCAAATCCTCTATTAAACCCGCTCCTCTCAATCAAGCTTCCCTCTCACTCTCTCTCTCTCTCTCTATGAAGTCCCCATCCAGCGTGCTTGAAATAAATAAGCCCCTAGGTGGGGGGGTAAATCCACTAGGGGCTTATTAAAGTAGAACATTTACTGTAACAAACGTTTCTTACAGGTTTGAATGTAGTGTTATGGACAGTTTTCAATTAATTTTCCAGTCTGGTCTTCCCATGCATCATATTAGCAGTAGATGTGATCTGATTACAGAGGATGGAGAGTGTGTGGATAGTAGCCATGACAGTAAAGTGGAATTTCACTTTAACGCTCTGCTTGATGCGATCGCTGATCAGAGGACAGAATCTTCAGAGGACAAATCGTTAGAAGGTAATATGTTCTTACAAGAAGGCAGTATTACAGTAATGACATACAGACATTCTCACTAGTTTTATAGTGGACTGACAAAAACAACCAATTTCTCCCTAAACGATCACCTCCAAACAGAATACATCCCAAAGTATTTTTTTTTTGCTCTGTTTTTGTTGTAAACGGCTTGCTACGACATTTTGCCATTTAACTGACTACTTGCAGGCTTTCATTTTGTAGTTATTGTTGTTTTCTTTTTTTATCAATTAATCATCAAACTAAAATTATCACATCCTGTCACGTCATCATATCATGGGTCACGTGGCAAACGAACCTTTCACGCGACGCGATGAAACTGAAAATCGACCTTGATATTCTCGATTATTTTATTTACACAGATAAAGTTATGGAGATGCACAATCTTTTCCTTGAAGAAACACAGGGATCATTCAGTGAAGTAACGAAATTATTGCTTCTTTCTAGTCGTAGTGAACACAGTTTAGATTCGAGGACGAGGACGACTCTGGGGACGAGATTTGACTTGAAGTTTTGTTTTCTCAGAAAATGGACACACTAGAAAGTAGCTTGCTAGCAAGCTCCTCACGTATGGCGAGCGAAGCGAGGCGCGAGGGAACGCGCGAGAGAGGGGCACCCCTCGCACTCTCGTTTCCTTTCGCGTGCTGCTCTCGCGTGACTTCTCGCGACTCCCCCAAATAGAGAGCTTGCTCGCAGGCTACTTGAAAAGTTTCATTTTACTTTTTTTTTCATCAAAAGCGTTTGCGCGGTTACAAGGGAGGTGAAACCCTCTCCCGATCGCGAAATGGTAAAACGTGTGACCGTTGATCACTACTACATTTTCGCTATACTTGTCGTAGAATGACGACGGCTATCACGTTTTCCCGCCAAAATGACGCCGGTTTCTGACGCGCGCACTAGTATTGAGAAAATGTCCTATCCTATCAAGATCATTCCAACTCGCTTTGTCGTTGCAGTTGATTTTTCATAGCGTTGAATGCTTACTGGCGCATTCAAAATCATAAATAGAAAGAGAAATTGTCGTCGTGTGTTTGAGTGCTCCGTTAAAAACCACTTTATGAAATTTCTTATCGCACGGTCAGTGTTCGCGGGCTAGGTTACGCAGTGACGGCAATGATATTGACCAAAAATTTTGATGCACGTGCAGTGTTGTAGTTTTGTTTATACTGTACCCATCGCTTTTTTCAAGTTCCCGTTGCTGTCGTCGTCGTGGTTGTTAATTCTCCCTACTATTTGTCTCGTTCCTTGCAATTTGCGTTGAGAAAACGGAGACTTCCATATAGCGATACCCACGCTGACGTCACCTATTGATATTAATTTGCAACCAGAAGCGCATTGGTTAGTTAATTGTTCTATTGTTTCACTCGCTACAAATTTGAATAACAAAAACAATGTCTGTAAACAGTGATGTCTTCAAAAATTAGTAGAGGAAAACTGTTTCGACTGTTTTAACATTTGGCTTGAAAGCTGTTACAATCACATGTTATTTATTTTTCAGCTTGAAGACAAATTGCTACAGTTTCACTTGGGAAACTTAGAATTTAGTTGCGCCTCTCCTCTTAACAAAGTTTCTTCCTTGTCTTGGGATCAAAATGAAGCGTTCCCCCAGTTTTCTGGTGATCACACGCTGCTTCAGAATGGATTTGGCGTCTTAATGAAGAACCTCGCTCAGGGCTTGGACATCACTTTCAACTGTGAAGTATGTGGCTTTGTCACATTCCCCGTATCATTGCAGTGTTTATTTGTTTTCGTATTTAGATTTTATTGGTTAAACCTAGCTCTGTTAAGACAGTGAATCCTACTATACCTACCTCCAGAGCGGTGCATGCCGCTAAATTTAAGTTAACCTTAGACTGTTCACAGTCCCCTATTTTCCGGTAAGATCGTCGAGGTTGAGCGCTCACCGTCACTGACAGCTAGTGGTTTCAAAATGTACCGAGGGGGCGTTGCTGAGATAGTCATCTTCAAGCTAGACTCGTTCAAGTTGGCCGCCTGTAGCGCCCGTTCTCGACGATCTTACGGAAAAAATAGGGGACTATGAAGAGCTACGTTAACCTCCGATCAACGTTCTTTTGTTTGGGGGAGTGCGAAAGTCCGAGCGGGCTGGGGAAAAAGGGAAGAAGGAAGAGGGACAGCCTGCTAGCATAGTTTTTGGCATGATTTATCATTGCGAGCATAATTTTCATGTATTTTCCGTAAAAAAAGCACTGATACGCATAACTGGCTCTGTTTATCCATGACTGGCGCCAGCTTGCCCGTTGTTAATTGTTTGAGTTTTTTAGTTATCAGACAATGAATTATGCTCTCTCTAAGTTTCTAGATGCAAACAGGGTAAATGGGTTTGCCATTTACTTGTTTTTTGCATGGGTATTGAGGTGTTTTTAAGCGAATTTGGCCTTCTAGCGTTTTGCTCTATTCATCCAATAGCTTGTAAGTACTGACTTCTTTACAGACCCGAGACGTGATCCGGTCTATTAAATAAATTCTTAATGTCATGCGCTGTTGTCAATGTATACATCATAGAGTAATGTCAAAACCTTTTGTTAGGTAGAAGAAATTAACTACTCTGGTGATAAAGTGATTCTCACAAGCTCTGAAGGAAGGGAATTTACTGCGGACAAGGTATTTGTTGCTAAAAATATTATTTTCATCTTTTAATCCGAGAAAAATAAACCTACAATCAGCGATAAACGTGTTGAGTCCTTGAGAGAGAACAAAACAATCCCCCCCCCTCCCTTCCATTCGAAATTGAGGTGTTTGTTGATTCCTACAGGTAACTCAAACAGCGGTACAACATTAGAGACCGCTAGATTCGAGGATGAAAACGACTACGAGTACGAGATTTGACTGAAAGTGTTGTTCTGTATTCTTAAAAAATAGACACCCCAGAAATCTTTTTTGCACTTTTGATTCAACAGAAAATTAGCACTGTTATCTTTGTCGAAGGAGGTTAACCCCTCTTCCGATTGGAAAATGATCAAAGTTCTAACATTTGATAACTTGTTTCCGCCACTGGAACATTACAGGGAGCTTAAGCAACGATGACGGCGACGTCAATGAGAACGGCAAAAAAGCAATGGGTTTAGTTATGAGCAAAACAACAACTCTGCACGTGTATCAGGCTTGAATGTGGGGGTGGGGAGGGAAACTTCATTTGCCCCGTTTTAAGTCAGCCAAAACAATCCCATAGTGCAATTCGACCCAATACCTGTTTATTCTTGGTTCGCAACCACGTGACATGGTGGCCATTTTGGTGGCCAATGCGATAAATATTATTTCAAAGAATTAATATGAAAAGGGTTTTTAGTTCCCAAAAGATAGAAATGTGTTTGTTCTTGGCCACCACCATGGCTGCCATTAGTCTGCGAAAACATCCGTTTCTCTTCGCTCTTAGGAGAAACGGATGTTTTCGCAGGCTAGGCTGCAATGACGTTACGTGCAAACCACCAATACCCAGCGGTGTTACGAGTTATTGTGTGACAATGTTTAGCCGTTTTACGTCAAGTACTCTGTCTGTCACAGGTTATTGTTACTGTTCCTTTGTCACTGTTGAAGTCAGAGAGGATAAGATTTAACCCTGACCTTCCAGAGAAAAAGAAAGCTGCAATTTCCAATTTAGGAGCTGGACTAATAGAAAAGGTAAAAAAAAAAACGCTAACTGAATGGTGAAGATGGGTTGATTTAGTTCGTTTTAGAGATATTTGGTGATAGAAGAACCATGACTAAATACGCAACATGCATGGGTTTCTGCAAAGCCAAGAAATGCTTAATACTGTTCTTGAATGTTTCTATATTCAATAACAGCTGCATCATTCAGTATTCTCTCTTGGTATTATGTGAAGAAAAACTAGCCATTTGGTCATGTCTGAAAAAGTATGATCTTAATCAGTGTATTTGTATTATGTGAAGAAAATAAAAATTTAATTATGTACGGTTTGGTTTGTCATAGCAACATAATTGTTTATCTCCATAAACTTGACTTTTAATTATCGTCTTGACGCTTATGTTGCAGGTTGTTTTGAAATTTAAGTACAATTTCTGGGAGAAAGTCGTTCAAGGGGCAGATTTCTTTGGGCATGTACCCCAAACAAGTTTGGGACGTGGCCATTGCGGACTTTTTTATGATCTCTGTAGCAAGGTAACCGACGATGTAGCTGTGTTTATTAATGTTTCATGCGGTAAAATACAGCGTAACTAAGTTAACAACATAGACCTTAATCAAGCAACTATCAAAACATTTTGCACATCGAGCATCGCATTGAAAAACTTGAGAACAAGTCTCTTGAGACGTGTATAAACAAATTCCTTTATTCTCTGGGGTCTTAGTATGGCGACCGTGTGCAGGCCCGTAGAAGTAGGGGGGCGAGTAGGCCCGTGCCCCCCACTTTTTTGGCGAAAATTTAAAAAAAAGAAGACTGCCACTTTACCGTCGAAAATACTGAGTTAATAACACAAGGCAATTCCCCTTTCGATTTTAACAAATTTGTTGTTAGGGCTAATTTTTTTTCGTGCCCTCTCACTTTCAAATTCGTTCCTACGGGCCTGGCCGTGTGGATAGATTCTTTGTGGGCCCCTAATTTTAGCAGTGTAAAGCGTCGCAAATTTTTTTGCGGAACATTTAGAGTAGCCCTTACAGGCTCCTTCCTCTTTCCCTATGTTAGCACTGTTTGGTGGTTGCCCGGAGGACTCTATCGAAACGGGAATGGGGTGGTGGAAGTTAGACTGGCTGGTTTACCATGATTGCTGGCCATGGGAGCGGTTAACTGTCAAGGTTCCTGTGTGTCACAGTGGTGACCCCAAGACGTCCTTGACACTCATCTTCCAAATAATGCGAGGCCGTTTGAAGCCCCTACCGGACAAATATTGGCCCTGTTATGTAAACAGTTTTCGCAGTACGACCTTTGTCACTTCCAACCACCCATCTCTGACCCCCCCTCCCTCAATATCTCACCCACTTACTCACACATTTGTTCGTTTCTTTTAGAGTAATGAAAAAAGTAAGAAGTCAAGTCACGTTTTAATGACTGTGTTGAGTGGAGACTCGGCAATACAGGCACAACAAATGACAGACAGAGAAGTCGTAGACTCTTGTATGAGTACACTTCGCAAACTATTCCCTTATAAGGTATTTAAAAGGCCTGTTATTAACATACCGTGATGTTCTCTTTGGGTGGCCTAAGGTTTTCCCTCGAATTGTGGAGTGGGATGTCCTATTTTTCTTGGCATGAGCTGCCATTACCATTCCACAACTTGTTAACAGTTTACAAATTTCGAAAGTGACGAACGCGATCGCGACTGCAAGTATCATTTTGAGACGGTCCGTATAGCTTGCAAAGCAAAGACAAGGTTTGTATGTTACAGCGACTGCGAGAGTAAAACGTCTTTCAGATGTTCTCGCAACAGAGTAGTCAAATTTATCACAGACGTGACGTCAGTACCGACGGCGCACGCGCAGAAGTGATAACCAGTTTGACCAATGGAAGAGCGGCGAACTGGGAATCCAAAGTCCTTTCTACGCACTTTCGTGTTCTCATTTGGCATGGAGTTGTCTTTGCGAAATTTACCAATGGTAGTTACTGGAGAGTTTTGTGGTTTATTGCAGATTCCTGATCCCCAAGCTTATATCGTAACACATTGGGGTAGAGATCCTTATTCAGGCATGGCATACTCGTATATACCTATTGGTTCTACTGGAGAAGAATACGATCTTCTGGCCTGTGATATTGACAACAAGGTCTTTTTTGCTGGAGAGGTATGATTCAAGCACCGTGTAAGAAATATAGAAGCAGGAGTGTTCTGTAAAGTTTTCAAATCCAAGCGCAGCTGAGCATTCTTAGGTTGTTTTACACCAGAAGCGTTCTTCTGTTTACACCCATTTTGAAATTACTGGTGATTCTTGAAATGTGTTGGTTTTCTCGGCGGCAGTGCGATTTTTTCATGACCCTCATTTTTTTGTGCTCTAAGGGACTGTTTACGTGGAGGTAGCGGACCCCAGGTAGGTTAGGTAACCCGCCTCTCCATATATTACCTGTCATTTTATCATGATCACGTTTATATAATAGGTTGGGTGGCCATTTGAGAGATTATATGGACAGGCGGGTTACCCCACCAACCTGGGGTCCCCCACCTCCATGTAAACAGGCCCTAAATCGCATCATTCCTGGTAACTGAAATTCGTTTTGAATCGTTGGCTGTGTTTCATTTAATTGAAAAACAGTCAAGAAATATTGGAAATTCCTTTTGTATGTTTTTCAGAAATTACTGCCGATAATGCAATCAATTCCTTCTCATTGCTTAGATTCTGAATCGCCTTTTGCTCATGTTTCTTAGGCCACCAATCGTCACTTCCCGCAGACGGTTACGGGAGCTTATCTAAGTGGCATTAGAGAAGCTGCAAAGATTATATCATGCATGGAGACGAACATTGCACAGGGAGATTCTGCCCGAGATGTGGGTTAGCGGAGATGAATTAACCGTGGCTTCAAGCTGTTATGCGGGATTCGCTCAAGCTTTGACCAGACGTCAAGTTTATCACTTCTTCATTCCTTGATTATTCAGGGATTTCAGCCCGCAATGAAGACATTCCGTTCGGTTATGTCAGTTCTACTCTGAATGGACACGTTTTTGATAATTACGTGGTGAAGACTAGAATTCAATTTACGCTGCTGTCCAAGTTTTTGGAACATGATAAAATGTGGCGGTTGCAGATTTTTGTGGTGATATGATGAGGGAGTTTTAGCAACCACCACGAAACGGAAGTAAAATCGTCACTAAGTAAATGAATTTGTGTTATTTCAAAGTTTATCGCGTTTATTTAGCTTCGCTCAATTCTGTTGAATGAAGTCGAATTTTTGCTGAAGTTGAATTGTGAATGACCGTGTCCAAGTTAAAAAAGGCTGGGTTCGTGCAGTCTTGAATTCTTGAAAAAGTCTTGAAAATTTGCACAGCAATTTTCCAGACCTGGGAAAAGTCTGAAAAATAGAGGTAAAGTCTTGAAAAAATGGTAAAAAGCCTTGAGATTTTTTGAAAGCCGTACAACAAGTCCTTCAGAAGTGAATTTTTTTTCGTGTTGGTCAAATCTCATTCAATCTCGCCTTCATGTCATGGAAAAAGCTTTGTTCCTACTTTATTTTTAAGGTCTCTGTTGATGACCTATTTGATAACCTCGAGTCTGGAAAAATAAATTATTGTTTTGGAAAAAGTCTTGAATTTTGGATCAAAAATCTGTACGAACCCTGAAAGAAAAGGAAATTCGTCGCCCTGTGGTCACGTCCTTCGTAAACGTTTCACGTCTGCAGGGTCTTAGTCGTTAGATGATGTCAAAGAAATGTGCTCAGAGTTTGCTCATAAAATCCTTTTTGTTTTCCACGTTGTTGTTGCAATCGTCGTCGAGGTTGCAAAAGTTCCCTGTTATTTTGCTCTTTTTGGACAATTATTTTTATTTTCTTCAAGGAAGTAAAATCAAGAAGAGACGTAGAGCTCTGAACTGGCCAATCTCTGGCAAGCTAAAGAATCAATAAAGAATGTAATCTTGAATTTTTGCCACGAAACGCACCCTCGGTCGGTTGAGACAGCCTAAAATTGGATGTTTCGTGAATGTAAATAGCACAAAACAAAATACTTTGTCCAGTGTTATCCTTCGTTATGCCTAATTTGTAATAGTGAAAGTAGTTATTTTTAAAATAATTTTACAAGAGCGTTTTTTTCTGCGTGAACATGGCAAATTATGAACGTTCAAAAGAAATGGTATGCAGAAATAGCGATCGATAAGTCCGTTTATTTAGTTAGTTGATTAGAAATAAATTACTTTAATAGTTGACAGAACGTTACGAGGGCCAAGAGCCTGAATTAACACAGCAATTGCACGTAGGTCACGTTCCTTTTGATGCAGTGAATGTTGATCTCATAGCTAATTGTATTTGTTTTCAGTGGTTTTTATGAGCCTCATTTTAACGCAGATAAAATGTTGAAGCTTTAGCCAATTATACAGAATGTTTTCCAGTTTGATAAAGCAATTGTATTTATTAAATTATTTATGATACACTTAGTACATTTCCAGGAATAAATAGTAATTTCAAAATATTGTCTGCCAGACTAATGCTCACATACGGACACATCCTGATCGGAAGGGACCTTATACAAGGGACCACTCCTGAAGATTCGACGACGGTCACGTAACGAGAACCTCAACAAAGTAAAAGGTTTAATAGGCAAAACTGCACAACAACTCTGCACGTGTGTCACACCTTTTTAGCCGAGCCTTTTTACCGTCTCTTCGCAACGACGACGTCGAGGGATCTTGAGGTCCCTAAACTGCTAATGGAAGCGTCTGTGTACAGCCGCCCCATCCCCTCAAACAAAATCGGAGAGGGAAGGGGAGGTGGCGGCTGTACACAGTCCCATCGATTGGCAGGATCCCACAACGGCGACAGTGGCAGAAACGTGCGGACAGCGGTTTTATTTGCAGACTCGAAATTATTCAGTCTGTTAGTATATTCTATTTTTTCCAGAAAAGGCCGCACGCGCAGGCATTTTTGGGCAGTTTCTTAGCAAGCAATGTCGGTATAAGTGCTGAATGCTCTCTCTGTTGTGCGTTTTTACCTTAGTTGACAAGCCACAATTGTTTCCTAAGAGTTTGAACAAATCATGAGTAGTAAAGCTCTAAGCTTCATGAAACGTGATATTGTTATTGGTGAGATACTTGACTGTGTACCATCATCAAGTGCCTTAAAGTGATCTAATTTAATGACACAATTTTTTTTTCACTGCGTCGGCGCTACAGCCATGAACTTTAACCTCCTCCCGCAGATATACAATTCACTACGTGCTATGAATCATTAATTTATATTAAGGGCCTAAGGTTAATTGATATGCTACCATATAAGGGGCAAAAATAGTTTGCTTTATTCGTTGACCACATCACAGCCGTATAACAAACAAGGGTGATTGCTAAGAATTGTAAATTACTCTTTTCAATGCCTCATTCTTCCCGAGAATTGGAATGCTCATTTTTTTTTTTTGGCTCATTTATCTTGAAAATAACTTGACCGAGGACATTTTGAACTTCTCGAATTGAGCTCATCCATGCCCTCTTTAGCTCCCCATTGTCTCTTTTCAGTGGGAGGGGGCCAGGTCATCCAGACCCTGAGATAATGAGGGGGGCGGGGGCGGTCTGAAAAAAAATTTTTTTCGGCCCTCCGGGCCTCAGTTTGTTTTAAAAATAAGGCCCCTCGCTTTTTTCCTCGATTTTTTCATTTACTTTGGTGGTTAGATTGATATTTCAGATATATATTTTTTATGTAATTTACATTTGGACTGTTTGAGCTCAATTTTGCATGTAAATTTCCTGTCATTAACTATTAAAAGTTACTCTACTATACGTGACTGCTGGTGACCTTTCCAAAGTGCTTTACACCCGATTCAGGCTATTTTTATGAAGGCCATCCGGTCGTGAACGATCTGTAGCGCTGTTCATTGATAGCAGATGACGTCATAAACTCAAATCGGAAGTGAACCGCACTTAACGCACTTAGAAGGCGGGGCTTTCTCGCCACGTTATATCAAGTAGGAGGCTTGAGAGGCGGCTGTATTCAGCCAACATTGAGATAAACATTAAAACAAGACATTCCTGGTTTGACAAAACTAATGAAAACAGCTTCTTGTCCGCACTCTGACTGAATTTTAAGCTAGTTGATGTTCATTAATAATTATAGGCAACTACTTTGTCAGATCAATATCTCAAAAGAGAGGGTTAGGCAAGCAAAAAATTTATTCAAGTGTGGGATTCCTTTGTTTTAAGACTGTTAATTTAGAAATGAATATGAAAGGTTGAAATAACACTTTGATAAAACGATCGTGTGCGCAAAACCTGCAGAAAAATAACATATAATACAGTAAAGAACCGCGACTAAGAACTTGTTTTTTAAGAACCCTTTAGGCTGAAATTTGTGAGTTTACTTAACTTAGCTTCTAACTTCAATAGACTACTGGGGTAAAAAGAGGCACTGTATTAATAGTATTGGAGTGATCCAATTAAATGCTTCATAGCCAAGAGTGTTTACTTCCTTTTAATAGTGTTACTATCATCGTCAGCATCCGGGAAAGCAATTATTGCGAACTGAATGACGTGATTATTGCTTTCACACAAGGGGCGATCTCCCATTCATGTGGTGCACACCGTGAAATTTTCTACGCAAAGACGTGTCTTGATCTCTCTTCGGTCCAGAATGTTTAAAGGGTGTCGTCGCAATGACGTCGGAGAGGATTAATAAATTTGTCAACTGACAGATCAATATTTTTAATTCGGCATTCCAAAAAAAAAACTATTTAATAGCAGCCTGTAAGACCTCAACGCTCCAAGTCTAAGCATTGCAAGTTCCAAGGACTATTCGGTTTTTCTCGCATCCAAAGAAAAAATGGTTCCATCGCAGTTCGTAACCTACAAAGTCGCGAAAAAGCTTTTCGACCTCAACGTCATAAGCCGCGCCACTTTCCTTTCCTTCGTGAAAGAGTTCGCAAAGGTGATGAAGGGTCTGCGAAAGGAAGCGACCATTACAGTTGACTGGGACGCAGTTCGAGATATGTTTGACTTCGACGACTACGCCGACGTTGTCCCTATAAACGCAGCAAATCTATGCCCATCCTTCCACGCCGTTCAAGAGTACGTCAACCAGATGGGAATTGACATGAACAAAGACGTGTCCATTCAAAAGAGGACCAGCGTCTTCGCAACAATCATCGACGATGCTCGAGCTCTGATTGCCCAACAGCTCAACATCAGCACAGCTGAACTCGCCTTCATGAGGAACGCAACCGAGGCCAACAACATCATCAACAATGGGTTGGACTTCAATGCAGGTGAAGAGGTGGTTATTTGGTCCGAGAACCACGGTACCAACAACCGAGCTTGGGCGATTAGGCAGCAGCGTAACCCAAACATCAACATCATAACCGTGGGCCTCACAGGAGCAACGACGGACCAAGAGGTGATCAATCGATTTGTGGCGCGAGTCAAACCTGGAGTTACCCGTGTGGTGACTTTCAGTGAGGTACGTGAAACTTTTCTGGAACTGCTGGAGATTAGCTCAGTTGGTAGAGCGCTTGATAGTAAAGTGGCGATGTCGAGGATTCGATCCCCGGGGCTGAGCTAATAACCTAGCCGGTGTACAGACGCCCTCGGCTAGCAATAACCCAGGGTCTTAAAATAACTGCGAAATGAACTGAAGGCACTCTGTTCTAGAAACAATAACCACGTAAAATGACAGTACCATCTGCAGTCGGAGACATCAAAATAGTGTCCTCAATTAGTAATTTCGTGCTTAATATATTGATACATCTTAACCCTTTAACCGGCAAATTTTTATAGGAAATTTTATCACCGCAGCTGTGTTGTGAAAGTATGCTGACAGCTAGCTTCCATACTATAAACTCCCAGGGTCATTAACTATAAATCAAAATGTTTGTCATAGAATGATCTTCTAAATACAGCAATAAAATACGAACAAGTTTTATTGTGAATATTTTACAAAATTGTTTCCAATTTCAACTTTCCAAAGTTGATTCATCTAATCAAGTCAATCGCCATTACGAGTCAAAGTCGGAAATCATTCAGCAAATGCTTTATCAAAAGATTTTCTTAGTAAAACGTGTTTAGTTTTCATTTTGTTCATATAACTGAAGCTCTGGGAAACAAAAATTCACAAATCCCTTTCACTCCCAGAGGTAATGATGATGTGCTGCGACTCTAACGTTTGCATCTGAGGACAAAATCCTTTGGGGTGACCACACTATATATATAGCTAATGAAACCTCTTGAGTAGTACTTTATTTAACATATAGAACATGATGTAGTTCTAACATTGATCAACTTTTTGTGGCACAAATCGTGTGGTGTGGCCATTCAAAGGGAACCTCTCTTGAGCAGTACTTTCCCGGATAGATAGCACTATGCGTTTTTCAGCAGTGTTTTTCAAAACGAGATTGGGAACTTCTGCGTAGTTTGTGTATCTACATCCAAATTTTATTGAATCGGAAACCAGGGGGGTTTAGCTAGGATCATGCCTGGCTGGCGGCCAGTGATATAATTCATGATCAGTATTAGATATCACAGACTCAAATAACCTCGAACAACAGCTTTAATAGTTGATACAACCAAATTGTCCTGCTAAGAGTAACCACAGAAACTTGTCTTTTCGCCACGCAGATTTCCAACGAAAGTGGTTTGCGCATTCCTTCGAAGGATCTTTGCTCAGCAGTCCATGCTGTTGACCCCAATGTACATGTGCATGTAGATGGGGCACAAGGCTGGGGAGTCCTGGAGCATGATCTTCAAGACATGGGCTGTGATAGCTATGCCGCAAGTGCCCACAAGTGGTTTCTCGGGCCTTAAAGGAAGCAGGGATCCTTTACATGAAAACGGCACGCATCACCAACTTTTGGCCCAACAACTTTGGCTACGACGCTAAGATCATTTTGCCAGAAGAACTATACACTGACGCCAGAAGGTTTGAGACTCTAGGCCAACGAAACGATCCGACCTTGATGGGCCTGCTGTACACTGCCGAGATACTTGGAACCATTGGCTTCACCGAGGTCGACCAAAGAATCCAGTTCCTGGTCCAGAAACTGATAGACGGCTTGCTTGCCATGGGTTACACTCTCACAACCCCTACAGATCCAGCACGACGACATGGAGTTGTAGTCGTCCATTTTGACAATCCTGAAGAAGGAGTTGCCCTTTACAACTGGCTGTACAATGAGCACCGCATTGGCGTGGCCTCAACTGGCGGCTTACGAATCTGCCCACACATCTACAACACTGAACATCATCTCGAAAGACTTCTGGCAGCTATTCAAGAGTATAACTCCCTTCAAGCTGGGGATAAGTCTTCCAAGAAAACAGCGACCCGCAAGAAGTGATTCAGAAGATTTCTATAAAAAAGGCAGCAAGGAACTGTATGACGCATAAAATTAAGTATCTAGTTTTTGAAACACTGGTCTACTGTAGGCAAATCAGAAGTGTATGGTTACTTTTAGAATTTGTTCTCCATATTTCTGTTCATCAAGTTAATCAGTACTTAGTTTAATTAAGGAAACAATATGTCAGGGAAGCTGTAATTGCGCTCAATTCCGAGAATGTACCATCCATTTTAGTCCAAAGTGTATGATTTTTTCAAACACTCTCAGTACGGCTTCTGAAATAAGCGGAAACAGGTAGTGAACCTTAGTTTGTAAAAGCAAATCTGAGTAGTCCTAGTACGTTAAACAATAGCTGTAACATTTTCAGGCTTTGTGACTATAACTAAATGTGTGAATGTTAGCAATAAAACGTTATTTATGCTAAGAATCCCTTTTTGTCTCTTTGCTGTAGAAAGATAAACATTTCAGGTTATCAAATGATTGGGAAATAAAATCAGTTAGCCACCGTAACTCACGGCTCAAGTGAACTTACGCAACGGGACGGGAGAGGAAGAAGACGGCAAACCTTGTGTGACAAGCGTGACAATAATTTTGTTTGAAATAACTTTTCGCCAAACTTCAACTTTCCTTCAAACAGATCTTTGCGTAAAAGACCAGAAAACATTAAGGTTAAGAGAAGATGACGGCAAAACACGTAAGTAATAGCCCTGTCACGTTTGTCACACGCGAGCCTTTTGCCGTCCTTTGGCGTAAACTTACTAATTATAAGGGACTCGGGCTCAAAATGTCAGCTGTTGAACTTCTTAGGCTGTGTTCACACTATACTGGATCGCTTTTCGTGCCCGCACAAAAAGCTATCCCGGATAGTGTGAAAAGCAACTTCCCGAGGCCGGCAATGAATGTCGATCATACACGTCATTAAGGTGATGTGGAAGGAGACGATTGGCAACGACGATTTTAGCACAACACAGCATTGCAACAGTGACATTGTTTCGAATGGTTACAGCATTGCATTGCTGTGTTGTGCTGAAAATCGTCGTTGCGAATCGTCCCGTGCAACATCACTTGGGGACTTGAAGATCCGACGACCTGACGGCAACGAAAACGTCAAAGAACAATACGTTTAACAGGCAAAACAACAATTTTGTACATTTCTTTGCCGTTTTATGGCGGCCATGTTGGTGGTCAATACAATAAACATATTTTTGTAGAATTTACATGAAAAGGACGTTTCGTTCCCAGAGGAGAGAAATGCTTTTGCTCTTGATCACCTACACGGCCGCCGTGACGTCACTTGTAAACTTACATGGGACGATTCCCAGCGCCGATTGTTTGCGCAACATAGCATTGCATAGTCTGCGAACAGTAGACGCATTTCCGGTCGTCGCTTCTCTCCCTCCGGAAAATAGCTATTTTTCAGAGGGAGAGAAGTGACGACCGGAAATGCGTCTGCTGTTCGCAGGCTATGCATTGAAATGTTCAAACAATGTTGCAACCAGTCGAAACCATGTGGCAACAATGTTCCTAGCTGCAGCGTTGCGCTAAAAATCGTCTTTGCTACTTGTCCCTTGTAACATAACCTTTAGCTTTGTTTTCCCAATTCAGACCACGTGATATATTCTCCAGGGATTTTGCCTTTTGTCTTTTTTACACGTGCATGTGCATGGGACGACATTTAGAAAGAAACCGTTCTCTAGGTTTTTTTGGCGGGGGTGGGGGGTGGTATATAAGGTGTATTATGGGCAATGTGAAAATGGTAAACTTGAAAATTAGTAGGAGGTGAAGAGAGCAAACTGCTTCAGAATTCAGATAGATACAATACAATTTATTGCCTCAAAGTCCATGTTGTGACATTTTGTCCTTTCACGTTGTAGTAGTGCAGAAAGGGATAATGTACGAGCAGAGTAATTACCTTGCTCACTGAACCTCTTTTTTGACAAACCCATTAATTGCTGTCACCGTCGTTGTTTTGTACGATCTCTATTCAGGGCGATTCGCGTCTCAGAGCACAGAATTAAGTTTCACCATAAAGAAAAAGTGCTAAGTATCTTGAACAGCGACCCCACCCCTGGTGAAAGCGGATCCTTGTTATAAAGTACGGTTTGTTACGAAAGCTTCCCTAATGAAAATGCATATCAACAGTTTTGTTCTATGCTTTATTTTACACTTTTACTCAAGAGGAAATCATTCGAAAGGGTTCTTCATTTTGCGATAGAGGACGTTTGAATTTCTAGGCTTTTGCGTGACGCGGCATTTAGCTGGCGGCCGGGACTGCTCTTCTGTGGGTTAAAAACATTACCAGTTTTGGGAGATTTTGCTATCTAAACATTCCTTCTGTCAGAATAAATATCACTTTAATAGTTTATGAGTTTTTTAAGCGATGAATTATATTGAATGTTCTGTCAAGGGAGCTGGAAGACCGGCGTTTGAACTTGAAGTTGATCGAGAAATTTGGGCCATGCGTCCTACAGTCATTGAGTCTAAGTGGGTATATCAGGCCTTGGTGAACTAATGAGTACATTTTCTACGACAGTTATGCAGTCTTGACTCCCAAACGTGACTGGGATTACATTTTAGTCCATTAACTAACTTATTTACAACTCGTGAAAAATAATGCTTCTAAATAACGTAAACTGGAGCTAACGAGATCCTAAATTACATCACAATTTTGTGGACTTTTGCTTTCTGTAGTACAGTACTTCTTTAATATCTCTAGTACAATAAGACTACTTATTTCTTTCAAACAATAAAATATTGTACACTATTAAGTATCAAAACATTAATATCTGTTAATTTAAACAACTGGCTTAATACTGGCTTAAACCTTCTCATTTTTGAACTGCAGTAGAACCCCGGTAACTCGAGCTCTGAAGGGAAACGAAAACCAGTTCGAGTTAGCGGGGAGTTCGAGTTATCGTAGAAAATTTCAGTGAAATTTCGATCAAGGGAAAGGAAATTTAGTTCGATTTAGCGGGAACCCGAGTTATCCGAGTTCGAGTTATCGAGGTTCTACTGTATGAACTATCTATAAATCCGCCGTACGGAAAAAGATGGCGGCTGTACATTTATTCACAATTCCTTTCGAACCTAACACGGCCAATTACACATAAAGTCATATTTTGGGGGAGGGAAATTCGTCCCTGTAATAGCAACATTGCCTATCCCAGGTTTGAAGTTTACAAAACTTTTCTGTGCGTTTTTATTAGCAATTTTATGGTTTTCATGCGCTAACAACTGTGGGTAAATGTACCAGTCGCCATCTTTTTAGCTATACGGTGGATGTATGCCTCCTTATCCTCCTCCTCTCCTTATCCTAAGTCTCCTTAGCAGGGCTAAGCAGACCAGCAGATGAGCTTATCTCCTGTTGAAAGCAAAATAATACGTTAATTTCACAGTCGAACCACTTTTAAGTACATTCACGGACTTGTGGATCACAATTTTAATATTTTGAAAAACTCAGACATCCATAGTTGTAACACCAGACTGAGAAGGAACGATTTCCGTCTTCCTCTCGTTAAAAGGAATTACGGAAAGGAGAGACTTTTTTATCAATGCGCTAAGGAATGGAACATTTTAGACGCATCGTTTAAAGGAATGAACTCTCTTCTTCTTTTTAAACAGAACACTAAAAGCTCCATATTTTATAGCTTTTAATATTTTAATCTATCTGACATTTTAACATTTTTAACTTGTGGCTTGTATAATTTAGGTTTTTAGTTCTTAACTTTTTACTTATTATTACTATTACGTATTCATTAGGCTCGATTTCCGCCTTCTCCCGGGTCCGGTCTTTGATCCTTCTCGAAGAGGGGATGAGTAGGGGCTCATTTTCCCGAACAGCGGCTGGTAATCGAGCCTACGTATACGTATTCATTAATCTAACACGGATCATTTATTTTTCTATTGTTTTACAGGGCCTCACTGAATATCACTCTTTGTGAAGTGAGCTCCCTGTATAAAGATTGTCAGTATTGTTATTATTATTGTAAGCTCCAAAATACAAGATTTAGTGGTCGTTCAAAGTGTAATAAACTCCCCAAATCCCCCCTATCCTAGAGTAGCTGTTCCCCTAGTCCAGATAAAATCTTCAACCAACTGATCAGTTTGCTGAAGAATGATACCCTATTCTAGACCCAAACGCTCTGATTTATATACCCTATCCCAGAGAAAACTGCTTCAAACCATACCCCTCACAGCGGCACATACCTATATAGCCCATATGTGGCAGTACCCCCCTCCCCCCCGGGAGCAAAATACATACAGTGGACATCAATACATACAGTGGAGATCACTTATCATTTGGCATTTGCCAACAATACGTTAAAAACAACGGAAAATTGTAAAACCGTCAACCCCCCAAATGGTCGATGTCACTTTAGAGATGATGGTTCTTGAGTGGTTCAAACTAAGCTACTTTGAAGTTTAGGAACATTGTGGTTGTCACACATGTAGGTTCCACTGTATTTTAACATATTTTGGGGATGTCGAATACTGAACGCTGGAGACATACTGTACTCTCATTTTAGGTGGCTAAAATCAGGAGGTCTTGGGGCACACAAAAGGTCCAAAACAAGAACTGAACCGGAGGAACTCCAAAACGTTCAAATGGAGTTGAGTGCTGAAACGGAAAAAGGCAACTCCACTCTGCTAGTTTCTCTCTTTGCTATAATTTTGTAGTCGAGTAAGGTGTTTCCATTAACATTCCGTTCCACTTCCCTCTCTATTTAGCCTGCATAGCAGTGGTTTCGGTTTCCTTTTAGCGGCGAAGGAGAAGCGCCGGATAAGCGCGATGGCATGGTGTTAATGGGACTAGTAAGATGGTGATTGCATGAGAAAACTTTAACCGGCGCTGGTTTCATACCGTGTGGTGTCTTGATTTCGTAACGCGTTTACACATGTACACGTTTCTTCCCGCCCCAAGTCCATCGTGACATTGACGAAAACTACGCATGCGCTATCTGTTCCACTCCATTGGGAGCTCGATTTCATAAGGCGTGGTCGTTCCTCGCTTTACATTATTCGCACTGGAACGAAATTTTCGCCCCCGTATAGCAACCAGGTTGACCTGGCACCGGTATGATATTTTGTGAGTGGTATGTTGTAAACAAACACAGAATTATCACAGGGCACCGTTCTGATTTCGCGCCGGTGCAAACTGTCGTTCTGGTATCACGTACTAAACACCCCCGTCATTTTTACTCATTTTTCACTCCATGCCCTCACGCTTCTCGTTTGGTTTAAAGGAAACCAACAGAAACAGTTACTACTCAGTCTACTCGGCAAAACAATGGGCTTATTATTCATAAAAACTTGTAATAATCACAGCTTAGGGAGTGTAAGAGAAAAATCAATGCAAATAACGCACTGACTCAACGCAGTGCTTTGCGTAAGTTTCACGTCATAAAATGTCCAAACACGTGTGATCAGAATGTGTTCTATGCATCTCGACCCAGTGCTTACGATTCTGACTCCGCGCTTTGTAATAGTAACCTGGAGAATAGCCTGTTCCAGGCGTTCGGATGGTGGGGAGCGGGCAAAAAATTAGGGCGCCGGCGAAAAATTGACGAGGGAAAATATTGGGCGGGAAAAGGTTTTCTCGCTCCCGCCCCAGTCTCCCCTCGTTTTTTTCCCCTCGTGTTTCTCTTTGCGCTGGCCGCGTACGATTTTTGCTCCCCACTATCTAAACGCCTGGAACAAACTACCTGGAGAAGAGTATGGCGGGCTCCTGAGGACTCCCGCAATAGGCCATTTCGGAATGCGTAAAACTTTTACTTTCAAAACAGTCTAAGCGAGGGAACATGATTGAAAAACCTTTCTTATGAAGATGAGTTTCATTTTCATGACAATAAAAAGACCATTTTCGTATCGATTGCTTCGCATGTACCCTCGCTTTATAGAAACAGAAATGGCCTATTAAAGATTTATGGCAAAGTTAAAAGACCTTTTTTTTCACCAACCTCGCGATATTTTGCTATCACTAGTTCTTTAATCTCCTGGGGGATAAGAGGACCAAATAACTCCCTCTTTCTGACGACGAACATCTAAAACCAAAAAACACACCCACATAATTGTCAACCACCTCAAATCAGTTTTTTGAGCTAGCAGGGTTAAAACACTTTTTTGGAGATAGCAGTTTGGAATCAATCACTGAAGCATCCAAGAAGTTCGTCTTTACAAATAGTTTGAAAAGACTTCTTAAGAGAAAGATTTTCATTCATTTCGGGTTCAAGACGTCCTAGTGAAATAAATATATAAATAAATAAATAAGAAACTTTTTAAAATTATATATATATATAAAAATAGGATCTCTCATTTTTCTTTGTATCCAAAATTATGAATGCACTTTAAATCCTATAGTGTAACCATTCAAAAGATAAGCTACTGGACTGGTGTAGCACTTTAATAAGTTTGATGTACTACACAGGAAAGAAATAGCTCTTGTTTTGCAGAGGAAACAACTGAACAAAAGCTGCTGAGCATTACGTTCAGGATTGTGATACTGTTTATTATGTTGTACAAGGTGGTTCTAACCTTTGAGTCTGAGGAGAAATCCTATGGTGTAACCATTCAAATGAAAGCTACTGAGCAGTACTTTCCTGTGATACTGTTTATTACGCTGTACAAGGTAGTTCTAACTTTTGAGTCTGTGGATGAAATCCTATGGTGTAACCATTCAAATGAAAGCTACTGAGCAGTACTTTCCTGTGGTACTGTTTATTATGCTGTACAAGGTGGTTCTAACTTTTGAGCTTTTGAGTCTGTGAACGAAATCCTATGGTGTGACCATTCAAATGAAAGCTACTAAGCAGTACTTTCCTGTGGTACTGTTTATTGTGCTGTACGGGTGGTTCTAACTTTCGAGTCTGTGAACGAAATCCTTAAGTGTGACTATTCAAACGAAAGCTACTGAGCAATGTACTTTAAATGTGCACTTATTTGTATGTTTGTATTTACGCATTTTCAAAAAAATGACAATTTTTTTTCTCAGTTACCCCTCTTGGGTCTTACCTGTTCTAAACTGTTCATATAAGTTTCCCCTATTGGCGCTGCTCCAATTTTTATTGTAATTATAAACGCACTTGATTCCTTCATTAAGGGAATCACCGTGAACCTGCCAAAACAAAGGGTTTACCTCGGTGTAAGAACTTAATGTGAAAATTTTCCTTGTTTTGCATCTTTTGTTTTTCTAGGTCCTATTGTGTTGACGTCTTTGTTTCCTTTGTTTTATGTCACTTGGAGTTTTACAGGTTCTTACAGCAAATTAAATGGCATTGATCCAGTTCACTCAGTCTAGTCCTGGTTTAACTTTAAACAGAACAATTATGATTTGTTGCCGCCAGTTAATAACAGTCCCTCAACATTTGCTTTTATCTGCCTTTAATTACCTTCGCTTAGTTTTATCCAAGGCAAAACGGCCGGAGGACGTGCACTTAACCATGTTGTTATGATACTGAGCTTATGCAACCACAACTTACAATGACTGCAGTTTATCCCTAGAAAATGTGCATTCTATTTCTTTCAAACTTTATAGCAATTACAGTGACATGGCTTCCTCCTCAATGACAATACGAGAAGGCAGAAGGGGTTTGAAATTCATACTAGGGACACATATGTAACCCACCTAAGAGGACCGCTGTTTTATGGAGGGTGGGATCTACTTCAGCTGTCTTTAGGGTTTGTCCAGATTTTTTTTCTGCCATATCCTCAATGATGACCATTTTTTGCCGGAAGTTGTCACTTGTAAAATACCGTAAATCCTCTATAAAGCCCAATGGAGGGCTTATATATTTCAAGCCTATTTGAGGGGGGGTTGAGTGCTTATTTAATTTAGAAACAACAAGAGTATCATTTCTTCAAAAAGAACTAGAATACAAAGTGGAAAAACTCAAGTACAAGAAGTTGAAGGTCATGCAGCCAAGGATCAGAATCAAATCCGAACTTCCAGTTGGTAATTAAACCATCCCGGATCAGTCCAGAGGAAGTTTTACAGTCGTGATTGATTAACACAGGCTATCATTTATTAGTGAAGAATAATTAGGGAAGAGGAGGGGGGCTTAATAGAGAGGGGGGCTTATTAACTTTCTTCCCCTGAAAAGGGGGGAGGTCTAATTAGAGGGTGGGGCCTTATTTGAGAGGGGGGGCTTAATAGAGGATTTACAGTATGTATCCCTTGCATGTGTGGCATATAATTTTGGGAACCATTTGAGGGCACTTGACTTCTATGGTTTTGCAGGGTTGTCAGTAAGATTTCACATTGCTAGGTTTGCACAATTAGTTGGCCAGGGAATTAAATAGCTAGCGCTAAGAAGTTCTTTTGGATCTGTTTTCCTTATGTTTTCTAGAATGGAAGTAAAATCCAGGAGTCGTGCTAATAGTTGAGTGAGTGAGGGGAAATCTCTGGTAACCAGACCTTAGTGACAGCCCTGCAGGTTGTGAGATGACATAAAGTAGCATTATAATGCTGCTTGTTCTATAAGTAATGCTTTTGGTACATAATAAAATAATCGCATTATTATGTACTGTTTTAATGACAATAGTAAATATTTTTATATAAATATTAATATATTATTGATCTCAAGGGCTGGTCATTTATTACCTGTGAAGAGGGTGTGGCCATTTTGCTGGGGGGTCACTTTCAGATAAGGGAGCATTACCTGGGGGGTAATTTTAATAAATGTCATGAAAGTATTACAAAGCAGTAATGAGCATGATGTGAAATTGAATGTAACAGCCATAAACACCCACTGTAGAAAAAGTATGTGGCGAACTTCCGCAAGATTAGTATCCAGGGTATTCACAGTTTCCACGGCAAACGGGTGGGACATCACTACGATGAATTGGGGGGTCAGTTTGAAAATCTTTTAAGATTTCTCGAAATGAGAACCCCCCGCCCCTCACAGGTAACAAATGATGAGCCCCGCCAAAGGACCAATAGAATATTGCATAATCTTGCTGCTTTTTACCAAAAATCTATATTTGGTAGGATCAATTCCAAAACAAAACAAATTAAAACCAGTCACCACAACAGCATAGAGAATATGCACATTGATTATTGACTGAAATACCTGCATAGGTTTGGGGATACTGTAGGCCGCATGGCCCTTATTTCTTGATCAACTTCTAATTTTAAATGGTCCTCTTCCTCCCTTGACAGTCTACAGCCTATGATTTCCCCTAAAATGTGAGTGTAGGAAAAATATATTTTTTAAAACAAATCCTCTCAACTATACATCTTTGATGAAATGCATGGAGGTCAGTACAGAGCATATGTTTGTCGACATTGGGGTTAGAAGAGTTAAATCGATTTTATCCTAAATTAAAGTAACTATCATTGACAGAGTATTAAGGATTCTTCAGACTATTTCCAAGCTGAGTCACTTATGTTTTACAAACACTGTGAAATAAGTTGAGAAAACTTGAATAAATTAAGTGGTGCATATAAAAAAAGGTCAAGAAAAATATACTGATGAAAGGTATATACTTTATATAAATGTATAATACATGTAAGTTACAAAACCATGGGAAGAATTTTACGTAATCCTCACTCTTCAATAAGTTCGACTTACTGAAAAAATCTGTTAATTAATTAGTTCAATGTTATCGTGTAATGATATATGAATTGCTCCTATTTTTGTATATATTTTTTCTTTAAATTTCTTGTATTTTGGTCCAGTTGCAATATTTAACATAACATACATGTTTATTCAAACTCATAATAACTACATGAATTTGAAAGGGAGAGTCTAGAGGTTAACCCTATGAATAAAACTCTCCTAAAAACAACAAACAAACAATAAAAATTACAACTTTTTAAAAAAAGGATTTGAGTTTACATTTAAAAAGTTCAAGGGAACCGGCTTCAACAACACTACTAGGTAAATTGTTCCAATAACTAATTACATTAAAAAAAAGAATATTTAAAAAGTTGATTCTAGATAATTTACAATAAAAGCTTATACGAGTGATTTGCCCTAGTGGATTATTTTTTGAATTCCTCAAAATCCAATATAAGCCAAACACGATCTTGTAACATTCAACAAGAGAGGAATATTTTGGACAAAGATGGCCAATGTAACGAGGTCCAGCTCTTCATAAGACAATACCTCTTTTTTTGTAGATTTCTTTTACTTTAACTTTTCTAATGTACTGTAAAATTGTATTGTTGTGTAAATGAACAAATATCAAAAAAATAAATAAAATAATAATAATTCATATAAGTCAACCATACTTAAAGAAACAAATACCATTTAAAATAATGGCAGGTTCTAATTTTTGCCACTGTTTATCAAAAATTCAGCCTACACTTAGCCTACTAGCTATCCATACACATTATTTAAACACTGCAAGGCTGTGCTCTTGCACAGAAATCATACACTGGGCACCCTGAATTTCACAGGTTCACTATATAAGCACTGACCATGGGCTCCCTTGTATTTTTCCTTAGAGCACAGCCTTGCTCTACAATTGTAATTATTTGCTGTAAATCCTCAATCAAGTCCCCTGGGGGCATATTATTTATTTGAAGCATGTTTGATGGCAGGGAGGGGGGGGGGGCTTATTTGATTTAGCAAAGATGATGGTATCAGTTCTCTAACAAACAACACAATAATATTGACACAGTCTATAACTTATTAATTCCATTGTTAAGAATAATAAGGGTGGGGGAGGGGAGTGGGATTAAAAGAGAGGGGTGTACTTATTAACTTTCTTTTCAAGGCTGTGCTATGAGGAAAATCGCAGGGTCAACCCAGTGCTGTGAACCTGTAAAATATTTCTGGTGCTTAGCATAATATGCTAAGCACCCTAGATATTATGACTTGTATGAAAAAAGTAAGATTTTTTAGCCGCCTGAAAGTAAACGTTGGGCATCAGGGGCCAGTGGGCTCTGCTAGAGCACAGCCCTGCATTTTGTAAAAAATGGGGGCCTTTAGAAAAGAGGGCTGGAGGAGTATACCTGTTCTGGGCCGCACTCCAAACACCAATACTCCACCCTTTGTATTCAGCAGACCATTCATATACTTACTGACTGTCTGTAGAAAGAAAATGAAAACACACAGTTTGTTTAAGCAAAGATCTAATGCCCTTGAATTATGATGACTATATTCTTGAAAATTTAATCTAGCAGATGCAACTTTCACTTTAAAAAACCAAGGTCCAGTAAGAAAAATGGCCTACATTATCCTAAATTTCATACCCAAACTTCTATTTGATTAAACACACCAGGTTGTTCCCATTTTCCTTGACTTTGTCCCTGCACTCTGCTATTGAAACCATAACACTTTATTTTCCAAGGAGGGAATGATAACAACCTGTCAGGAATTGGACTAGCTGAAACACCAATTGTGATAATTTGCAGGACTGAGGGAAAATTTACACTTTGGGAAACTTTCTATAATGAGACCCTCTTTTAGAGAGAGGGGGGCGGTATATATATCCTCAGTCTGAATTTTTAAAACCTGTTGTTTTGCATTTTGAGGAGGAAACCATGTCCCTGTCTATATTTGATTAATGTATTTGGGCTTTTCTTTGGTGCTGTCGCTGGGTCAGCCCATCCATGTGTTGTTCACCACTATTTCAGCAGTCTTGCGTCGCCATTTCAATGCAGTGACACTTGTCACAATTTTACCCTAACAGGGTCTCAATAAAAATGGGCAAATTTGAATGCTTGTAATTCTGTTGAAATGCTGAGTATCACAACCAGTCAGTGTCAAACATAGACTGTGGACTATTGCTTTCACCATGCAAATGAGTATGTGACAACAATAGTCCCATTCTTTTCTAACCCTAAAAACAATAGTCCGCAGTCGGCAATTTACACTGCCCCGTCGGCTGACATACCAACCTTTTTGAATGGCCCGGATGGAAATCCAGGCTTTTCGAAATAAAAATGAACCACGTTTTCGTCATTTGGTTTGAAAATGCCTCCTTTGAACATCCTACAAACATAAAGGAGAGTCACTTGTCTTCTGAATTTTAACTAAATTAACCCCTAAACTTTTGCTGAAAATTTATCTGGCTGTTAAAAAATCTTTGGTCGCAGCCAGCTAGAGAAATAAATATTGTATGTGTTACAGGTCAAATTTGATTTCAGGTTAAATATCTTTTCTCAATTTCCTTTGCCTCCAAGCTCTAATTATTCATGAATTAGGGCTAGGAAACAAAGGAAATTGAGAATCAACCTAGGTTAAATCAAAAATAACCTGAAATTAAATTTGATCTTTACCATATATAAGACATATCAGACAGAATTAGGTGTTCCAAATTAGTAGAGGGTTTCCCAGATGATATTATGGATTCCCATAATGTTATTGTGTGAGAATGATTGGATAAACGAACGAATGAACAATTGATTTATTGTTTGATTGACTTGTTGATTGGAAAATTCAATGAATGAATGAATGAATGAGTGAGTGAATTAATGAATATCTATTGATCTCTTTAAAGAATGGTTGGGTTCCAACAGAAATTACTGAATTTTTTATTTTTGATTTGCCATAACCTGTGAACAGGCTCTCCGTTTGGGGAAAAAAATTCCCCACTCGACCAGAAGCCTGTTCACAGGCTAGATTTGTCACCGATTATGGACCATGCATATTAGCTGCTACAATGACAATGTAAACTGCAAATATAAACAGAGTTACAAAGACATATAAAACTATAGCGATCCCTCTTGATTTATTAAAAAAGAGACCGAATGACTGAACGGTGTATTATTCATACAGTATAAAAAGTGACTTCTCACTCTGTTCAGTCGAATCGCGCCCTTCTCTATCTGATCAAAGGCGATCGCGAGGAAATATTGCACACTTCAACTCCAGTGAGTAATGTTTCGTTTAATTAATATCCCTTACCTCAACAGAAAAGCTTATCCGAACACAGAAGAACACAGATCAACAGAAGAAACCGAACTGCGATAAACAAGCTAACAAAGCTTCTGGGGACTTGAAAAGAAGCGGGAAGTTTTGAACTTGTTCCCAGGAACAAGCGCGGAAACGGCACAGCCCACCCAAGCATGTTTTAAATTTCTTGCTCTTCACCGGCCCGGGGATTGGGTGGATACTCCCTATCATGGCCTATACCACTGTATTACGGGGAGGCTCCGTCCGAAAGGGGTATCTTTTCCAGGCGTCAGGTATATAAGAGGGTAGGGATTTTACTCGTTGAAGTATATAAAAGGGTAGGGAAATCTGTCATTTGGGTCTGTGAAAGGGCTTTATCAGGAGCCCATCAAATTTGATGGACTCCTGGCTGTATAAAGTCGAGGAAACGTTCTATTTTTGTGATTGATTCCTATTTAAAAGACAGTGAAATTCAGCAGCAGTTAAAAGGGATGAAAAGTTCTAAACAAAGTATACATCATATAAAAGGGTGAGGGGTTGGACTTCAGACCATTTACAGAAAGGTTCCGGATAACCCGGTTGGAGTGCATTCACAAAATGTGTTCATATAAGGAAGTTCCTGGATATATAAGGTCCGGAGCTCCACTGTGGACACAAAAACAACATATCTTTGGACAGTGATTTGCCCCAAAAAAATAACGCTTGCCCACAATGTGTTTAAAGTCACTGAACTTTGTCGCACTCGAGCTGATATTTTAAAACCCTCGCTCGATCGGACACTCGTAGTTTCGCAGATCACTAAAATATAAACAAAATCCTCAATATAGAAGTTATTGCGTTGATATGTGGGCAGAAAAAAGGTCAATCTTTATCTAGTAAAATCTTCCCAAAAATCGGTTTCAAAGCAACTATAGTTTTTTAAACTTGCTCGTAAGGATTCTTTATTAGCGAACACTTTGTTGTGCGTGAAAAATGTGTCTTAGGGTATGAAAATGTCGCTTCCAAGCAAGTACATGGATTATATAAATTGTCAAGCACAAGTTCTTTAATTACAATGAATGCTTTGCCTGCCACGCAGGCTAACAAAAAAGGACATTACTTGTTGAAGTTTTCACTGAGGTAGGGATTATAAGCCTGAGAAGTATAAGAACTGTCCGCTGTAGGAACCGAATCTTGATAGAGGTTCTCGTAGGGAGGAGTCGACCGGTAAAGTAGATGATAAGCAACTTTCAAGGGTTTCAGAAACCTCTAATACGGAATGTTAATGTTCGCTTGCAAGGAGGCTTTCATTTTGCGGCTGTTCCAGTAATCTGCCCTGATTCGTGACGCTCTATTTGGCGCAACATGCGCGTTAAGATGAAAGTTCAAAACAGAAAACTCCAAATGGTAGTATTATTTTAACTGATTGCAAACTAGTGCAAGTACAGAGTTCTCCAAAATCTGAGTATTTGATGGCTCTAAGCAGAACAAGAGCAATGTACTGCTTATTTCCATATGCGTACGTTGAGGATTCAGCACCTGCTTTTCTTAAAACAAGAAAAGAAATACACTACACTGATCATGATACTGCGCAACAGGAAATCAAATAGCACGCAGTTGTATCATGATGTTACCTAATTTCTTTACCAACCAGGTTGATAATGATATGCATTTTTCCAAACAACGACTGCAACCATTTAAAATAATTGACTGTAGTCTGTTTTGTCCGTTAGCGCGTCAGTTTTTTAGCTACTTTAAGTTGTGTCCTAGTTACGTTGTGATTTTGTTAGGCTCGATTACCACCCGCTGTTCGGGAAAATGAGCCCGCACTCAGACCGGACCCGGGAGACGGAGGAAATCGAGCCCATGATTTTGTATTTTGTTGTAATTCTGTGAGTTTACCATTTCGCATCGATTCGAAATAATGCAAGAAATATCGACCTTCGTTATCTTTAAGGCTGCTAGCACAGATAGACAAACAAGAAGACTTCATATCTTAAAGATTTTTGCATTTATTTGGCATTTATTTGGCATCAGAGTTGGTCCCTGCCTTTCTTTACTCCTTTTATTTGACTCTCTATAAGACGGACAGCTAGTGCCGGTTCCAAAGGTGTCCGTCTTAGAGAGAGTTGACTGTACACTAATAATTCTAGTATATTCCGATCAGATGACCTCTGAAGCCCGAACCCACAAATAGTGCGCTTGGGCTGCCTGTGGTGTCACGTTCCGGTAGTGAGGTTGCGTTACCTGTGCCAGAGCCCCTCGTTTCAAGACCAAGAAACGACTGGCTCTGGGGACAACAATAAAAGCTAACGGAAATGCTTGCTACGCATGCTGTGAGACAATGAATGATTTTCCAGTAATCGGATACTCATGTTTTGCGCACAGGATTTTGGGATCGCCAGGAGGCAAACATTGCGAGTCGCTCGCTACAAAGAATTGTATTGCTCGGACTTGTTTCTCCGTTAAAAGCAGTGTCTTTGGACATAGAATGCCGCACTTTGCCGTGATTTTAGGAGAAACGGAGGTGACTAATGTTGGTGCGTTGAAATTTCAAGTTTCTGTGCGATTAATGCGATAAATTCTATCGGTAAACACTCCTTGCGTGAGGTTGAGTGTGAAATTTATGTTTACTGAATTTACACAGTGATCTACACGAAGAAAAGGTCTCGAAATATATAGTGCAAATTTAGGTATACATGTAGGGCGATTGGCTCATTTAAGCTTTTCAGTTTTTTAAAATTACGTGTGGTGATATTTACAACGAGTGTAACTATGACGCTGAACAATCGTAGGACGTGGCCATAAAAATAAAAAATCCTCCTTTACAAAGTAACATCAACGAAATATTTCATAGAAAGTACATGGTATTTAACCATTAGTAGATGAGGCAGAAATCGTACGAACGAGTAAGATTTCCGATACAAAAGCAGTGAGTGTGTAAATAAATACCACGTTCATGTACGAAATTCAGAGATTCTATATCTTCCCTCAAAATGATCGGAAAAGGCATTAGAACTCGTTGGTGCTCTGGATCATGACAAAACATTTCGCTTGTGTTTTTTTTGGCTAGAAGGAATCAATATACCAATGTGGGGAAGATGTTTTGCTTTTAAATCAAATTCGACAATACATAAGCTTACCTTCGATCATTGTCACAAACCGGGGGGGATGTACTTTAGGAATTTCTGGGTGGGGATGTGCCGCTGTGACCCTGGAACCCTTAACCTATACCAGAGCTACAATCTTGGACAAAATAAATGGAAAACCTAGACCCCGCTCCTCCCCAAATCAAGAATGGGGAAAATTGGGCGTTTTTGCCTTTCGCGCGCCTTTATCCTTGATTCGGGGGGATGGGGGTTTGCTGTTCCATTTTATTTTGTCCAAGATTGTAGTTCAGCTGAATTTTGCTACCCTATACTAGAGTAAACTCCCCAAATCCCCCCTATCCTAGAGTAGCTGTTTCCCTAGTCTAGATAAAATCTTCAACCAGGGTATCATTTTTCAAGAAACTGATCTGTATCACGGCAAAATGCGGCATGCTCTGTCCAAAGACACTGCTTTTAAACGGAGAAAAAGCTCTACGCCATACATTTCTTTGTAGCGCTTGCAATGTTTGCCCCCTGGCGATCCCATAATCCTGTGCGCATAACTAAGTCTCCAATTACTGGAAAATCATTTATTACCTTATTCTCCTTAATTTTCGCGGGTTCTTAAATTTGCGATTTTCGCGATTTAAAAAAATTCACGAACTTAAAGACCCGCGAAAAATAACGACCGCGAACTTTGATCTCGCGAAATTTAATGTTCATAGAAAAATCATGTATGTGTGTTTTCAAGGAAACTAAACAATTTTTAACACAAAGTGTTATTACAAAGAGCTATCATCTATCAACTTTAGATGTTAATCAGTGTCACGATTCCCCTCAAGTTCTTCTTCGGCATCTGAGTAATCATCTTCGCACAGTTCCTCCAATACATCCTTTGTACAGTCGTCAAATTGACCATCCTGTCCCGGCTCCTTGTAGTGTGTAGTTACGAGTGTCTTATATCTTTCCATTATTGCCCTGTTCCTTGGTGTATCGTCCATTTCACATATCACCTCAACAGGAATTTCCAGACCTCCCTGAATCAATGGGGATTGACGATAGTTTTCAGCAGTAACTTTAAGATGAACCATCCCACCTCTCAATAAGAAAAAGCGAGTAGCTCTAGAAATCTCTCTGGGCAAAAGCCCATAATCGAATCAGCCAGGCGACCACGGAGCCGTTTGTTAGGTGCAATTTTGTATCGTAGATATCGTTTCCTTCGTGAGAACATCTCAAAAGCTCCCCGACGATGGGCTTCCAAATTTCTTTGTAAACATGGAATCCACGAAAGCCACACAAAAATGAATTGGCCATGTTAAAGCCTGCACCGCCGTTGATTAACGTACAATTTTTGTAAAAATGAAAAAGTAAAGTCACTTAATCGTCAATTTCGCGAAATTAAATTCCCTACAAACACAATTTTTCTCCGCGATCGCGAAATTAAAGACTCGCGAAATTTAAGTCCCGCGAAAATAAAGGAGAATAGGGTAGCTTGCGTGGCAGGCGTTAAAAGGGGACTGGGAAAGGGGAATTTGGGCGCGCGAGGGAGAAAGGAAAGGAAGTTCCCCTCGTCCCTCCTCCCCCGCGCGCGGTCTCGCGCCTTAATTCCCTTCCCCTTCCATTTCGAAGGCCATGAGAGGTAGTCTGCTACACAGCCGTTTTTAGTGTCGTCACGCAACGCTCCTCCCCACTAACGGCTGCTGAAAACCGAACTACATTCCTTTCCCGTGATTAGCCAATTATAATTCAGCTCCCATTTTCTGGAAAGTGTTTGCGCCACGTTTGCGATACTGTGACTCCTCCAATCACAGCTTTGCTTTTATCGGTGCCCCATGTGTGAATGACAGAATAATCAAAACGTCGCGTGAAAACAAGCAATCAACTAGAGTAGTGTTGCCGTAGTCGAGTCCTATTTAATATTTAGGAGATAAGCACCAGCAGCAAGCAAGTCGAGCAAATTGCGGTGCACAACATGGATGTGCTCATAAAGTTGCCAGGTAGAGTTCGGGAAATCGCTCATCGATAATTTAAAAGATTGGTTTTTGAATCAGTACCCTTGAGAGTTTAGTATTCACAGGAACACAATGAGCACATCCGGCACATTTAAATTCTTCATCACATATCAGTACATATGCACGTTAAATGAAGAACCAACCGATCCTGGTAAAAGTCTTCTAGGCCTATCAAACCTTTCTTTCACTTGGAACTTTCTTGACCGCTTAAAACAAACTTTTTTGCAAATTAACCTTTTCGTTGCTTGAAAACACAGAGCCCGTCTAAGTTCAGCGACGATTGATTGATTTGTCGAAAACTGAGAAGCGTGCTCGCTTCCTAGCGCCCCGCGGCTCACGTATTGTCAAACTTCTTGTGCGTGATTGGCTTGTTCGTTAGACCACAAATACAAAGGGAAAGGAATGTAGTTCGGTTTTCAGCAGCCGTTTGTGGGGAGGAGCATTGCGTGACGACACTAAAAACGGCTGTGTAGCAGACTAATGAGAGGAGACTTGGGTTGAAATTTCCGAAGTTTGGGAGACGCCGTCTCTATTGAACTTAGTATGGAAGATTCAAGTATTTGTTGTGAGAAAAAGTTCCAGGACGTCGACAGCGACGATTGTGAGGAAACTTGGCAATGTAGTTCGTCAGTCGAGCAGTCTTTTCTTGATTTAGAACCCATCAGTGAAGCTAAACAATCTTCGTTTTGCGTTGAACTGATGAAGCGACTCAACATGCAGCGACAACAGTCCTATTTCTGCAACATAACCTTAATAGCGAAAGAAGGGAACGAATTTATGGCCCATAGAAATGTTCTATCGGCTGCGAGTCCGTTTTTTTCAAAGCTTCTTCAGAGCGAGATGAAAGAGAAAGAGGAAGGAGTCATTCGGTTCGAGGAGATTTCCAAATCGGTCCTCTCAGATGTTTTGGAGTTCATCTACACAGGAAGTGTCAAGATAAATAAAAAGAATGCCAGGGACCTGATAATCGCAGCCGACTATTTACTGCTTAAGTCTTTGAAAATCATCGCCGGGCGATTTCTAGAGGAGCAAATGTCTACCAACAATTGCATTTCAACTTTTCACTTTGCGGACAGATATCGTTGTGATGAACTTGTTCTTCGTAGTACAAAGTTCATTCAAGACAACTTCACTTCCGTAGCAAAGTCAGACGAATTTTTAAACTTGGATGCTGAAGAAGTTGAAAAGTGGATTTCAAGCGAGAATATTTTGGTTGCAGCTGAAGAAGATGTGTTCAGAATCATTCTTAACTGGATCGAGCAAAATAAACGCGAGCGAAAGGACAAGTTTGAGCAGCTATTTCGTCATGTTCGACTGGTCTTGCTTTCGCGTGACTCTCTATTCTCTGATGTCGTGACAAATGAACTGGTTACAGAACATTTTTCTATTTTGAGGCGGGTCACGGATGCCATTAAGTCAGTTAGTGCTGCAACTGAGGATGCTCAAATTCAACCGGCGAGAAGAAGGCTTGAAACACACGCCATTGTAGTACGTGGAGGGAAAACAACTTACTGTTACCTTCCCGAGAAAGATAAATGGAAGCGACTAGCAGACGGATTATCTGAAGACCGAGACCACACTACACAGTTAATACCCGGCATGTGCAATCGATAAAACCGATAATCGATAACATTCGATAACAATCGATAAAAATTAGTAAATTGTATCGGAAATCGATTAAAATCGATAAAAGGACACGTTGTGAGTAATCGATAATTATCGATTTTTAAATTAATGTTATCGATTTTATCGAATTTCTAAAATGTATCAAATCTTCCATAAAAACACTCTTACGATTCAATGAATCAAGTAGGACGAATTTAAAGATTTATTTAACAAATCGATAATTGAATGAATACTGATAATCAAATAATATTAACACGATTCCCTGGCATGATTCAACGGGGAAACGCAACATAACATAACCGCTTTTTGTATTTACTCAGAAACTGTTCAAGCTAAATGTCGAATGACATCCTACAAATACATGTACTACGGCACGGTGAAGCTGCGTAGTTGTAATGCTAGACATTGTCTCCAGTAAATGTTTTGTCAGCAAAACCCCGCCCGCCGCAAAAATCATACTACAAATCAGAGCTAAAATCATTCTATAAATAAGTAAAACGAAGTAAATGATGAACTCCGCAACTAAAGCAGAAGAGAGGTAATGAAACAAAAATAACTGATATATTATATTAAATTAAAACGCTGTCCACATAGAAGCAGTTTTATTTTGTATGGTTTTTGATACTCCGTTAACATCGATTACTCGATAAAATCGATATCGTTAAATACGCGGAAGACTGTGAGTATCGATTTCTATCGATTGATCGATAAAATCGATATCGATTAATTAAAAATTATCGATTGATATCGATTTATCGAACGGTTTTCCGATATCGGTTTTTATCGATTGGTCATACCGGGGTTAATAAAATTCCGTGATCAGCTGTATAGCTTTCCTCGGAGTAGATCTGCTGAGACAGAAAGGTATGATCCCGCTCTCAACAGTTGGACCACTTTAAAGTTATCCCCTCCTTTTGAGAAACTCTCGTTGGCTGCCCTTAATGGGAAAATTCATGCTATATACCGTCCTTATCGATCCGCTCCTGTGATTAAAAGATATGATATAGAGTCGTGCGCCTGGGAGACTGTGATATCTTCTCAGGACTTCCATTACAGTGATGACTCTTGTGTTGTTGCTCTTGGCAACTGTCTGTATGTTCTTGGTGGTGGATATAGTGATAAGCTGGCAAGTTTGACACTGCGGAAGGAAAATGGGAGGAAATTGCATCTATGCAAACTAGGAAGAGCGGTGCCTTTGGTGTGGCTACTCAAGGGAAGATTTTTGTTTGTCGTTCGGTCGATGGATGTGAAGTGTATGAGGTTCCCACAAATGAATGGCAAACCATTGCAAGTTTGAACGACAGATTGAACATTTGTCCCCTATTTCATTTGCGTTGTGTGGTGTGTCTTAACGAAACAGTTTATGTAGTGGGTACAGTCAGTGAATATTATTCTTCTTCTTCACAGCAAGATGAGATAATTGTAGTTGAAAGCTATGATCCCAAACTAAACAAGTGGATCCAGAAGACCTCCATACCCATCAACAAGGGCTCTGAGGTTAAAAAACATTCATTTCACTACTCTTCATTGAAACTTGCTAAAGGATTGCTCAAGAAACCAAAAATTGTTACAATTGATTAACTGACAAAGACAATTGTATAATATTTACTATGGGAAAAGCTACTTGTTCAGGAAGGATAAGTGATATTGTTCGAATATTTTCCATTTCCCTGGAGACTCATATTTTCCATTTGCCTTTCTTAGGGCCGAAAAAAAAGAAGTATATTAATTGTCAAGAGTAATGGGCTTGTTTTAGTTTTTGGTAACGGCAGAAGGTAAAGTAGATCACAGGGATTGCATTATTCTCTCTTTCTTGTAGTAATGTTTATTTTTAGTTTTTAAAAAGACAAACATCATGTCCAGACAAAATGTTTTTTAAGTCAAGGCATGTGAACAGATAACCCGTGGGGATGTTTGTACCAGGATCGAAGATTTACCAATAAGATTATAGGGCTGTTCTTGTTGTGTTTAAGAGTAGAAACTCTCAGATTATTTGTCCTTCTATCCCTCGCCATTGAAACCTGCAGAATTAAGAAACGTTCTTCCTGCCACCTTCCCTATCATCTTCTCATGGGTTCTCACTCTCACTTTTTACTTCTCCATGTGGTAGATTGTTTTCTTTAGGGAGAGTTGTTTTTTGTTGCCCTATGTTTGACCACACTTTTCAATATATGTCAGTCTGTTTAGATTTCTTGTTTTGTTGGTATCCAACTGAGATATAAGTTGATTCAATTAAAAGTGCCACAAACGTGGCCAGATTTATCCAAACCATTTGTCGCTTAATTAATTCATTCAATTGTCTCAATCTCTTAACACTTAAGTTGGTTAAAACTGAGCAAAGCTAGCACTGACATAGCTTATTTTTGGAACATGCCTCAAAGTAAATGCATGTTTCATAGATCGTGATAGACAAATAGATGTGGTGAACGCTTTTAATTTTTTTACTTATTAACAATTTGTTTTTCAAACCTGATTTTTGTATTTTGTAAATATACTTGACTGATGAAGTTGGGACAATCCTGGAGTCTCCCCCCAGATAGTAGATTTTTGGAAATCCTGGTAAATGAGTATTTCAGGTTCACGTAAATGGCTGTGAGACAAGAAAATAAGGGTTATTACATGGAGGTAGGGGACCCCAGGTAGGTGAGGTAACGTGCTTAGGTAGGGTTACCCGCCTATTATGATCTCTCATTTTAATTTGATCACATTTACATGGTAGGTGGAGTGACCTGCCGCATGTTACCTCACCTATCTGGGGTCCCCACCTCCATGTAAACAGGCCCTAAGTGAGCAATGGTAGAGATAATTGAAAAAAACCTTATTGAAGTGACATATATGCTTTGTTTGCTGCTAGAGCCTATTTAAATTCATCAGGCAATTATTCTTCAAGAAACAACAGCCAAAGCTTTATACTCCATTTTCAAAAACAACCAATGCCTCAAATCAATGCCTCTTACTTTGAAATGTACAATTTGAGCAAGGAGGAAAAAAATTCAAGCAGTTACAAGGGTAAGAGCCATAATGACTCCGGCTAAAAAGTTTTTGCAAGACCTGTAAAGCAGATGAATTGGTCACATTAAACCCTTTCTCGTCCACGGTTTCAATTTAGACTTTGTTTATTAAATATCTAGCACTAAGTATTTCAAAACATTTTTTGTAAACTTCTCTGTTTTTACTGCATGAGACTAACTTACGACTACTGTTGAGTATAACCATAGTTAGTGGAGGAGACTGGTTAGGAAAGCCGGCAAACATCAAAGTTGAAAACAATGGTGCTGAAGGTTATGTTGGAAGCTTGTATTTGCTACTATTCACAAGTCAGGATGATTATATTGTGGTAACGCGGTCGTAACCTTTACAGCAAAGCGGCAACACCTATAATCCATTTTTGGTTTTGTAGAGGCGGTGTCCCAACTGACCTTTGGTGGTTTTTTGTTGCCCCCGCAGGGATTTCGCCTAGCCTGCGTGGCCGGCGTTGAAAGGGGAAGGGGAAGGGGGAATTTGGGCGCGCGCGAGAGCGTGTAAGAAACTGGAAACCGCGCTAGAAAAGTCTCTGGCACCCTTCAAGATCCCCTGGCCGGGTTTGAAAAAATGGCGGGATTTCAAATATTTTATTGCCTAAAAATAAAATGTTTTCACTCATAATCTGGAAAGAACAGGCAATTTGTCTTTAAAAGTTGCAAGCTGTGGTTATAACCTTGTCGTTACTTAATTTTCTCGAAGAATGCCTCATAGTAAAACGGACTTTAACGACATTAATTTCCTTGCGTTGTACTGGAAGTGTGCATGCGTAACTCCGATTTTTTTCGACGGTATATTAAAATGAAACACGAGTTGTTCCAGCGGAAAATTTCCGCGAGCAACGGAACATCTGAAATAACCTGCGCAGCAAGCGTTTCCGTTTGGTTTCGTAGCAAAGAAAGACCGGTTTTGGCCGCGCGAGAAATGAAACAAGAGGCAAAAAATGAAAGAGGGAATGGGTTGATAGGCCTAGCCTCGTTCCCAGGGATTAGGGTCTGTCCTGATTTTGAGCAAGAGCAACCTCGAACAAGATTTGCTGAGCTCTGAGCAATGTTTGAGAGCACAAAAAAGTCAACGATATCATAGAAAAAGTCCGCATTTTTTGCGAATTTATAGAATGATTTTCAACCTTTGAACCAGCTTTGAATACACAGCCTTTCACTTGACAACTTTCGCAGACCTAAATGGTACCAAATAGGCATTTAAACGTGCCCAAGAGGCCTGGGCCAGGTTGCATAAAACCTTCTGAAGATAAGAGGACTCTTCACTTTTGTTCTAGAACAATATTCTGTTTTTTCGAAAAAATAGTTATGAGTTCCCTTAAGTAATGATCCGGGTAAGGTGGATAGCAATTTCCTTTGTTATGCTGTAACGGTGCTTTCAACACATAGGAATGTCCTCATTTTTAAAACAGAGAATGCATAAACTTACATGAAGGCCGTTTACGTAATAAAAGGCATTTACACTCCACTTTGAAAGGGTGTTTTTTTGTGTTAAAAGGTTTTGACCAATCACAAGAGTTGAAAACAACAGCCAAGGAAAGTTTACAATTTTACATGTTCCCCACATAGGATTTTTTTGTTATTCAAACTGAGACCTGATTTTGTTATATGGAAGATGCTTGGAAAGTGAGGATGAATATATGTACTGCTTTATGAAGTTTTGTTAACTTTTGCTGTTTCAGCCAATCAGAAGTAAGTACAGACAATAGAAAAGTTAGCACCTTTTTTTGTATTCCAACATGTTCGTTGCCGTTGTTGTTATCGTTCTTATCTGGACCGTTTCTTAATCTTAAAATGTTTTTTGCAACCCGACCCTGAAACGCAGTCAGCTCATAATTAATCACAAGAAAACGCTTAAGGTAAGATTGAAAGCGAAATTTAATGCACATTTTCCGTTGAGTGGTGCCTGATCTCACAGTTATATACCTGGATCAGTATAATAGCAACTTGCATAAAATATAAAACGGCAAGCTGATCCTTACGGCAGGGCGATGAACAAGTGAACAAAAGAGTTATACAAAAAAAAATTGAACAAATTTGGACACCTTCCACGCAGGCTACGTAAAGTCGACATAGGAGAGCTCGGATCCAAGTAAATTGCAGCCTGGAGATAGATGGGCATCAGGGGTTATTGAACATTACAAGAGTCGGATTCAGTGAAACTGTTACGCAATGGGGCCTACGACGTTTCGTCCTCACACAAGAAAAGAAGGTCTCAACGTTTTAGTAGCCTATGTGGAGAGCGTTAGTCTCCTTCACAAACGCTCGAGTCGGAGTCACGCAATGCTCCCCGCGTGGGGACAATGGCAAGCATTTAAACCATGCTGAGAAGCGCCCCTACTTCTGACTAAATCGACGGGTGAAATGAAAAACCTTTCTTATGAAAATGAGTTTTATTTGCATAAGAATAAGAAATCACTATCAAATCAACTGCGTCGCACTTAGCCTCGCTTTGAAACAGAGGTTTGAGGCAACTCTGCCTATTTACTATTAACTAATTGCTCAAGCCAAAAAGCTTATTTGACAAGATTCAAGGACTCAGATTTTTTTCTTTATCCTGCGAACTTGTTATGTTTTGTTACTTGTGACGTCACGGAATTCACCTTCCTGGGAAGCCATGTGTGACGATCAAAAAAACGGTAGCGAAACTAACCAACAGACGCTCCTTAAACTAAGATGATTTTTATTTCTTTACATTTTATCGCAACAGATTAAGGTAGTTAGATCTTGTTGAAAGCAGCAACATCCACACTCTGAATCTGTTAAGAGTCACAAAATAAGTGAAAAACACTTGTCAGAGTATAAAAAGGTGAAGGCGCACACGAGCCAAAGGCTCAAACGGCTGGAGCTTATCCGGGTTTCTTTAACATGACGCATGCCGAGGGGTATTGCTACCCCCCACCCCCCCGGGACAGGATGCTAATCCATCGCAGGGTTCCCTCCCAGCAGTATGTTGCTGGTACCCATTTATAGACCCGGGTACGAGACACAGAGCGGAATAAAGTTCTAAGGGAACAACGCGACGGGCCGGGCTTTGAAATCTGGAGTTCTAGTTGTTAACCGCTCGGCCACTTACACCTCCGCAAACAAAGCGAAAAATATGATATTAAAGGAGCAAGTATCAAGAAGAGGAAACTGTCAAAACAAAGAGTTTAAATAAAACTTACGAAATCTTCGAATTCCGTTATTTTTTCCTCGAGAAACTCTGTACCAACTTTATCGTCCTCGACTACACAAGAAATTTGTAGTTTCTGTACACCATAGGCTACTGGTACAAACTTGCCTAAAACACACAAAGACAGAGTTAAGACATGCGAGAGATTAAGAATCGCCTTTACAGGGCCTTAGCTTGGGGAGGGGCCGCCGTTTTTTTGCCGCAAAAAGTCAAAACATGCACGCATAAAAGTTGAAAATACAAATTCATCTCCCAGAGCACTGAAACAATGATGTCTCTGCAGCTAGGTGAAACATTTTCTGGTTTTAAGATACAGAGACCAGTCCAATGGGTCATCCAGACCCCAAACCCTCTGCTTTTCAAATACAATGAGCTACCTAAAATCTTTGCACCCCCCTAGTTTCTAAAGGTTTGCTTCGGTCCAGCTTTACGACAATAGCCTGCCGGTGTCCACTTCGTGCTAAAGGTAAAGGCGCACACGAACCAAAGGCCAAAACGGCCGGGAGCTTACCCCGGCTTCTTTAGCTTGAAGCATGCATATGAGTATTGCTACTCAGTCCTGGTTGTGGTAGTGGCAGTGGTGTTTCTGGTAGTGATGATGATGATGATGGTGACAGTGACGCCTATGTATCAGTACAGGTACTTACTTGTTCCCCAAAGAAGACCATCGCATGTGATGGAACGTACAGCGGCTTCCATAGCTTTTAGATCTGTAAAATAAGAGAAATATTTAACATTTGAAGCAGCTTCATTTACACGTCATCGTTCTGGCAATCAAAAATTTTTGTTACGATGATATTTATAAGTCTCTGCTAAAAGTGATAGAGTATTTTTTTCTTAGATTACTTAGTATGAGTGACCATTATGAGTAAGCTTCTCTTAATCCTTCAAGCGCTAAGAAAGAATCAGCATCAAAATTCTCCTTTTGATATCAATGCTTTTTATAAAACAGATCAGTGACGGAAATAAAGGACATCATCACACAAGATAAATCTGGTTTATACTTCAACAATTATTTCTCCCCTCTACTTCTATAGGAAATGTATAGGGACAACAAATGAGAATTTCAATTTTGATAGCAGAGTTCACCTTCACATAAAATCTCATCACCTTACCTGTTTCATCATCCCACTGAAGAGAAAAAATGGGAAATGAAAAATAGATGCAAGTCAGTATAAATAATTGAATGAACCACTATGATCAGCTATGATTTAATCAACAGGTGTTATCATCATCAAAATTTTAATATTGTAAGTTATCATCAGCACCACAATCATCAACATTATCACTAACATCATCTTTTATTATCATCACTATTGTTATCATCACCATCAATATCAGACCTCCCGTTCTGCAATCAAGCGCTCTAGCAACTAAGCTAATCCTGCCATGGTTAAATCAGAAATATCATTGAAATGTTGTGTTGAAGGAAAAAGTCAGTTAGGCATGAGGACACTAAACCACAAGAAACAATGCTAATTAGTTCCTGATTGTGTTGTTTGCTTGCATGTCCTGATCTTTTTTGTGACTGATACCAACACAATAAACACTTCTGAAATACTTGTGATATTTAAGGTTTTCTGGGCTTGACAGAAACGTACCGGTTTTACATCCAGAATAATGTTTGACTTTGCTATAACTCCTGGTTCTGAAACAACAGTAGTTGCATGTTAAACCAACACTCTTGTCAGCGATGGGTGCTTATTGAAAGCACTGAATCATTCACTAACATTCAGTTACTCCACATAAATAGTGATAAATTTCATATGGTAAAATCCTTTCCCTAACAGAATAATAAGCAGTAAAAATCATAATTTACCATTGTGATCCCTTGAATAAAAGTGCCTGACTACTTATTTATTTATTTATTTATTTTTTGTACAAGGGTAGCTCCTTAATTCAGGGGGTGGGAGTGGTGTCAATGTTTCCCTTTAGGTTGACAACAGTAAAATCCTGTTAAGAACTGATCACTGTTGAGCATAAGCTGGATTGCCGTCGCTCTCCTGAGTCCAGTCCTTTGATCCTCCATGTTTTCCCAAACAGTGCAGTGACTGGTTATCAAGCCTATGATGACCCTTTAAGTCCCAATATCCACATACAAATTCTCCAAACTGATCTCTATATATTTCCTTAAAGAATGAGTTGAGAGAATTTGACAAAAGATCAAGGCATTTTCTTTTAGGAGATCATTTTATTAATTCTCATAACTTAGTCTCTTGGCAATGTACGGATATCATTGGGAGAAAATTGATGTTGGTCACTATTGGGACTTGAAGGGTACAGCAGTGTACAGAGACAAAGACTTGTACAAATACTTACTTTTGGCTTTCTTGGCCGCATATTGTGCAAGTCTTGCCTTCCTCTCCTCTTTTTCCTAGCAAAAGAAACCAGGATAGCTAAGATAAGATATCCCAAGATAGAAAGAGGGTGCAGCAAAGTACGGTGTTCGTGCAAAATGCTGACACACATTAGACGTCTGTGCATTGAGTTAAACATGAAATGTCTTGTTGATTTTCTGACATACTTCTTCCTCTTCTTCTTCCTCATCAGAGCCAAACAAATCAAAGTCATCATCATCTTCCTCCTTAGCTTTTTTATCCTCCTTCGATGGCTGAGAATTCAAGCGTAAATAATAAGCCATTCAGTCCGAGCCTACAGATCATGACACTCAGGCCTGGTTCAGACACCGTACTTTTCATGTGCCGAACCTAACTGAATAAGTTCGACTTTGGAGCGACACTGGCGCGACATCTGATTCAGGCGGCGTACCGTGTGTCGACCTTAAGTTAAGTTCGACAAAAGTTTGACAGACTCTGTCGAACTTAGCACTTTTGCCGCACCAAACTAAAACTGCCGTACCAAATTGATTCACACGCCGCTCTTTTGCCGTACTTAATTCATCAGTTAGGTTCGGCACATGAGTGGAGCGGCGTCTGAACTGGGCCTTATTTACAGGTGTAGTTTACATTCAAAACGTTTATTCGCAGGGAAATCTTTGCAGGCTGTTTTAATAAAAATTAATATCTCCCACATTAGCCTTGACTCCCACGTACCTTATATAGAAATTATGTAGACATATACTTTATTCTTTCTATGTAAAAATAAATCTTTCATTTCAAGATCTGCATAAACAAATGTCAGAAAAAATTATAAAAACTTACAGCTGAAGCTGGCTCGGACTGTGCCTTGCCCCCTATGAAGAAAAGAAATCACACACTGCAAGTTACAGAAACTGATACACTTACAACAAAATGGTGTGTAGCTGTCAATGGGGTAAATTTTACTTTGTAAGTAAAAATTTACAGAGAACTTGTTCAAATCAACAAGGTTATGCCTTCTTCAACGTATTTGATCAAAACCAACAACAGAACAGTACAGTCATGAAATACGAATAGGGAGCTTAATAGGCAACAATGACATCAATGAAAATAAAAACTCCTAAAGAATTAAGTAGGTAACTTGATAAGCTGACACAACTCCTTACATGCATTACCCTTTTGGTACATCTCTGTGCTATAGTGTGTGTGACTATGATGTGAAATTTGTCAATGTATGACATTTTAATCACACAGTCAATGATAAATAATTCCACCTTCAGTAAGCGGTGCTCCAAGATGGCAGGAGCGCATTTTCTTGTCTCCATAGCATTTAAATGTACTCCTGTCTGCGTCGTTTGATCTTTTAACATCCTGTATAGTGTTTTTCACTTAAGCATTAACAAATATGCATGTATAAACTTTATTAACATATGATCCTTAACAAATTCAACTTCAGAAGAATTCACCCACATTTGATGAGTTTCATGTAATGGAATATACCGGTATGTAATAAAGTTCAAAGGAATGCAAATTAACTTAATTATTTGTCAGTAAAATGTTTTTACTGCTGTCACTGTTCTCATTGCCTTAAGTCTCTGATTCCCAAATTCTTAGCTCCACACACTGACTTCTCAGTGATGTGTTGGTAGTGTCTGGAGGATGGCTGTGGCTTGGTTACCATGGTGACATCTTTGCTGCTATGGAGACTGTTACTTCCCTCTTTTGCTGCCCTCTAATACTTACATGTATGCAATCTTCTTTATGTTAAATCTAATTTTAGAGAACAAAAATGACCAATGATAATTATGGTCCTTTGATTACCTTTCTCAAGCTGAGTAACTCGCAATGTTAGTTTTTCCAGTGCATTCTTTAACTCATCAGTAACTATAGAGTCAAATATCAAAAATGATTTAAGACTAAGGGTTAATACCGTTATGTGATGACCAGGTGATAACAGGTATTAGCACAACTCCCCAAACCTAGTCTCAGAAGGATGACATGCTGTAAACATTATTTGATTAATCAGCAACTTTTTTAATTATTTATTATAAATCTCTTATGTGTGTCAGACCTTTCTTCAGTTGCCTGTTCTCCTCTTCTAGCTGAGCAATACGAGCATCTCCACTTGCCGGAGCCGATGCATATGTTGGTGCCTAAAGTAGATGGAATTAACCGTCTTAGTACTCATACACATAATGAGGTTGAGTTGAAAATAACTAAGGTTAAAACCTAGCTATATGACTGGTCAACTGTATCCAAATGTGAAGGTTTTTAATCCATCAGTGCTCCCATGAGCTCTTGCTTTCAGAGAACTGTTGTAAGATACATGTTTATATTAAAAAAATTGGTTTATTTAGATAGGTTGTTAAAGTCAGTGATCAGAAGTAGATTGATGGCCATGGAGCAAATTTAAGGGCAAGCTAAGACACTAGCTTACCGAGCTAAGCGTCTGATGAATTTTTTCTCGGGCTTTTGCTATTTCTTGAACTGGAGAAAAGCTTGAGGCCTAAGAGAGAACAAAATTTGGTTGGAAAAGTACAGCAGATTTAATGAGTATGTGAAAGAGAGACGTGTTTCAGGCTGAAATGAGCTAGTGTTGGAAAAATTGTGTTAGAGTATTTGGATTGAATGATGATTCATATAGCTACACGTAAACGCTGTAAAAAAAATGTAAAAAGTGTCTCGGCTAATCCGGCATGACTGGATGTTCGTAATATGATGTGAAACAATACAGCTCTCACGCAAAAAGAATGCAACAACTAGTCAGTTCAAATTCATTATCTAATACAATAAACCACTAACTTGTGCAAAAAGAATGTAACAAGTCAGCAAGAATTCTCACGAAAGAGTCAACTGTTCATATTAATCCAGCCCTACATTAAAACCAACAAGCAAATTCTTCACACTGTTCTCTATGTTAATATTTTTTACAGTGTTAGTTTCATGATTACATGTATTCCTTTGTTTTTGTGACTTTTAATTTAGGTAAGGTTTTGACATTAAACAACGACTACTGAAGTTTATCTCAGCAATCATGTTTGTTTCTTGAGGAGCAGTTATTGTTGCTTTAACTCAAGAACTTTAAAAGAACCTTCCACGATTTTTTTCAACTTTTGATATTAGGGAAAATCTGTCAACACCAATGGAAAGAGTGTCTTAAAATTAATAAAATTGTCAAGGTTGAAAGTGATTTGTTCAAAACTAATCAAGATACAGCTCCTTAAAGTTGGGACTTGCCCCCCACATACAAATGTTGTTAAAAAATTTTCACAACTTCCCCCTGCGAAGCTATATCTTAGCCCACTTTAGACGTATCACTTTCAAATTTGGCAATTTTATTAATTTTAAGGCACTCTTTCCAGTGGTGTTGACGGATTTTCCCTAACTGTGGAAGGCTGTATTATCATTGATTCAAAAGAAACCCCTTGAATTATAAAATTTTAAGCTGTGTCAACTAACAACTTAGAAGGACTATGAGATGATCTTCTACAAAGGGATGTCCCCCTTTTTTTGTAATCCCCTAAGGATGGCAGGTTTTTGAATAGGGGTTTGGATTTCTACTTCAAAGTAGCCGACAAAATTTGGTCCCTTCGGACAAATTTTTCAACGGCGGCAACAACAAATGAAACCCTTTGGATTTCATTTTTCAAAGGGCAACAATTGAAATTTGAGGGTTCGTTTTCCAGTCATCTTTTTTTGGGGGAGGGTGTCGCATAAAAAGTGGAACAACCAAGAAAGTGCGAGATCAGATGTTGATGAGTGTATAAAGTGTACAGCAAACAACTATGCCACCTTATCATCATGTAAAAGTTACTTGGGGGAGTAGACATGGAAGTGGCACGGGGGTTAGGAAGCCCACATCAAATCATAAGGAACTGTACTGTAGAGATAAGAGTTCTAAGCATTTTAAATGTTCATTTTAAGGAAGAGGCAAGTCTTCTTATACAAAAAAGAAAATCAGCTAGGTATGACAATTCGTTTTGTTCATTATGATTGCCTTCGGCTATAAATAAAAAAAATAATGAGTGAAGGAATGGACTTTTCTCATGATGTAAAATTAACGTTTTAAAACATGTAATATACGAAAGTTCACAACGCAATTCTATCTCTTGTTTTGTTAAATTATATACAGTACATGTACGAAAATAGTCCAAATAAAGTAAAGATTGGCTGTGGAAAACATGAAGATTTTGATATCAAGTACCTTTACTGGCGACCCATGTGACTGCGAGACAGAGAAAGTTCCCGCGAGAGATCTCTGATAATGAGCTTCTGCTTGCTCGTATTTCGGTCTGTCGTACCAGATAGATTCATGAAGCATTGCTGCAGACATGACAGTCTTTGTGAAGGCAAGAAATAGGTATCTGACCCAGTCAAATTGGGCAACTTTTATGCCAAGAAATTAAAAGAACGGTGTTGAAGAGTGACTCTATTCATGTACTTTCCCACAGATATATCGGGCATTTTCATTGGCTTAGATAGTTTCACCTACAGCATTCAACCAATCAAATCGCTCGAAAGGAAAGGAAAGAGACTACTGCTGAAAGATATCGCTGGCTCGCTTTCCTGCTAACTGGTCAATTTTCCAGTCGGTTTCCAAGAAGAGTTTTGCTTTCTTCGAACTAGAGATGCTCACAAAACTCATCCAGAACTTATACAACTTCATCATGAAAAGATAGCGGAGAGGTAAGGTAGGTCTAAAATACGTTTAGTTGTTAGAATTGCCTCTCGAGGTGGATGGTAAAAGTATTGCAAAGTCTCTTCGCCAGAGAGAACTTTTAGCATACTTTTGCACTTAAAAACTCTAAAACTCGGTTCAATAACGCGGTAAATTTTTCATGCAGTATCTCGAACTTGCGTCAATTGGGATAGGTAAATTTTACAGGTAGTTTGTATTGTCATTTGTGCATTTTCTTGAGATAAAGGTGGTGAGCGAATTATTAAAAGTGAATCATTGAAATTGAAAGTTGAGTACATTATCACATTTCGTCGTACTTCCTGCTTGCAGGAGTGACCATGGTTGAAGATATGGGGACAGGCCTTTTGGAGGACTCCCACACTAAATCAGGGATTCCCATTGAACATCTTGACTATCGATACGTAGAGGGTTGTAAAAATGCTAAAGAACTGGAAAAAATTCTCAAAGTGTTAAGGTAAGTGATAACTAAAGGAAAAATGTCATAAGAAAGGAGTTTGTGTACAGGGGGAACATGCTGGTATAACAGCAGACCAATTTTGATATATTAAGCTTCATACTTGGCTGTCAGAAATGTATCATTCATCCTTGAACCCCAAGGTGATGTCGTTTTTATTTCCCACTCCTCGAAGCCAAGCATTAATTTCATTTATGGTGATAATCTTATTTCATTGTCAGTGTCTTTGGCTTTAAAATTAAATAAACATATATCAAAATAAAAAACAGTTGCGGTATGGAGCAGAACCCATGATATAATATTTTAATGGCCAATTTTTTCTCAGAAGGTCCTTGATACTTTATTGTAAATCAGGTCCCAGTTGTCCAAAAGTTAAGCTCATCGACAAGATGAGGTCGGGAGCGGGTGTCTTAAAGGTGGAAGGGTCTATAGCGCAAGAGTTCAACATTGCCTCGGAGGTATCCATGGTAACCCAGCGAGCTCCAACCACCCAACACTGTCATTCTGAAGAAGTTCAACAACAACAACACCAAACGCTTTATTTGCATGACCATAAAGGAATTACAGTATTGCAAAAGCTATTAGTCTAAATTTAAGTACTAATTCAACTAATTAGTACGTGCAAAACATTACAAAACGTTACAGTTCTCATTCATTCATTCATTGATATTAATTTGGTTCTTAATTCAAAGCATTGCGAGATAAATGAAACTACAACAATCCCTACTTACCTATGCAAGGGTGGAGGGAGTAAGAGCAGAAACCAGCAGATATCTCAAGTTGTGAACTTACAATGATCCGCAAAGGTCAGCAAAGCAAAGCAGGCAAAGCTGAGATATGCAATCACTTGTAAGCCCAGGCGGACTTAGCAGTCACCCTGCACAAGCGTATCTGCCTTGGGCTCACCCGCTGACCCGCTAGTGTTGTCTCGAGGTTGACCTTACCTAACTTATAATTTAGCCGCATGTGGAAAGTGTTATCCACCAGGCCCCAGTTGTTCAAAAGGTTGATAGCGCTATCCATCAGATAAATCACTATCCAGTGGATAAGTATAAGGGAAACCAATAATTTATTGCACTACCCACTGGATAGAGATTTACCTTTTACGCAACTGGGACCTGATAAATCACCATTCAGCGGATAAGTGTTAGTGAAACCAAAATTTTGCATTATCCAGCAGATAATGATTTGTCCGGTGGATAGTGTTATCCTCTTTTTGAACAACTGGGCTCAGGGTTGTAGTGTACTTAGTTATTCCCAAATGCAGAAAATTCCAGGGCTCAAAAAGAGTCCCTGACTGGTTCTTCAGGACAGTCAAATTTTGCATCTGGGTAGGTCGCTTTTGAGGCTGGCAAGTTTTTTTTTAACTAAAAAGTAGATGAAGACAACACTTACTGTAGGCCTGAAGAGCAAAATGTTTAGAGCTGCTTGTCCCAATTTCAGATCTGGGGAAGAAGGCTTTTATCCAGAGCTTATTGAGTTTACAGAAGAAAGATTGAAAAAGGTCAACCCTAAGAGGTGAGATAATCTGCATGGTGATAATAGCAATGATGATGACGTGATGATGATGATGATGATGATGATGATGAAAACAATGATGATGATAATGATAGTGGCAGTGGTGGATGATGATCGTAATGTTAGTGCTGGCTAAAACAATGGTTACACTAATTAATTTTGTAAAAGTTTTTTTAAATTGATCCCTGGTTATCAAGATGATAAAATGGACCTGTCTAGACACAGCAATAAGTATTTTCTATTTCTTATCAGCAAAAGTCTTCGCAAAGAAAACCCCATCAAGACATACCATGATTTATCTGCATCAGAAGAACAGGAAATAACAGACGATCTGCAGGTTTGCTCTATATTCATGCATTCTTTACACATGGTTTTTTTGTTAGTACTGATCATGAAGTAAAAACTGAAGGTCAGTTTGTCCTTGACTCTTTTCCTGATTCAAGATAACTTTGTCAAAAAAATAAAGCTGTTTGCAAATCTGGCAACTTTTCAAACTGTTTGCAGGAATGGATGACAAGTATCAACCAAGCTGACAAATCACTGAAGAAGGAAGGTCAGACTGGTGTTATAGATAATGATAGCCTTCCACCTGTCAGATCAGCTGTCAGCAGTGAAGGCTTCTCTGGCAAGGTAAAGATTGTAGTGCATATTTTTTCGTCATGCATAGGCTTTTTTCATCACATGGTATAAAAGAGCCATACTGTTGAGCAAACAGTGGGACGTAAATGAAGGCAAGATTTTTGTTTTTGTAGCCCTGTCCCACTGTGTTGAATGTTCAATATTGTGGATATTTTGTGCCATTTTTGCAGAAGGTGCATTGTTGTGTTGGAAATAAAGAGTTACTGGTAATAATTGCTGCAGATTTGAGTATAGTTTCTGTCAGTACAAGATTATATATTTTAAAATAAGTTTTTCAAGCCTGCTTAAAGTAGTGTCAGAATTCCAGTATACTAACAGTATGATAGTGTTTTATATTTCCAGCCTTTGAAAAATTTATTTTCTAGTACTAACTACTTATTATATCATCGGAGAGAATCATCTAACAAAATTGTGTTTTACTTACAAGCAGCAGCAGCAACAACAAGCTGATGAAAAGCAGAAAAAACCTGTTGCACCACGATCGTACCATGAGTGGGACAGGTAATTAACATTTAAGAGGATATTTAATAAGTATACATTAATTTTGTGACTGCCACACATGGATGCATGAATACAAGAGTACTTACCATTATGTGAAAAGCTTTGTCTCTTAGTTTTGAGGCTAACATTTTATTTAAACATATATCAACAATCTTGCAACAATCAAGGCCATGTGACTACTAGTAGTCCCTGTTTAGTTGAGTGAAAGTCTAGGAATATCAATACCAAGCGTACACTATGCTAAGAAGTTTCTCCTTTTCAACAAAGGTTTGATCCTGACAAAGAGATTGAATCTTTGGAGGAGAAGGAAAAGAAAGAAAGAGAAAAGAAACTAGAGAATGCCAAAGTAATGAGTGCAAGTTCTATTCCCTCTAATGTGGATTTAAGAGGTAAGGCTCTTTTGTATGTTTGTGATTTGATGTTAGTAGCTGTAAGTTAAAACTTTTGTTATTCTCCAAACCACTTTGCTGCTAATATTTAAAGTTTTCCAATAATTATTATAATAAAAAAACAACAACAATAACAACTTTTATTGTACTCATTCATGGTGAAAAAGAAAACATTAAAGTCATCAACCTGTGATAGGGGGCTTAAGCAAAGATGTTTTTGAGTGATGCACATCAACCAGAAGAGAGACCATTTCCCCCTTACTAATCCTTGAGGGTTACCAAATTTGAAAATCAAATTTTTAAGTGTCTTTACCAAAACACTGCCCAAGAATGAACTTCCGAAATCCACTTCCGGAATATGTGTGTTGCTAAACAATGTCTTCACTTAAACTCCCTAATATATTTTCTCAAGGTTCCCTTAGTTACATGTAGTTTTATTCAAGCAACCATGTCTGGTGATCATTTTGTTACTTTGGAAAAAATTTAACTCAGATCACTCTATTCCTTTCTCACTTCTGTTAGAAGGGTGTATTTAAAGTGATGTTTCAGATGACTATAATGATTTGACACTACAGGCAAATCTGAAACTGAAAGGCAGGTACTAGCGAACAAGGAGAAGGAGAAAGGAAATGAAGCATTTCAAAGTGGGAACTACATTGAAGCTTTGGCATACTATTGTCGCAGTATTGAAATGAATCCCAGAGCAACAGCAGTATACAATAACAGGGCACTTGCAGGTAAGTTAAAAGAACTTGAGGATTTATCTGTAAAATGACATAAATGTACAGTCAATATTGGACAACTCTTGAAGCCCAACAATAAAGACAAGTTATAAAAGCAACTCTGACATCAGAGCTCAAAAAGAGTGAAGTCCGGTTGTCCAGAGGACAAGTGGAATTTTCTGCTGTGCTGGGCATCCAAGTAACTTTTCGTTTTCACTTACCTGAAGGGCAAACTAAAGGGCTCAGGCAAGTCATCAGCCAACTAAAATGTTAAAAAAGTAAACTAAATTTGCCTGGGGCAGGGGAAATTTTAAAGCTGTTCGTCTTAAAATGGCAAGCTGCATTATTCAAGTTTTTTATTGAGCCCTGTGACTTTATTTTATGATTGTGCATGTCCCTTGCAGAAATAAAGCTTGAAAAATTCCAAGAAGCCGTTGATGACTGTAACATGGTCCTCAGTGCAGAGCCCAACAATGTGAAAGGTACATGTATGTGAACTGCATGTGAAGGGTGACTGTGTAGAGTAAGATGCTAATCACTCCTGATGTTATAGCAAATCTTCCCTTTGATTTGAGGCAAATTTAAAGGAGAATTCAGTGGCTTATCACAAGTCACCTGGGGTTTTAATCCAAGAACACCTTTGCAAGCTTCTTGCAAGCAGTGCTGTAGAGTCAGTAACACAGCATTACATGAGTAACGCACATTTCGTACGGGTTGCAAAGCCGTGGACAAGATGAGGAGGATGGGGGGAATGGAAGACAAGTTGGAGAAAATTTTGGTATCTGTAAAAATTGTGTAATGCTTTGCATATGCAATATGATTATATTAAAGATGATCAGAGCTACCAGGGAGACAAACAAGACATTTTTACAAGGTATAAGAGATGGAAGATTAATATTCCACCATACCCACTTTGACTGCCTGGTTAAGGTTGAGAAATGTTAAATCTCCTCCTCTTACTTTCTAGGCTGTGTTTAAGTATCAAAATAAAACATCAAGTATTACATAGTTAAGCAAAGGTGTTTATTTTTCATTTAGTTTTAATGTTTTGTTATTGCTTTTTTAAAATCTTTTTATAGCTTATCTCAGGAGGTCTATTGCTCAGAGAAGTCAAGGGTTATATGAGGAGGCAACAACAGATCTTTATAAAGTACTTGCAATTGAACCAAACAACAAAAGAGCCAAGGTTGTTGTTAAATTAATTTATTTTACCATTTAGTTGATAGCAATACTTCTGCTGACATCACCTATTTAAATGATATTAATGTGCCAACCAGAAGCACATTGGTTCTTGTAACAAATGATTCTTTTGTTCCACTTGTTACAAATTTGAGAAACGAAAATGATGTTTGCTAACAGTGATGTCTCCTAATTTGCTGTACATTATGGCTGTATTGCTTTTGCCAGTTCCTCAACTGAACCACTGTGTTCTCTTATATAAGGGCATCAAAATAATGAATGTAGTTCTTAGGTGGCCAAAAGGTTTTGTTAAATTAATTTATATCATCATTGAGTAAATTTTGTATTGCTGTATGGCTGTATTGCATTTGTCTTGAAACTCCTCAAACTGAATCTGTGTGTCCTCCTTGCTTTGCCACCATGGATTAGGCTCCCTAATGAATGTCCGGACAGTTTCATTCTCTTTGACCTGTATGTATTAGAGTAATGCCTGGTTCTCTTGTGCCATGGACCTACCTGGGACGTAGCCTCTGGTACCACCTAGGATACTGTTTGGACGAAGGAGAACATGCACTGCCGGCAACGAGAGCTATTGCAGTTGAAGTCAACTTTCCAGGTATGCTGACAGTGAAGACTGGGATAACCAATGTTGCTGGCCACTTCTATTCTGATATCAGAACAGTATCTCAGGCGGTACCAGTGGCTGTGTTGCAGTCAGACTGTATTTCTACAGTATATGAGAACAAGGCTAATAAGTGGAGGAAGACTGCTGTAGATGGAGTTGATGTTGCTTATATGATGTACTGATGATATTTTAACTATTTTCTTGCACAGGAATTGCTTGGTGAAATGAAGAAAAATGAAAGGTACTTTCTCATGTAATTATTCCAAGTTCTGGTGTAAATTCTAGAATACAGGCAAATGGAAAATGTGAGTCTTAATTAAGTAACTTTACCTGTATGTCCACATTTTTCAGTGAAGATGAAAGACCAAGTAAGGCAGGAGAATCAAAGGATAGGAGGAAGCAGGAACATACATCAGTGGAAAATGAAACAACTTCTACAAACATTAACAGTTATAACAAGGAATCAGCTACATCTAGAACAAAACCGAAAGGAAAAAGGTTAAAAATTGTGGAAGTTGATTCCGAAAATGATTCCGAAACTACTCAGCATTTGAATGACAATATTTGTGCGGATAAAGGAGATGAAGTAAAACAGCATATTGACATTACACATCAAAAGGACTCCAACGATGCAACAGTTGCAGTGAATGGTGTAGACTCTCATCCAGCTGAAAGGCAACCACAAGTAGCAAAGCCACCTGAGTTGCCAGGTCTTGTAATAAAAGCTCAGGTTGAAGGAACTAGATTGTTTAAGCTAGGAAGCTACGCTGCCGCAGCAGAACAGTTTACACAAGCTATTGATATCCTTCAAAAAGGTAATGTGATTAAAATTTGGTTTTGAGATACAGCGTTCAAGGCAGGCCGAGGATGGCTGACTGGTTGGAACAGTGGACTTGTAATCTGGAGGACCCGGAATTCAAGTTCCACACTGGCCACTAGTTCAATTTGTTCACAGTAATCCCAAGTTCAAATCCTCGGCCACACTTGTAAAATAGCCAGTTATTGGTTCACCTTGTACCAGCTCGTATTCTCACTTTGTCATTTTCCATTTGAAGTATTTGTTTTATTATCCCTAAACAAACTTCACCACCAAGCCTTGTTTGTGTACAAAATTCGATCTTTGCGTTTATGTTCTTTGTACATGGGTATTCTATTCAACTCTGCTGCCCTCAGAACTCATCCACATTGCAAATTGACAACCTCAAAACAAGTCGTGGTGGTGAAATTTTCTTGTCTGGGTTATTCTCATTGGCTTGTACACTGTAATTTACGAGTTAAGAAGTAAAGTTCAATATTCGGATTCAGAGTATATGGGAATCTCCTATAGAAAAATAATTATCAACGGAAAAAGGTTTGTTTCAACAAGAAAGTTATTGATAAAAACCCAGGAATGAGTGTCTTGAGGCAAGAATAAGTGCTTATGGAAACCAGCCTTAAAATTGTGCTGTGCTTTGAGGCATTTGAAATAACCTTTTCCTAAAGCTACAGATGAATAAGCAGCAGTTTATTCAAGATTTTTATTCAGGCCTTTTTATCCGCAGATAAACTGTTGTACCATTCATCACTATGCTCATTGTTGTGTAACCGTGGTTCTTGTTTGGTGAGGATGGGTGATTGTACTGGATGTGTAACAGACTGTACAGCAGCCTTGAAGCTGATACCTGATGCTTTCAGACCCCTGCTTAAGAGAGCAGAAGCTTATGAAACATCTGAAAAGTAAGGTTCTGACTGTTAAAGGAGCTATGTTGCTATTTTTGGTATTACTTTAAACCCTTACAGGCACATTGAAATCAAAGATAACTCTGAAATAATGGTTCAGTTTTATTTAACATTACCCGGGTACTCCTTGTTCTGCCATGGGTTTTTATGAGAGAAATTTCACCTTTACGGCAAACGGCAAATGACAGACTCAAGTCGAGAATTTCTGAGAATAGAAAAACAGTTCTTATGGATAAAAATAAAGTGACACTACTTGTTTTTTTAGTAAAAGTAAAGAGCAGTTAAAGACAAGTAATGGAAAAACTTGGTCTTGTGGCACAAATTCACGTTTTGCCGTTTTCTGTAAACGTGACTTTTAATCTCCTTAATAGCACTTCACCTCAAACCTTAAGCAAAAGCGCGCTTACCTTTATCCCTAAAATGCCAGATTCTTTTGAAGAAAATCTTCAGTTTTTGTCTTAAAAGTGGTTTTCCTTAGGAGGGGATCTTCAGTGCGATAAAGATAATGTCCTACCTTCCCCCTCTATCTCCTCTGATTATTGTTTCGGTGGATTTTGATATTTTTTTAATCCAGATTCGCAAAAGCCTGGTCTGATTATCAGCTGGCACTTAATATTAATCCGCAGCACAGTGGAGCACAGCAAGGAAAGTTGAGGTGATTTTACGTCTAGTAATTGAATAATATTATAGTAAAAAAAGGACAATTCACAGATGCGTGTAACAATATGACGAAGGGCCAACGGACTGGCAAAATTTGCTCGCTATAACGAGGTTTCGGTATATCGAGGTTCTTTTTCATATGTTTTACTATTACTAGGATGAAGAAATTTTCGTTATACCAAGGACTTCTTATATAGAGGTTCGATATTTCAAAGTGAGTTAAGTTAAGTAAGTTAGCTTTATGTGTTATATCCTGTTTTCTCTTGCGTGGTGAAACTGGTTTTCTTAGAGGAGGATTTTCCAAATGGCTGAGGTGTTGGCAAACGGAATATAGTTTGAGCTGCAATGTAGCTTTCCTCCGTTTGGAGGCCATGGAACCAGAATCCTTAAACCGTCAAAATTCAAATTGCTATTAGTATTTTGTCTAAGATACAAATATTGTTGAAATTTTTAGGGTTTCTAAACACCTTGAGAATCTTTACGGATCTAAATGGAGAGAACAAGTCGCCCCAGTATCATCGTCAGCAGTATCTCGGCCTATGGTTAATGGTTCATTGGTCCACCCCTCCCCCACACAGTCCGTGAATGGAGTTACAAGTAAGCCCGATCTAATTCCCACACAGGCTACTAGTGACCAAACAAACCAATCGATGGTTAACCCGAATAGTACTTCAAGTACAACTCAGTCTACCCCTGGAGGGGAAGCCAGTGACTCCACAACTGCATCTTCAACCCACGCAGCCCCTGTAAAAGACAGTGTTTTTGCTGAGTCACCAAGTGCTGTTGATCCAGCTGTGAAGTTTGCGCAGTCTAAAGAGCAGGGAAATGCTTTAGTCAAACAGGTTAGTATCAAGAACGAGAAAGTGGTATTTCTGTGAAACCTGTTAGTGCAGCCATTAACGGGCCATAAGAAATTGGCCGTGTTTACGGGGTGGTGTTATTTGGGATTTAGTTACTTACTTACCATGGAAACGTGATCAATGATGTATAAAATAATTAGGTGATGTAACTATGTTTCCAGTTTTTTTTTTCAAAATAACGACCTTCTTTTCAATGACAAACCTTTGCACCCTAACAAAATTATGTGGACATACGACGCTGACAATTCCTCAATTTTAGTATTCAAACACTTAGAACTTTTTAAAATAAGCTGGTTTAATAAATTAACAGGGTATCGAAAATCTATAACAACCCAAAGAGGCCACCGCATCCGGAACTACGCCTTTCGGAACCGTGATGAGATTTCTAATTGCCCGTGCTAGATTCAGTCATCAGACAAGAGGGTGGAGCATACAAAGACAATTCGCCACTTTAGAAACGAGGAACTCAAAGGAACCGGAACCGAACTATGTGCCGCAAGTGTTCCTGGGATCGTAACTTAAAATTCTTTCCCTGTCCTTAGCAACAGTCCCAGAAGTCTTTGCGAAAGTTAATTTTTGTGGCTTGCTCCCATTTTGTTGGATTGTTTTTTGCAGAACCGTTACGACGAAGCCGTTGCATGTTACACTGAATGCATAGAAATTGATCCCGAAAACGTTGCTGTTTATACAAACAGAGCTCTCTGTTACCTGCGACTGAATCAGGTATGTCATGTAACTCCCCGACAACGAAGAGAAATAACTGTCAAAAAAATAGACATGTTTTAAGTATTTTGGAAAAAATTGAGAAGGCAAGTTGAGGCAACATCAGACTAGAGCACAGCATGTCTCGTCACATCACACTACGCAAGTTTAGATCACAGCTACTCCTCCGTTAGACATTGAACTCGTTGAGGGGCTTGTTTAAATTTTTATTGCAAAGTTGTTTTGAACGTTTCTTTTTTAAAAATTAAAGGACGAGCTTGCCATACAAGATACCACTGAAGCGTTAAGACTCCAGCCAGACAACGTGAAAGCCCTGTTCAGAAGAGCACTGGCCAAGAAGGTTAGTTTGCTCATGTTGATGTTTATATACGACCTAGAAGAGGAATACTGGTAACCGGTCGTTTCGATACAACGTCGTTTCGATGCAAACTCAAGCAGTGAAAGTGCACAAAAATTTCGTTCACTTCAAGTATAGTTTGCGCGTGGACGAGAAAAACATTTTGGGTGAAAATTCTTCGTTCTTTAAACCAAGTACGTGGAACTATTTACACCTAGCCTCGACTGAATAAAATTGTATCGAAACGAATTTGTATCGAAACAACCGGTAACCTGAATTCTAATGGATGGAGACTTGTTTAATTGTCTTAGAAATAACCTCACAATACGAGTCTTAATTGAGGATGTGACGATATAACGTGGGGAATTTCGTTGTTGTTAAGTATCGATTTACAAGGGCGGTATCATTTATATTTTTCATAATAAACCAGGTAGGAGAGAAGTTCTAAAAAGCATTTGTTCTGTCTTTGATTTGCAGGCGCTGAATCAGTATGACTCGGCTGCTCGAGACTTGTTCCAACTGCAGAAAATTGAACCCAAGAATGCCGCAGCTAAGAAGGAACTGGAAGTAGTCCTTGACTTATGTCGAAAGGTGAACGTTAACAATAACCGGAGGATAGGTTTATATCAAGACCCGATCAAACTGATTTGTGCAAATGGTAAACGGGATTCCGGGGCAAAACTTACCAGTCCTAAATTTTGCTTATCGTTTACCCAAACCGTAAACCGACCTATGGTAAACAACCATAGTCTTGCGTTTTTGGACGATCAAGTCGTTCCCCAGCTGTGCCCTCAGGCTACTTGGACAGCAGCTGGTCCCCGCAAGATGGTTTTACTTCATATATGGCCCAAATAATCAACCATTTATGAAGTAACTACTCGGAAGAGACGCTGCTAACTGAGAGAAAATGCGACGTTTGGTTGTTCACGAAACATTGTCGCTTCTTGTGATAAACTAATTACTGCCTCTTTATGACGAAGATAAGGATAGACTAACATTATTAAATGTTTGATGTTCACTTCAACTTTACTAAAATAAGTTTACTTTGTTGACTTCCATGTATTACACGATTTCTGCGTTGAAAATTCTCCATGTCCAATCTCTCGTGGCGACCACCCGCTGACCAACAAGCTCCAGGACTTTGGGCTAATAGAATGTTCTAATACACGGGCTCTGTCCAATCCAAGCTGAGGGACTTTATCTTTTTTCTACTCAGGAGCGTAGGGAATCCACTGAAAAAGGCACAAAGACGAAGAAAACTAAGAAGGCAAAGGAGAAGAAAGAGCAGCAAAAGCCACAGGTTACCCAGGAAGAGAAACCTCAAAAGTGGCGAAGAATTACTGTCAAGGATGTTCAGTACGATGACGAGGTAGTTTCTTGTTTACAACGATCAGACAAATAATTTACAAAATATCACGTGATTGACACGCTTTCAGCATAACCAAGAGAGGAAAATGATCCCCTCTGGACGTTATTCAAAGCTTTAAAGACCTTGCCGCTTTCTGCTCCAGTGAACAAACACAAAGAAATGATCCAGAGGCTTGGGTGGGTAGTTTCATACAGATCATTGTAATTTGCCCACCGGAGCCTAGAGTTGATGTGCTTGTTGACAGGAATGCGGGAAAGGTTTTCTTAAGGCTTTCGCGCCTGCTGACAAAGTCCTACGTGCCCCAAGAGGTGGCTCTAACTTCTGAGTCTGTGAATTGACTAGAAATTCTCCACTTCACGGGTTCATAGAGAAGGCTAGGAAGCAGTGTTTTCTTTTGGTACTGCTTATTATGCGGCACAAGTGAATGGACGAAATCCTCTGGTTTGATCATTCAAATGAAACCTCTTTAGCAGTACTTTACATGGTGCTATTTACTCAGTGTCAATATAATCCAAATTGGAGAGTGGTGGTGGTTGGGGGGAGGGGGGCACTTCTGCACTGTGTGGTTTGAAAGGGTTTTTAAGATATGGTGCAGATATGAGATTTCAGTAGCAATTTCAAGACAGAATTTTTCCTTCTAAAAATGGCAGCCATTCAGTGGGAAGAGCATCACCATCCATGACCTGTTTTGAAGGAATTGAGATTGTTTTTATTTCGCAGGATGATGAGCTGCCAGTCTCTCAAGAACCAAAGGAGCAGTCCTCGATCAGACAACCAGACAAAATCCCTCTTAATCCCAGTGATAGGAACACAGGAAAACCAGTCAAGCTTGTCAAGGTGTGTTAAACCATGCTACCCTAATCACGTACCTTTACTACGAACACGAGTTTGTTCTTGAAGTAAACGATGATCACACAATCTGATACTGATTGTTTTCCTATTTACTATTGTACTTTTTTCACCACCAAAATTTGGGTTAACCGAGAATCACGCCTAGCGAGCGATCATAGTTCGAGTTTCAAGTCGGGCCTCAGTTATGTACAGTCGTCAACTCGGCCCTTTTGTGCGAAGGAACCCTTCCTAGCAATCCTAACCGATCTGTGCTTTAATGAATAGACTACACCTTATGACTTTTTTCAAGCCTGGAATTCGGTGAAAAAGGGAAGCTACAAAGACTACGCCGATTTGTTACGACAGCTGGACACCAAACGACTTGCCAAAGGTAAGCAACTCTTCTCGTTAACTGGAAGCTGCAGTCATGGACAAACGTCCTTGGGACAGTACTGCAATATTCATTTTTTTCTTTCATTTCTCGGTTCCCTCATAAAACAGTGCATCCTTTTCGAAATTTTCTTGCAGTTCTCCCTCCCCCACCCTATACAAAGTTGAAACTCGGAACAAAAATTCTGAATACACGCGTCCAACATTCTTTTTGGGGTGAGGGGAGGGGTTGGACCTGTGTGAATTGGAAAACGCCGAAGAAAGGCAAAAGTGTCTCAAGACTTAAGTCCATGAATGTACTTGTTTGGAATGAACGATGGAGGCAGATTCTCCACACAGCGAATTGAACAGGCTTCCGTGGGAAACTGCTCGCGCTTTCTTGATAGTTCTTCGCTCTTTACCCGACAGCTTTCTCGTTTTTTCTTTGGTCTATACCCATCAGCAAACTTATTAACAGGCTCGGAACCTTTTTCCCAGGGCTCTTCCCTTCAAAGGCGATGTCATTATCGAGAAAGTTAAGTGGACCGTGGTAACCAGACTGGCCCTCGTGCATCCTCCGATCCTTGTACAAAGTTATTGCAATTACTGTATGCACTTTTATTTCATTTTCTTTGTCAGTTCTCAGCAACAAGCTTGAGGCTCCCATGCTAAGTAGCATCATTGCAGCTCTAAGCCAAGAAATTGCTCCACAAGGTAACTTAAAATACCGACAGTTTGCTGTTGTTTATGTGAGTATGTATGTTTGTGACATGTACCTAGTTTAAAGGCCTTTCTAGCCTGGACCAGGCTCCTTTGGAGGCTGATTTAGCAACAGAACGGGAACGTCAGTTGACGACGGCGCGCGCAAGTCAAACAACTGGCCTAACTAATGGCAGAGGGGCAAATTGGGCACCCGAAGTCGTGTTTAGTCCTTTCCGCGCGCTTTCCCGTCGTCAACTGACGTCCCCGTCCTGTTGCTAAATCAGCCTAGCGTCTAGCTGGGGCACAGGGCTATCAGCTGGTATGCATTTGGAGTAGCCTGGTTAAAGTCCAGGCGGGTGGGGATGTTCTAAAGAACCTGGTTTGTGCTGGACCGTGGCTTTGCTGAAATTTCGACCGGGGCTTAGAAAGCAAATAAAGAAAAACATGGCGTAAAAGGCCACAGCCCCTTTCCCTTCTGAAGTCGCTCGCTCGGTAAGATTGGCTTAATAGCTATTTGCGGGCATACAATACAGTAAAACTTTATCTTTTGTTAATAAATAAATTGTTGTTGTTTTTTTGTTGTTCTCCCCGGTATTTGACTTTTTTTCTCCACTGAGGAGCATGATTCCAGGTTATGGCCTTACCTCCCACTAGTCTCCGGTAGCTCAGTGGTACCACAGGTATCCCAAACTCGAAATATGAGCATCGGCGAGCATCAGCATTGTTGCGTAACGTTCGAAATATAAGGATTTGTATGGGAAAAAAACCTCTTGTTTCTGTAACCTACGAAAATGAAAAGATTTCAATAAAAAACAGCTTACCTTACTTAAAGTGTTTATTACGTAGTTTGCGTCTCTCCTGTGTAGTCCACGGGCCGATTTATGGCTGTTTTATGGCTTTTATGTAAACGGTTTTTTCTCTATAAATAAGGTTTACGTTATATATAGAGTTCCAGTTATATATAGGTTACAGAAACGAGAGGTTTTTTTCCCATACAAATCCTTATATTTCGAATGTTACGCAACAATGCCGATGCTCATATTTCGAGCTTGGGCTACCTGTGGTGGTACAGGACCAGTTACACAAAGTCACTGGACGGTTGCGGTTGAGAGAACTCTGATTTTCAGTGTCACTGACTAAAGAAACATCATTTTCAACTTTTGTTTCTGTACTGTCCTTAATTTAGGGGAGGAATCCTTGGCATTTGACATCTTAGAACAACTCACTCGCGTGGAACGGTTTGACATGGTGTTGCTTTTCATGTCAGCAAAGGAAAAGAATGGTACGTGTTACTCTTTATTTTGCGATATGAAAGGCCGTTTTTTAAATTCTACTTTATATGGCTAGCTCCTAGAACGGGTAAGATAAAGCAAAATAAACCGGCTTTTTGGCAATTATTGCATGGTTCCCCGATCTGTTATCAGACGTGTGTAAGATAATTTTTCACACCAGTCTCATGGAAACAAACTGAATGCAGTCAGCTATTTTAATGGTACCTTTAATACGTACAGAGGCCTTTCGATTTTCCGAGGCAAGTTCTATGTAAGAAGAACAAAGGGTTTCTGTCCGCACCGTATTCATTATTTCATTTTGCTTCTTCAACAGAACTTCAGCAGCTGTTTTCCAAACTACAGGCCGCGAGGTTAAAACAGGACTTTGTGACAAACGAAGCATTTGACCGTTTAAGACAGAAGTTCAAGATTTGATTTTTATGAAAACTTGTTTTGACGAAGTTGACATCAAAAGTCCTCTCGAAGCCCAAGCATTTGCGTCGAAACCTGGGCACCAGAACTAGGCCCAGCGCCCCGGAGTGTCCGGCTTTGTGCAGAGTTTGAATTCAGTTGTGAGAACATTCCAGACTAAAAGAATCAGCTGTTCCTTTTAGTCCCTTGTTGAATGCGAGCGGCGTTAGGGATTTCGAGCAACCACGATGCCGACGTCAGCTAAAACGTCTTTTTAGAAAAAGTCAATTTGCTCTGTTTCAATCTTTTCGTTATCAAATTGTAAGTGAATACAAAGGAATTTTCGTAGAGCTGAAATTTAAATGACCCCATCCAAGTTCGTTGGTTTGTCCCCCATAAAGCGTAACATTAGGGCCATTTATACGAGGAAAAATAAGACGCGTCTTACATAAGACGCGTCTTAAATAAGACGCGAACTGTGCCATTTATACGAACATGTCGTATCTAATAAGACGCGTCTTAGCTAAGCCGCGTCTTATTTCAGACGAAATGTGCTGTTTATACGGAAAGTTCGCGTCTAATTTAAGACACGTCTTATGTAAGACGCGTCTTATTTTTCCTCGTATAAATGGCCCTAATATGACATTTCACGTCCCAGTCGTAGTGGCGGCAAAGAAAATGCACCAAAAAGTTTTATGCTCGTGCAGAGTTGTTGTATTACTTATTTGACGTTCTTTTTGCCGTCGTCATCGTGCCGTGGGGTTGCTTGATTGCTCGTAAACTGGTTGAATTATTCTTGCCTCTGTGTAGATGAAACCTGTCTGAACCATTCCACGGGCTGCTTAGACCGGTCTTAGTTCTAGATCTAGTGTTAGTTTCATTTCAGCTGTCAGCTGTCAGAATAAGAGCTGATGTTTTGAGCCCTTCACATGTTCTTTTATCGCAGCGGTTTATAATTTCGGGTTGGTCTTGTGTTATAAGCATCTTCCTGAAAAGCCGGCTTCCTTACGTTGTTTAACTATTTTTGAGATTTCGGCGCATAACGCATTTACTCCAATGATGCGCCATTCTTGACCCTTTACTTCATGATTAGAGGCAGAAAATACTTTAAAAATTCCAAAGCTGAGGTCTCTGTACGTGCTTTCTATTTGCCAAAAACTTTCATAGTTTGTAGATGAACAGCATTGGGTAAAATACCAGTCACGTAATATTCGTCACGCAACACAGCTAGACTAGCTATTGTCACACGTAAAGACTTCCTTGTAAAACTAGCACCACTTGTCCTGTAATATCAACTCTGTTGTCTTCCCGCACGTGAATAGTTAGCTCCCCACCACGTGAAGAGCACTGACGAGCTGTGACAATAAAATAAACGAGGCTATTAAACTATTTTATGAGCGTTAGAAATATCCGTAAAGTGACGGAAACCATTGTGCGGCAGAAATCTGTAACGCCAACTTTGAGGCACATTATTGAACTTTGGCAAAAGGACGTCAAAGGAAAGAAGACGGCAAAACTAGAGTGTAAAGCGCGACAATAATATTTGAAAGTTTTCTGCCAAACTTCACTCTCCTTTAAACAGGACAAGAACACAATAATAAGTAAAGATCACGACAAAACACACAAGGAATAGCCTTGTCACGTTTGTCACACACAAACGTTTTGCGGTCCTCTTCTTTCTGCCGTCCTGTTCCGTAAGCACCACTTCTATGAGGCGGACGTGCTGCATAGCCAACTAAACCAATATGGCACAAAACCCTTCCCAACCCTTTAAGGCAAACACCCTATAGGGAGGACACGGGACAAGTAAGTCCAGTGTTTGCTCATTCTAAAAACAAAAGCCGATTGCAAATTGCATCTCGCGCCTTCTTTTTTCCTTCTCCCTACCCTCCCTACCCTCCCTACCCTCCCTACCCTCCCTACCCTCCCTACCCTCGCTACGAAACAAAGAAGCCTCTGTGGAGGGGAGAAGAGCCACCTCTCTCCTCACACTGCAGGTCGTCACACTGCGACAAAGCGCGCAACGATGACACATCGCCAGTAGCATTCTACGCAGCCTAGATCACTTTAGCTCGTCATTTTCCTTGCAATAAGAATCGTCCCGAATGCAGTGCAACGGACTTCTAGTAATCTGTACTCGTAAAAACTCACCATAAAGATCAGTTTTCTTTAATCTTGTTGACCAGTAACTGGCAAGAACTGTGTGCGCTGACCCTAAATAAAACATGCGGAGTTAAAGAAAAAGCATCTGTAGGATCAAGAGGAATGGAGTGAGCACGTCTCCACGCTACAGCATTCTTGATTCCATTTGGGGAGCAAGGATATTGCAGTGGTTAGAGCAATCGCCTTCCGCTAATGTGGCCTGGGTTCGAATCTCGGCGTCGATCCCGTTTGCTGTTGATTCTCTCCTTTGCTCCGAGAGGTTTTTCTCCGTGTACTCCGGTTTCCGCTCCCCTTAAAAACCAACACATCCAAATTCCAATTCGATCTGGAACGCACGGGCACGTTTTAACCACTTCTTAAGAACTCCTAAGTGCTCCGTGGACCTTGCCTGCGTCCCAGACACTCTAAACCTTCTGTATAAAGCGTCTGCGGAATATACAAATGGTTTAGAGGAGTGCGTGGGCCGGCTGCAACGCAGGCTACGTGACCGTGGGTAAACAAATTATAAAATTTTTTCAATTACAATACCTCCTCGATTCAGCGCGTGGGCTGAAGTATTCAAAAGATTTCGAGTCGAGAATGCTGTCAAATTGTAAGCAGGCGAAACACCACGCAGCGTAGAATTTTCCTGAACACTTCTCAACTACATTAGAAATTCCTCTCATGTAAACTTAAATTTAGTCTACACTGAATTATTTTTTTCGGAAAGCTAATCAATGGCGGTACGCCAATACCCGTTTCAAGAATCGATCCAGTTCGAGCTCGATACTTACTAACATCCTTAGTATGACACTGACGTCATTTTTCACGCCATTGTGTCTCGTCTCCAGTCTAACTGACACTGGCGTTAGCGTAGTGGGATACCTGTGGCAAGAGGGTCATTTGACCCTTCACTCACCTGTAACTGGATCCTCAGGGACACCACGCCATGGAGCGAAATATCGTGAAATGAAGTCGAAGACGTCTCCAGTTGTGTCCACACAGCCATTTGACTCAGTCCCCTGAAGTGTTACAATTACCCCGCGGACAATCCCCGCCGAGTGGGCTGACGTCATTGCTTGGAAGTCTGGGCAAAAATCTTCCAAATCCTTCCTGTAGAAAAACATAAAAACTTGACAAGTACTGTTCACGTTAGAATCCAAGCCCCGGTTGTTCAAACGTTGGAAAGTACTATCTACCGAATAAATCACTTTCTAAAGGATAAATACTAGGGACACCAACTGCGTCATCCAGTGGATAGAGATTTATCTAGCTGATAGCTTTATCCACCTTTCATTAAACTCGGCCCGGGGAATCTCCGATTATTTCTGCTCATTTGCCAACACTTTCACAAACATTCTGCACTTCGTATCGCATTTATATCTCTAACTGGAGTGCTTGGTAGTCTCGTTCCCACAGTCCTTGCTGAATAAAGTCAATCTAACAATTTTCTAACCTTGTCAAAGAAGGTTGCAGACACAGCAAAAGGTTGTTGGTCGTTTTATTGTATTCCACTTCCTTTACTGCGAGGTCTCCCACAACTAAAATGAAATATAACGAAAGACAGGAAATTATTTACCCTGCTAGCAGAGTCGCTTTGATCTTTCCTAAGAACGATGGAGACTCTGTTCACAGGGTAGAAATTACTTAGCATGTGAACAAGCCGAGATGCGCAGGCGCAGCTTGCAGAGAATTAATGTTCTCGCAGTATCGGATTGGGGAAGGATTTCATCTCAACAGCGTAAATGAAACAAGAGTAGAAGACAACAACGACACACGATAGAATTAAAAGTTGAAACCACCTTGTGCGGCATAATAAACAGTACCACGGCAAAGTACGGCTCAGTAACTTTTACATAATTGGTCAAACTTAAGGATTTCCTCAATAGACCCTTCCACGATCTCCACAAAGTCGCGATTTGTATGTGCCCCGACGTCTGTAAAAATTCCGCCAGTTTGCGGAGCTATATCTCCGTTAGTTTCCAGTAGGAACAAACCACTTTGAAATACGGCAGTGTTAGTGATTTCAAAGCGTTCTTTCCAGCCGCGTTGACAGATTTTTGGTAACTGGTTCCAGTCTGTAAACAAGTTGAAAAAACCGTGGATAGGGTCTTTTCCACTAACACGTTTTGCGCATTTGACAGCTTAATACAACAGCAGCTTTCTTGTTGCGAGAGAAATAGCTTTTGGGACACTTGAACATGAAATCAAGGAAACTCAAAAACAAACAAAAGGAGGCATTGATGGCTTAAAACACACCTGCTCTGATAAGTTTTGTAATTGATGGATCTTCCTAACAAAAATATGAAACATATTATGGAATAAGACATGAATTCCAACACTTTCATGTCTAAGGGGCCGACCATTTAACTCTTGAGGTAGGGGCGGGGGGGGTGGGGGATTTAAAAAAAAAATTCCTGCCAGCGCTTGTCGGAAGAAAAAAATTGCATGCAGCACAAATGTAATAGAAAGCTTATGGGAAAAAAGGGAAAGAAATATCCTGCCCACCGGATTGCTAGAAAAAAAAATTGTTGATCATCAAAAGATGTGACAAGTGGTAAAAGGGACGTGGTTCCACGCAGGCAGTAATGGGTGATTGAGGTATGTTAACAAAATAGCCATTTTTGTCAAAACATCTAAACTGCCTGAACCCATTTATCTATAGCTCAAGTCTGTTTTTGGTAGAGAACGTAATCTGCAAGTTAGTGGACATCAGAGAAGGATGCCACAGCCTCACTTTCATGCGGTTAATAAATTGTCAAATAGGCACGCAGTACGTGCAAAAGAGATTATGTTATCTTGGAACAATGTTCTTCCACAACAGTAGCTAGCCTATAGGAGGAAGAGGAGCTGCCCCTAACCATGAGACCCCTTATTGTTAAAAAAGCTCTTTGAGGCAAAGAATTATTATTTAACTTCCACATAACATCATCTTACCCCAGACAGCGGCCATGGTTCACAAGGGTTGAGTGGAAAATCTAAGCATATTGACGAACCTAATACAAATATACAAAAATAATAGAATCTTCAGGCGCTTTCCATTTGTCAGAACTGACCAGCCAGGTCATTCCTGTCATAAGGAGAATTTCACTTTAAATCAAAACTATCAAGTTAGATCAATCTGGTCCTGAACACTATCTACGAAGAAGATGGATTTTCAGCAAAAACCCTTTGGAAAAAGCCTGCTTCATTCAGCTCAAAATGACTGGTCCGGCCAAGGTCTGGCTGGCCAGTTTCGACTTTTGAAAGCGTCCTTAGTATGGTCAGTGTCATCTACCACTGAGTAAATAGTGAGTTTATTTGCCATGATATATTTAAATTGTCTTGCAATTTTATGCTTGGTTAAAATGTCATTATTATACTTTACCATGCCCAAGACCAAAAAAAAGATAACATGAATAAAATTAAGCCCTGCATATACAACAACATTTAAAAGCTGCTGGATATAATTATTTTGCAAGGCAGTGATTTATGATGAGCTAACATATACCAGGGGAATACTCCCTATAACAGCCTATACAGGAGGCTCTTCACAAGTTAAAGTATATCAACAGGTAGGGAAAACTGTCATTTCAGTCTGCAAAAAGGCTGGAAACACCTAACAGATGCCTTCTATGGTTGTGCAAAGTCAAGAAAATGTTCTAGCTCTGTGATTTATTCATATGTTAAAGACAGCACAGTTACAGCAGTAACAGGGAGCAAGGGATGGCACAGTGGTGAGAGTGCTCGCCTCCTACCAGTGTGGCCTGCGCTCAAATCCCGACATCGACGCCATATGTGGGCTGAGTTTGTTGTTGGTTCTCTCCTTTGCTCCAAGAGGTTTTTCTCCGGGTAATCCGGTTTTCCCCTCTCTTCAAAAACCAGCATTTCCAAATTCCAATTCGACTGGGAATCAGGTAGACGAAGAACCACTTTGTGGATGTGCTACCTCCAAATCATTATTTGTTATTCATTTAAAAGAGATGCATGGTTCTTAACTAGGTATGTGAAAAGGAAACCATTTTGTCAATAAAAGGTATTCAAAACGGGTACTTTTCCTGTCAAAAATGGTATGTGAAAGGGTAAGGGGTTGGACTGCATAGCAGAGCCAAGGGAACTAAATTAATTTTACCTAACAAAAGACACTGTGTACCTTCTTTTCTAGCTTTTAAATTTCCACTCAATGTTTCAAAGGTTACTTCTTTGTTGGGATTACCTGAAGTAAAGCAAAATGCGTTAAATTAAACAACATTTATTTGGCCTCATGTTCTGAAAATAAAAATTTTCTAATTCAAAATTTGATGCTGGCAGCATGGTGCTCTATTCAGACCTTACAACATCACCTCTTGAGCATCTAAAGAAACCTTGGAACTGAGGCCAGAACCTTACATTTTTCAGTAAAAACCTGGAGACAGCAAGACATATCACAACTAATGATAATCAGATTTCATGGCATTTAACTGCCCTCAGACAAAGAGACATGGGATTTTTTCAAACATTAGGATATCATTCCTCCCTCTTAAATTTGTCTGCAGCTTATTCCTAAAACATGGCACCAGACAATAAAAAGTAGCAGTTCTAAATAAAGGAATATTTAGCATCTGCAATTTCTGGTTTCTGAGCCAAAACTAAAATAGTTTTCCCGACATGCACAAACATTTCAGTATAATTTTGACAGGTAACCAATAAGTCCCCTATGAGCCAAAACTAAAATAGTTTTACAAAAATTTCAGTTTTGGCTTGTGAAAAAAGCCATTTCTATGAGCCTTTACCACTGATTACAAGATTGTTTTCAAAGCCTCAAGTCTCAAGAGGGAAAAAAGTGATTTGGAAGGGAGGAGCTGGCAGATGTATGGTATATATTCATTCACCTAAGCAGTTGAACAAAACTGCAGCTGATGCCAGCGTTGCATGTCCACACAGTGGAACTTCACATGTTGGAGTGAACCAGCGCAGACCAAAACAAGTACCTATCAAAACAATGTACCATATTCAACATCCACAGACATCTGCCTTGCAAGGCAATTATATATGGTCAAAAATTGCACAAGCCCTGTGGTCTTTAAACCCAAGGGGCTTTTTCTTAAAGGCATGGTTATGTACTATGGTTTGATCGTCCTGAGCAACAAGATCATTGCTGAAACTGTAGAGATAATCAAGATGATCTGGATTTGATTTCATGTATAAAACATGATGATTTCCTGAAAGAATAAGAAGCCTGCAAGGGCACCGACAAAATTTCTGAATCAGCTTGAATAACAAGCATTTTAAAACTGAACACAGCAGGAGTCAGCCAGGTGTACATGTGGGGTGATAATATTTGAGTCTTGAACACTCTGCTCTTGAACCTTGCTCCTGGTTTTTGGCTAAATAATTTTTTTTGCAGAAAATGATGTTGGATCAAAACCAGTTGTTGACTCTCAGCCATCCAATTTTAATACCAATTAACAATTGAATGGTATTTCTAGTTTGCTTACCTTGACTGTAAGTATCTTGACTATTTTTTTCCAAAATGAAGCCTGTATTTGACAAGTTCATTTCCTGTGCAATCTTTTGTAACACTTGATCACTTAGGTGCTGTGAGAGGAAAGGGATAAATCAAAGTTTTATTGACGTGTTACATCTAAAAGACCAAATAAAATCTTGTTCTTCATTCAGAAGATATAATGCTACAAGCCTTCCACTATCTTTGCACTGTATAGTTTTTTGGACTAGTCATAGTGTTAAATGTCTTTTTGCCACTGCCAGCGGAAACCAATGCATCTCCAAGCCCCACACTTGGGTAGTGCAGGTCCCAGCTGTTCAAAAAGCGGATAGAGCTATCCAACAAATCTCTATTCAGTGGATATAGCAATACTGGTTTCCATAATACTTAGCCATTGGATAGTGATTTATCTGGCTGCGATTGTTCAAACGTTGGAAAGCGCTATCCACAGGATAAAAATCTATCCAATGGATAGCGCAATTGGTTTCCCTATTACTTATCCGCTGGATAGCGCTATCCAACGTTTGAACAATTGTGGCCTGGTGGATAACACTATCCAGCATTTGAACAACCACAGCCTACGTCAATAGACCTTTTCACGGTTTTTTTCACCTTTTGACATGGACAAGTTCGGGAAAATCTCTCAACACCACTGAAAAGAGCACCTTAAAATTAATAAAATTGCCAAGTTTGAAAGTGATTTGTTGAAAAATAGTGAAGAAATAGCTCCTTAAATTCATGAAATTTCACAGACATTTGTATGGGGGGGGGGCTCAAAACTTGCCCCCCAACATACAAACAACGGAAAATTTTCGTAACTTTGCGGAGCTATTTCTTGGCTCACTTAAGATGTATCACTTTCAAATTTAGCAAGTTTAATAATTTTAACACGCTCTTTTCAGGGGTGTCGACGGATTTTTCTGAACTTGTCCATATAAAAAGTTGAAAAAACTGTGAAAAGGTCTATAGTGAGGCATTTTGCCAAACTGATTCGAAATGGTATCCTTTAATCTTTTAGGGTTCAAACAAAGCATGACATGCCCAGATTCCCAATAGGGGTTTAGTTTAAAATTTCCTGATTATAAGCATTTCTACCCCCATTCATAGAGGTATCAACGCCTACTCCCGCTTCCCCAACTACCACCACAACTCCTTTCAGACTCTTTAAAAAAACCCTGGGCAGGGACAAAAATGAGGTCTGGATGCAAGAAATAGACCCAAACAGCAGGGAATTCGCTTCATTGACATTTAGAAGGCAGCCCTGGTCTAATGCTCCCCCACCATGCCCCCCAGCGTCCGTGGGTATGGGGGTGCAGAGTTTTCCATTGACGGGGGCATAATTCATATGAGCTGAAAAAGACACTCTATTTTTCCTCTCTGTTTCTTACTACAAAGCCAACCGTTATAATTCACACCGTTCAAATTATCCCTAACATCAGCGTCAACAAGACTGAAGGTTCGCATTTATTTCAATTATTTATCTCAATACGCGAAGCAACTGTTACCGCCTGCCAAACCTGAGACAAGATTTACCCTCGCTGCAGCCTCCCTCGCATTCTCTAACTCAAAAGACTAAACCTCACCTTTGATCCTACAAGACAAACCGCAGCTGGATTTCCACTGAAAGGCTTACTTGTAAAAGCATCGATAACAAATAATGAAAGAACTCTTCTTTCGTCCGCCTCCGCCATCTTGTTCTCGATCTTTACCAGGCTTTCGTTACCAGTGAGCGAGCGGGCGGAAAAGTGTACTGGGACTAGCAGGGGCTCCGGTGCTCATTTGGAACAGCCTACTCGGCGGGTTGCAAAAACTGGTCAAACTGGCTGGGAGATACTGGATGGGTACCTTCAAATAACGAGATATGAAATGACCCACGCCCTGTTATCATTAGATCCCATCGCCCGTGCAGAGGATTTTCGCTGCACATAGGTAATAAACAAATGTAATGGTTATGAAGCCCGTCAGATGTCTTTGTCACGTGGTTTTGTTACCTCAAGAGGGCAATAACGTAAACTGCGATCAGGCGTTATTTTTTTTTTGCTAGAGAGAAAAAGTCGGCGAACGCCATACTAAGAGCAAGGGGAAGAAGGACGCGTGATCGCATGGGGTACCCATAACTCGGCTTCTAGTCATGCTCAGTCGCTATCTTTTAATAGCATCAGTCTATTTTTTTTGAATTTACTGAGCAATGGAATGAACGTTGTACCGGCCCGCGAAAAAAACTCAAAAATATGGTCTGGGTAAGTGCTTCGAATTCTAGAGGAAAATTAACGACCATGAAATCGCGCGTGATAGTGCAGAAACTGTTGCCCCTAGAAGGTAATTTTTTTCCTGTTTACAGCTAAAAAAAAAAACGAATAAACTACTAATGGAAGAAATATTCGCTTTATTTTGAAGTGCATAATGAATATTCTTGGTCCTCCTCCATTAAATAGACTGTTTACATTAATACCTTGTTCTTTGCCTCAACTGTGTATTAAATATTTCAAATGCATATTTACCTGCGTGTAAGTTCTCCGGGGCGGTCTGACGGGGGTGGGGGGGGCGAAAAAGGAGGGATTCGCCCCACCGCCACAGAGCTTTCTCGCAGACTACATCTACATTTCAATGTCACGTATTTTATTTACAGAGGCACCCAACGTCAATTTTCGGAAAAATATCTGTTCGGAAGACGATTTGAGATCTAGAATTTTCGGAACATTTGTTGTAAAATTTCTTGCTTGCCTGCCTCTCCTAGGATTTTCGAACATCTAAAAAATGGTATAATTGCCCATTGTTAAAAGGTCACCTGGATTTTTCGATAGTCTTTTCTGGCTGAAATTTTCGAAAGGGTAAGTTTTGATCCCTATTATTTTCGGATCACTAGACTTTCAGCTAGGAAATCCGAACAGCTGAAAAATTTTTTGGGGATAAAAATAGTTTAAATACTAAAATACGTTTACAGGGCATTTATTTACAAGGCATTTATGTCGATGATAGCTATCTCGAAACAGGTAACCTTTAATAAAACGCAGATCCCGCATTATAACAGACAGATTGAGTTTTCTTTCAAGCCACTCTGACCAAGGTTGAATTTCCGCAACGTTTTTCATTTGCCTTTTGTAGCAGAGCAACTTTAATTTGCCTCACAACGTAAACAGCGTAACAAATAATATTCCTCGCACAACAAGACAATAAGGTCTGAAGTCACAAGTACAAACTTCCTTGTAAAACGAGCACCGCTTGTCCTGCGATGTCGACCCTGCCGTCTTCGCGCACCTGAATAGTAAGTTCCCCTCCACGCGGAGAACACTGCCGAGCTGTAACGGAAAAAATAAAATAAAATAAACAGTATGGGTCGATTATTTAAAACAAGTCTAACTTAGGCCGCTGTTTCAGAAATTATTGGATTTCTAGATCTCTTCCTAGGTGGAGAGCTTAATGTTTCTCCAGTCAACCTCAGTACTTCAATGAAACTTCAGTCACGTCCAATACTGTCGACATGACAAGAGTGGAAATATACTTTTCACAACTTGTACGAGCGGACAAATTGCAGATACTTCATCTTCATCAGACCTGACTTACAGTTTCTGTAGGTTTCCCTTTTTGTCGTGTTGGGTATAGCCATGGGGGATCTGGATACAGAATTTAAGGAAGGCTGGGCTCCCTGTAATGGGCGCCTAACTTACCATATAAATCATTCTTTTGTAGCCTTGACGACCAATAACTAGCAAGGACCGTGTGCGCAGACCCTAAATAAAATACAGAACTATTATCGCACGTTAACTCCCATATTAACGCCCAAGTATGACAGCAGTTAAAATTTAGGCAAAAAGCCATCTACGAATGCTAAAATAACGTAAACTGCCGCTGACAAGCCGTGGGCTTATACATCTTCGTAAGGGGTTTATAAACGGAGGAGCTTATATCCGAGGGATATAACCGGAATAGAACAAGCGCATGGAAACAAGACTTCGCAAAGCTGTTCAAAACATCTCTTACATTCACTGGTTTTTAAATAAGCATTGAATTCACGTCATTTGGATGGGGGAGGGCTGGAAAGTCGGCCGATGGAGTCCATCAGTCGACTGTATTGGACAACTCTCGAGCTTGTGTTTATAAACGGCAGTTTACGGTAGGTTAAATCCACCGTTATCCCACGCTAAATAAATCCTGCTTTGGAAAAGCGCTACCGTGAACGGCAGCAATTTGAGTCTTGGGCTTTGTTTTCTTTGGAAATGAGACTTTGTCCCACACTTATTTTCACAGAGAGGAGTAAGGCCTTTACTTATGGGTCTTAAAAAGGAACTACACGATCTCTCAAAAGATACGTCTGCGGACTTACATCTCACTGGGAGGAGGCATTTGACATGTTCTAGACAAAGTTGCTTTCCTAATCACAATGCTAAAACAAACTGGGCTAAAAAAGATAGCGTGGGCGGCCTGTAACTCTAGTTCACTAACCTGTTACTGGATCCTCAGGGATACCAACCCAAGGCGCAAAGTATCGTGAAACAAAGTCGTAAACTGCTCCACTATTGTCGACGCAGCCGTTTGACTTATTCCCCTTAAGAGTTACAATTACACCACGGACAAGCCCAGCCGAGTGAGCTGACATCATTGCCTGGAAGTCTGGAGAGAGCTTTTCTAAGTCCTGCCTGATTAAAAGAACAGTCTTAACGTCAACAAAATATTAACGATAACGGAGATCACACGAAACAGCATTTAACCACTCTTCTTTTGCCTGCACACTGAATTCCGCTTGTCAAACCTACAGTCAAAGCTGTCTCAAGCGGTCATCCTTGCGAAAAGACCAACTGACCGCTTAAAGGTGATGTTACACGGGACGATTCGCAAAGACGATTTTTAGTGCAACACAGCGTTGCAATGTTGGAACAATGTTGTAACCATTCGAAACAATGTAGCAATAATGTTGCAACGCTTTGTTGAGCTAAAAATCGTCGCTGCGGATCGTCCAGTGTAACATCACCTTAACAGGACTATGTCATAGTTGTCTTGTTCATTTTGTCAAAAATAATCATGACGCGTCCTTGTTCACCACGGAACTTGTGAAATAACTTGTGAATGACAAAATCACAGCTTCGTGTCAACCAAATATGTATTCCAAGATTATATCAAACGTTACAAACAACAAAAGTTAACTCTTAAAAACCACAATTCCAATCCAATTCACTCGTCTTCAATTTGTCCATCCGCGCCTCCTTTTGTATTTGTTGTGTTTTTCATTCCTTCTTTTAATGTTTCGCGCGGTTATTTTTATGTTTCACTCAATTTGGTAGCAGCTTCCACTGTTTGAATTTCAATAAATTTCGTGCGGACACAGCTCCTATAAAACCCTTCGTGCCCAAGAGTGACCAACATCAATTTTCTCCTCACAATTTCAATACATTATCAAAAGAAAAGTTTATGAGAATTAATAAAATGATCACCTAAGGGAAATGCTTCGATCATTTATCAAATTCTCTAAACTAATTCTTTAGGGAAATGTATGGGGATCAGTCTGGAGAATTTGTATGTGGATATTGGGGCTTAAAGGGTTAATACAGGTTGACAGGTTAATACGGGTATAAACCAGGGCTGAAAGAGAGATGTTGATTAGAAGGCGTATCTAACAGACTTGACGAATCAACTTCAAAGGGTTTTTCCTATCTCTTTGTGTGCCCAAAAAGAAATTAGAAGCCAACACACAAATGTCACGTGTGTGTTAGAGCATTAGAGAGGTCCCTCCCAACAAACAGATCGTTTAATAGAGATGAGGGAGATAGAAGAAACTCAACAGGACCTGAGGAAAGGTAGCTGCGATAAAATGATTGAGATTATAGATCGTTTACACAAGACGTCACGGCGTCCAGAACGTTGAAACGACGACCAGCACGGTTAAATTGGTAATGGAAATTCTTAATAATGAATAATACTTGTTGCTGCTTCAGCCTGACCTTGTCAAGGAAGTTTGCAAACATAGCAGGAGTTTCTTGGTTGTTTTGGAGTATTCCACCTCCTTTACTGCAAGTTCCCCTACAACTACATTTAAAAAGGAGAAAAATGAAAAGAAATATAACGTCAGGAAAGTGGGGTAAAAGTTAAGAGCAGAACAAACTATACAAAACTGCACGGTGTAAATTTTTCTTAGTTATTTTCATGTGAATACGAGTTACGACTTCTGGTAGTTTATTGGTGTTGTGTGTTGTTGACACTAGGGACTTTCAGCATCGACGACGGCGACGGCAGCGAAAACGTCACTTTTCAAATGAATTGGCGTTTTTTCAAACTTTTTCGCGTTTATTCCAATTCGCTGAAAATGTCCAAAGTAGACAAATTTCTCAAGATTTGATTTCTTTGGGACCGCATTCAAGTTAAGAAAGAGAAAGAAAATTTCGTCGTCGCTTATTTACGTCCTCCATAAAACGTAAAAATAGGCATTTTCGCGTCGTAGTCGTGCAGTGACGGCTAAGAAATGTACAGAAAAGCGTGATGCACGTGCAAACCTGTTGTTTTGCTTAATAAACCTATTGCTGTTTTGACGGTCTCGCTTCCGTCGCCGTCGTCGTCGCTAAAACTCCCTACTGTCTTCTTGAATTCGTCAACAGATTATAAGTGCGGCATGGTAAACAGCAGGGAGCTTAAGCAAAGACGACGACGACGGCAACGAGAACGGTGAAAAACCAATAGGTGTAGATTAGCAAAACAACAATTTCTCACGTGCATCACGCTTTTTTGTACATTTCTTTGCCGTCACTGCACGACAACGACGTAAAAATATATAATCTCACGTTCTGTGGAGGACGCGAACACAAGACAATGACTTTCTTTTTCTTTCCCTGAACTTCCATACAGTCTTTTGAATTCAACAGTACTGCACAAAAACTTGCCAACATCTGCCGAACAGAACGAGATAGAATAACCGCGATAAAGTTTAACGCCGTGAGAATTCACGTTTTAAGTGGCGTTTTCGTAGCCGTCGCCGCCTTTGCTGCCTAAGCTCCCTAGTATCACTGACAGGACAGTGGAACTCCAACGATTTTAGTTTAACGGTCGCAGCAAAAGATTTAAACTGCATGGTCACATTTTAGAACTACGTTTACAGACGCAAAAGTTAGAACTGCCTTGTACAACATGATTAAGAGACCGTGCCATGTATAAAAGATTTGCTTAATACCTGGGTTAACACCGGTTCAGTGTTGCGGGACTGTTTAAGCCGGAGGGGGGGGGGGGAGAGAGAATTCTGTCACAGTTTCCCGCGAAACCTCGTAACCGAGCCAATAAATAAAGAAATAGAATCCCCAAAGCATTCCCATAGTACTGTTCGACACAACACCAACCCAGTCTGACACTCGACCTTAAAATGTCCAATTTATGACTGATGACGAATACCTGTTCTAATCAATCTTGAGATGGTTTGGTCCTCCTATTAAAGAAGAAAACAGAAACGGTATACCCTTTATTACTGGTACGCATCGATTGCTCAATTTTTGCGTCATATTCTAGAAACTTCTGCTGTACATTACCACGTTTCAGATTTTTGAGAGGTGTTTGTGTTTACCATGTTTCTTCGCCATAAGTGCTCTAGCAGATTATTCTAGTCTGCACAGGCAGCCCAAGGGGCAAAGTATCACTTGAGTGACATATGGTAGAGTTTGCGGTAACCGGTCTTATGGAGTCTCCCATGATGCGGGCCGTTCTTTCTTCCTGATTTCATTCCGGCCCTTAAAGCAGCTTAAAGTAATCTCCCCGGAATTTACGGCATTACGGCATTGGAGTTATCAGTGTTACGGCGAAGTTACGGTTATGGATGTACGTTCATCTCCCCAAACCTAGCGTGCAGAGGAGGCGTTGTTCTTCCACGTTTCCCAGGCGAGCAAATGCAATCGTCAGTGGAGCATAGACCACAAGACACGTGCGCAAGAAGGCTCCTTAACACCCCAGTTTAAAAGAACAAGAAAGGTATCTGTTTTAGTGACTCGGCAGCTTGTAATTGACTTAGTTATTGTAACTATTAAGTACAGTAAGTGTACCCAGCTTCCGATAAGCACCCCTCCTAAAACTAAAAACTACGATGTAAGCGCTCCTAACAATAAGTGCCCTACCTGTCACGCCCAAGAAAGAACCAATTATGATACTGATCACGTATAAGCAGCAAAGTAAATTGCGCAGCCTTTTGACAACATTGCTTGAAAGTGGCAAAACAGAAACGAACTGGATTTATCCGAAACTGTATCATTATGAATTTGTTCGACACACGCAAATTTGTGTTTCTACAAGATAGACTAAGAGTAGTCCCCCATTTTTCCCCATGGATAGTAGAGCGAGCGAAACGCGAGCGCGCGTGAAAATCACCCCACGTGAGAAAGGCGAGACGCGAGGCATGTCGCTTTGTCTCGCATTGGGTGATTTTCACGCCCGCTCGGGTTTCGCTCGCTCTACTATCCCTGAGGACAAATGGGGGACTACTCATGGTCTACTACAAGACGATGTACCCCCTTTTTGCTATTTAACATTTTTTTCAGTTCACGTGAAATAAATAAATTAAAAAACAATTTATGGAGATCCAAATTTGAGTTATATCAGTTTACCTCAGAAAGTGGTTCTGAAGGATTTAATGGAAGATCCATGCGTATTGATGAACCTAGAAAGAAAACAAAAAAGAATATCACATCAGCTTTAGTGAACATGGCGTAATGTTTGGTGCATTTACCTTTCAGACTTACCTTGTTTTCTGGCCATTAGATTTCCACTCAAAGTTTCAAATGTTATTTCTGTATTGGTGTTACCTAAATGAAAAACATGAAATGGAAACAGCATTTCTCCCAGTTTAAAAAAATTAAAAGTCACATTGTTTGCAAGTGTTGACAAAGTGCTAGTAAGGATACTCTGCAAATGCAAAGCCAAATGCAAAAAAAAAAAAAAACTAGAAAAGACTGAGAAAGTAACATTTTAATCGGTGGTTAAGGAAATGGTAGCTTTATTTACAAGAACACGACCTGGGCCAAGTTGTTCGAAAGAGGATAATGCTATCCTATCCACTGGATAAATCTCTATCCATTCAATATACAGTGTTCCAGGTTTCCCTAATACTTCTGCTAGATAGTGATTTATGCCGTGGATAGCAGCATCCAACATTTGAACGACTGGGGCCTGGTGTCAATTGCATTTATTTTAGGGGGAAGTTGTGCTTTTTTCAGGGACTGGATTTAATTTAACATATACTCACCCAAAACATTGAACAAAACTGCAGCTGATGCCAGTGTTGCATGTCCACACAGTGGAACTTCACATGTTGGAGTGAACCAGCGCAGACCAAAACAAGAACCTGAACAAAAATTGTACCATCATTATATGCATTCAGTTACCAAAATTATGCATTACCTGAAGTTTACATGTACGGAAAATCTCCCGGATTATCAGGGAGTCTCCTAGATATAGCACAAATCTCCTGGTCAACATTGACGTCTGAACTTTTCTGTGCCTTAGTTTGGAATTTAGCCCATTTATTTCCCCCTAAAATTCAAAACATTCTTTGATTCAAAGTCAGTTTTTGGGACATTTTTACACTTGTTTCATCAGTGATAGAGGTTATTTTTCCAAAACAAATTTTGATGGTATGTAGTTTGTGTAAGACTTCATACAATATTATAAGCCACACCCATGCTATAACTTGTGGAATCGGTCAATTTGTGCGTTTATTGCAGAGCCAGCAGAGTATTTTGAAACGTGGCGGAGGGGGTTGGGCTCATGTTCCACTCAGCTATGCGTATGCGCCAAAATACCCTTGGCTTTTTTAGTTGGCAAAAGCAATTATATTTCCAATCTTCACAATGACAATGCATCCACAGGCAGTTGTTAAAGCTTGTTTAGGAGGTCCTGCTTCATGGTGCTTCTTACATGTAGGTAGTTCTTGAGCTGTCTGAGGGCAGAAAATGTGCACTCTGAAGTCACCTATGTCACAGGTAATGTCAAATTATACATCCGTAAAAGTGTTTTTGGGCACCAAAATGTAAGGGGGCTCTGGCACCCCAAATTTTCGTTTGGGGGGCTATGGCTCCCCCCTGCAGCAACCCCCCCTCCTCCACCACCACCTGCATGTATGTAATGGGTGGGGGCTTTGGTCATTCAAATCTTCCACAAGGAAAGGGAGGAATGCAGCAGAGAGAGGCTCTAGAGTTTAGATCTCTAGACGTTGACATCTCTGCGTTTGTCCCTGACAGCCATTCCCACTATGCCTCTAGTTGAAGGCTAATTGAAAAAAAAGAACAACATGTATGGAGAATTTGTATCTTGATCTCAGAGATAAATGGGTTTTAAAAAACACACTTGCAGAAATGTTCTGACCTTTGTCGTATGTATCTTGGTCATTTTTCTCCAGGACGAAGGCCGTTTCGGACAAGTTCATTTCTTTGGCAATCTTTTGTAATATTTCATCATCTAGTTGCTGCACAAGGGAATCATTAAGATCTATTAAAATAGTACATTGAGGATCATGTGCATGACTAATTTACTAGTAGGTAGAGCAAAAGGTAGAGCAAAACTCACAATTTTCTTTCCCATCCAATTTGAACTCATGACCCTTTCACGCCGCGCCTTACGTTATCGATCACGTTATCGCGAGATTTTAAACAAGCCAACCCGGCTTACAAAGTGAATTCTGAACATGACTAAAGATAACTCACTTTTGATCCCACGAGGCAAACTGCGGCTGGATTTCCACAAAAAGGCTTACTTGTAAAAGCATCGATCACGAACATTCGAAAAACTCTCTCTTCGTCCGCCATGTTGACTTGTGGTCATCACCAGGCTTCTGCTCGGCCGATACAGACTGCGTGCGAACAAGTGGGGATGGGTGACGGGTTCATGAAAATTAGTGGCCGCACACTACACTGACTTCCAGAGGTTAATTTTTTCTTATCTATACTGATAGTTCGCGGCGAAGCCACGACACGACAGCGAGGCACGAAGCGGGAGCTTTCTCAAACCGTGAGCACGGTTTATTTCATCTCATGCATTTCGAGAACGGAACTCTAGAGCCAGGGTAGCAACACACGTGATCTGTTTAGTTAATAATTCCGCCTGCAAACGGCAAGCCATCTCTCTCACTTTTCTTTATTATTATTTTTTTCCATCATTAGAAGTGGGACAGTATAAACGCGCGCGGCAACAGGCAAGTGGCCGAGAACGGAACTGGGGGGCTGCTTGTTGTAACGACTAGCGGTGACTGGCGATTCGCATAAACATCGTTTCGCTGACATCGCGCTCGCCTTTATTGTCTTGCGAAACAAAACGAGCGCTGAATTTGTATGCACCTCGTTCCTTCAGCCATGACAAGAAAAAGTCAGATAACTATGTAAGACGTTGACGAACAGGACTTTGACGAGACGACTCAGCAGACATCTCTGGCAACGTGAGAGATATTGAACTGCTTGACTGGTGTCAAAGGCAAGAACTTTGCAAACGTTAAGTAAGATTAAGCTTATTGAGGAAGCTTAAGGATAATACTTCAAAGCCAAGGCCGAATTATTTATTGTTTTGATATGTGTCTTTCAAGAAGAGGAAGCTACAAAAAATATTTCGACCAGAAGCGAAATGCACTTGTGCCCCATAGAAGGACTACGAGACTCAAAGGTAAGCCTTTCCAAACATGGTTTCGTAACAAACGGATATTGCGTCAAGTGCTAGTCTCTCGCCAATTCAAAAACGACTACAGTATGACTAGTCTTTTTTAAATACTCTCTTTTGCCCTCCGTGTCTGAACTTTCTGCTTCATGGTCAAAAACTCCGTTAAAAAAGTCTCCTTCGCTCTTGTTTAGAGTAGTGATGCCGTACAGCTCGTAGTCTGCGTAGCAGACGGACCTGCCACTCGACACCTAGATAAGGAACTCGAAATAGTCTGTATCGGGGATTTAGACGGTGGTCTCCAACGCAGGCGATACAGCTCGATACATCGTTTTTTAATATGAAAAAAAAGATATAGTTTGAAGAAACTTCTGTCCAGCTTGTCTGAGAAGTACTTATTGCTCAAAACTTCTCCCACAAAGATAAAAAATAATTGTTTTGAGTACCGTGTTGTTGGTGATTGCTGGCGCGTCAGCACTGCCTGAAAATACATAGTTAAAGGAAGAGCTTATTGTAAAAGTAAAGATTAATACGGTTACTATCTTTACGAAAAAAAAGTGCAACTCAGTAGATTTAACTCTAATATCACTCATTTTCCACTATAAAGTAATTTGTTTTGGTCTGTCTTTTTTTATATAAAATAACAAAGTAAAGAAATTAAAAAGCTGAATTTTATTTATTTATTTTTTGCATTCTCAAACAAGTATCTTTAAGCTTAACTTTACCAGTCCAGTAAAACAACTAAGAATGGTTTTGCTTGACTCAATTTTAAGTAAGGTTACTAAGATATCTGCGCACTACCCTTCCCACCAATCAAAAAAAGCATCTCTATTTCATGATTTACCGCACGCATTTTCCCGCGCTTCGGCGCCAGCAGGGCGCGCGCTAACTGCTGCGGACCGCGTCTATTGTAAAGGGCTGTGATATTCAGTATTGTTTTCGGATAATGTGCTGAAAAATAGATGCTAATTCTTGTTCTAAATGGAATCAATATAACTTCCTCACCACCTAACAGCTGAAATATGGTTTCTTAAAAAATTAATTTCAATATTTATTTTTTATATAATTGCTAGAGTTGTAACCATCAATTGACCGTATTTCACGAACATTCAATCATTCCATATAGGGTTTCAAGTTACATTTTAATAGTCCGTGTCCGTAGTGAAGAATGCTCAAGTGTTTCCCAAAGCTCCCCTCCTTTCTTATCCCAAGATAATCGTTACACTGTTTTCCTGCTTGAACTGCGTGTTAAATGCTTTTTATATCACCAAGCAAATACTCCGGAGAATTACAAGCCAGTAAACTACATCAATTGTTGTTAGATTCATAAACTACAATAGTGTTGAACGGCGAGTGTGGAGAAGAAAGAAAATACTACTCGGACTTCACAACTACACCATCGGCTCCAATGTACACCGGGAAGATGAAAAATTATCGGTTTGAATGGTGACACCATAGTATTTCATCCACAGAGCTTAACGCTGAAGTTACCATTTACAGCGAAGTAAAAAAGGTACTATGTACAGGAAAGTCCTAGCTCATCTCACTATAGCTCTAATTTACATGGTCATTGGATCAATTTGGGAGTCCCCAACCGATAAGGTATATTTACTTGGAGGATGAAACAGAGTTGTAATAAAAGGCTTCGCACACAAATGTAAACTAAAAGAATCTTAGATTACCTTGTACAGTACAATTAAGTTGTAGTAAACAGTGCCACAGAAAAGTACTGTTCAGTAGCTTTAATTTTAATGGTCACAATTCAGTTTTTAATCCACAAACTTCAAGTTTAAACCACCTTGTACAGCATATAGTAAACAGTACCACAGAAAAGTACTTCCCAGTAGCTTTCATTTGAATGGTCACACTTTAGGATTTCATCCACAGACTCAAAAGTTAGAACCAGCTTGTACAGCCTAGTAAACAGTACCACAGCAAAGTACATTAGCTTTCACTTGAACGATCACACTTAAGCATTTATTCGCTACACACAAAACAGCGGCACAGGCAAAAGTAGTCTTTTTCAATGTTGAACTTTCTGATTGTGACTTAAAACCAGTACCACATGAGATCCATAGATTTTGGTTCTTAGATCAAGCCTACAAATCTGAAAAAATGAAATAGGCATGAATAGAACTTTTCTAGTGAAATTTTCTTCCCCGGGATGCATAGCTTGGAATAATAACTATCCCATACCTGTGTGTCTAGCTGTAATTGCAGACGAACTGCCTAGACCAAGTCGTTTGTTCTCGGCGTTATAATCTGCCCTGTCTTAAGTGTGTTAAAGTTCGATCTTAGGTCACGAGATGAAGTCTTTTACCTTGGAATCTGTGGATCAAACAGTCTCGCTGGCTCTAAATCTCCAGCTGAAAGCGAGAACCTGTACGAATTTTTTGGCGATGGTATAGGTCTTTTGTTGTTCCAGGACGAGGTTACAACGTTGGAATATAAACTGATTTCAATCGTGCATTCTTTAATAACAACCAAAGTACTGATCAAACTTGGGTAAAAAAAAAAAACGTGGCAGGTCCTTGCAAGCTGGATGTACTTAACCTGTAGACTCTTGTTTCTTTTTGTCCTTTAGGCGTTATCTATTTGAAGGGTGAACTGGGGTCTTAGTTGCTGATCCCTACACGTGTATAACACTCCATGAACCACACGTTATCTTCTCACGGTGCACCCACTCTCATAGAAACGTTAATCAGCAGAGATCTGGATGAGCATGTCTTGAAATTATTGGAAAAGGCCTTAAGGTATTATAGTTCTCTCTGATATGAAGGTGTGTTGCCATGCTCTGTTTGCCGTCTACTCACATGTGTCTCGATAACATGAATGTCTTGGAAAATTGCCGGACTAATTTTACGGGCGTGTGCCATTGTCTTTCAAAAAAGTGTTTAATATGTTGTTTTTTTCAGCTTTTGCCACACCAAAATGTCGGATTTCAAATGGGTAATTAGGCATTTGACGCCACTAAGTATATTGATCTATTACACCAGTGAGGTGAAGGTAGCGTATAAGCGCCCAAAACAATCACATTTCAAAATTCTAACTCAAACATGTTTCACAAAGAAAAAGCTGTACTTCCCCTTCAAAAAACGTACACTCCCTGCCTGTCTCAAATCGCCCTTTGTGATTGTCCAGTCTTTTTTATGTTAAAACACAAAAAAAAGGGCGCGAAGCTTTCCCCTGTATCTCTTATTTTATTTTTTTAGTTAAAATGTGTAGATAATAGAAATTTGTGTATGAAATCATCGTACATGAGGGCATTTTAAGTTCAGTCACGTATTGCTCTTACACCCTGCCAGACTGTGAGTCTGTGGGTGGAATTCTAAGAGTAAGCCTCGCAGATGAAAACTATCGGTCAGAACTTTCCAGGGGTGCTGTTTGTGTTGCAATATTTTGCAGAACGAGCATTGATATATTTTTTCACTTATTGACGTGATCGTCATAAGTCTCATCAAAGGAACTGCGAGGCTTAGTTTAAGATAGGAGCACCCGTGTACAGAACACTGATACCTCAAGTCTAAGATTTGCAGCACGTGGCTTACATTGTGATCGATGTCATTATAACGCTGTTACCTAAGAAATGAACAGATTTGGCGAGGCTTATTAATTGCTAGGTATTGTTGGTTAAATTCCGAGCACATCCACATAACAATGTTTATTAGATTGAGAAAGCTTTCGGTCAGATGTCCAAAACGTGTGCACACAATATGACCAAAACTCCACCCTTACCGGTTTTGTGTTCTAAGATAAAGAGAAGATGCTAAGCTTGTAAGCGCTTGAAAATATCAATTATTCACCATTTGGGATTCTAGACATGCATCTTTTGTTAAGACAAAACAAAAGGCTCTTTTTCACAAAACATGTTGCGATAGACATGGGGAAATTTCAGCTCGAGGTAATCGTACAATTTCTGCGCTCACCCTGCACTCTGGTGCAGTTCACCCTTCACGAACGCTATATTGGACCGGTTAGATCACTGGAGATAAGGGTTCCATCACGGAAATGCCGCTTAAAAACAAAAATAAGGTGATTAATATATCGGACTATGGCCGTTTTTTCAAGTGACAAAGGTTGCCAGAGGCTTTTCTAAGCATTCTAGTTTCGGTTAATTTTGTACTTTAAATAGGTGATTATAACACGATGCTGAATAGGAGAAGTTGTTGTGGCTTTTGAAAGACGTGTTAAAACATACAAAAATCTGTTGGGAAATTAATTTTAACACAGGTTTTCTAAACCAAAATAAAATGAGTGTAGTATTTTCGAACTTTAAACAAAGTAAACTCTTCAATTTACTCATCTTTCCTTATTAACTTAAATATTCAGCGAAATGCAAATTAGATTTTTGGCCGACTGTCGACAACAACATGTGGAAAACTTGTGCTGCAATAGTAGGAAATAGTTTGAATTTCATGCTAAAAAATATAAATTCCATTTGTTATGTACTGAAGTTGGAATTTACCGCTATGATTTCTTAGCAATAAAAAAAAACCCAGTTTTTTTGCGCATGCGTATTGATGTTTAGGATGTAGCGTTTGGTCGATTTTTTAACAAAATGCTGTTACGGTTTTTTTTACGCCGAGTCATGTTGAATTTTCTGCATCCCAAGTGCCGTTTTTGGTGTGATTTAAAACTTCCGCGGCTATTATCGAAAGTCTAACCTTAAGTAGTTTGTGCAATTTCCTTTGTTTTGTCTGAAAGAATTTTTTTCTATTACAAAAATCCTTTTTATACAACGTAATGAAAGTGAAAGCGGCGAAGTTGCTGAATATTTTGTTTTGAAACAAAACTCTCCGGGTCGACCTTGGCTACCTCTATAGTCAATAGAAATTATTGGCGATATTGAGGCTTCAAAAATCTTGTCAACTTAATTGCTTTGTTATGACAGTTCCTGAGAAACCTCTCCGACTTCACAACAAACTCACATCGGCGGCGCGTTTATGCAAAAGTTTCACTAATTTGTTTTAGCGTATTGTTACTTCCTTTTGTATAAAAAGCGCTTCCATCGTTAAAAACAACACGTGAACTAGAAATCTTGCTCATTTAGAAAAACCACACAGGCGAGACGGAGTCGTCTGAGACTGGAAGCAAGGTAGAGTTTATTTTGTAACGTTTAATACTCTGGATTTATATTTTATAGTTTATATCTAAACATCATAAACATGCTAAAGTACAAATTTTGTTAACTTATAACTTGACCTAGAAAAAAAACACAAGTGTTGCTACCTATAGTTTGTGTCCTTCTGATGGTCGCATACATTCAGTTACTTTTAGTATGTTTAAATTCAGAAAATTGTCCCACGATACCTCGAATATAGGAAATTGAGTAAAAGCTAAAAAACTGTATCCCCCGGCTTTTAAGATTTTTCAGAAATTCATTGTAAGATTTTCTTTCTGTTCGAGCAGTTGTGCTAAGTGGATATGTAATTTGTTTTCTTTTAGGACTTTAGAGATGGATGAAATTTTTCCTAACGGTTTTTACAGCGAAGCCCTTTTTAATGAAGAATTTGTCGAAGAGAGCTTTCGTCTTGAAAATGGCTCCTGTTTAGGCTCCCTTGCAGAGCTTCCATTAAACTCACTTGTTAAATTCAAAGATAACGATCTTCCTGCTTCCACTGACCCAGTACAATATCATCAAATGACCACTTACTCGTCTTGCACGAGGACAACCGAAAGTCGCCCATTATCTGGTTTTCTTCAAAGTGGCAAAACAGAAGGGTCTTTGAACGGAGTAAGTGACATTTGTTTGGCGGGAAACACCGCTAACGGCACGTGGAACGCAAACGTCACGCACACGGAAGGACGACCGGGACATGCTCGAGGACAACCTCTGAAAAAGATACGGCGTCTCCGCGCCAACGACCGCGAACGACGTAGAATGCGTTCCTTAAACCGAGCCCTAGAAAGCCTCAAGAAATGTTTGCCTGTACCACAGAGTAAAAGAAGAGTGACAAAGCTTGAGATTCTCCGAATTGCTTGTAACTATATACGATCCCTTTCTGACACTCTTAGCGAAGACAGTCAAAGCAGCGAGGGCCAATCCCGAGGGAAAAAGTCGCGATCCCGAGGGATTGTTAGTGATCCCGTTGTGAACGGTTTCTCTGTCGCCCAGCGATTAGAGATTTTGTCTGGAAGCAACTCAAACCGTATTTAACCTCAACGAAAGTTATGATTAATAATCATCTGGAAGACTCTAAAGTAGGTTTGATAATAAAATTGTATGTTAACTTTGTTTTGGCGTCCGGGAACTTGCGGGAAAAGGGGAGCGAAAAGTTAATAACACTAACAAATAATTATGTCTGGTTTTTATCAAATGTATCTTTGAATTCATGATAAATACAGCTTCAACAGCTTCAAATAGCGTCTACCGGCATAATTTCACGCGAAAATACATTAAATATTATAATTTTCCAGCTTAACGTTGGCGCAGTGGTCAACTAACCGACCTTCCGTGCAGATGTTCAAGGCTTAGTTGTATTATCTTTGTTGTAATTTTTGTTTTGTTTTGTTTTTGTTTTTAATCATATTTTCCCCTTTGGCTCGTCTACCTTTCAGTCTTACTGCTGGCCTATTACAGCTCGCGAGGTTTTTGCGATAAACATATTTCTAGTAATGTTTATACTATACTAATTGTTGAGGCTGTACAGCTGCCCCAGCTCTGTATGTTGTCGATCAATTTTGGCAAGTCCTTTTTTGGGTGACTTAATTTATAAGTAGGGATTTTTTGGGGTATTCAAAACAATCTAAAGATTCGTGGTAGTGCCCTCGTATCCCTGACGCTTTGGTCTGAGAATAAAGTCGACCAAACTTGTTTTTAAAAACTTTGTTTTTCGTGTTTTATCGTTTAATGCTTTCTGGAAATTTTTAAGGCTCAGAAATTAGGCACGGGATTTTTTGGGGGTTAACTTTTGGTCCAGGGATTTTTTAGGTTTTGACTTTTGCTCCCATTCGACCATCCTTGAAATCCGGAGTATCCCTCACCCTCTGGGGTTTCCGTGCACTTATTCAGGTCGATTTACACGGCTTTGATAAAAACATTCTGATCAGTTTCAAGAATATTTTATTCTAAACCACAAAAAGAGATTTGATTAGAAGTGCTAATTTTTGGCCATCTCTCTTTCACGTTTTGCATTCGGTTCATTTTCTTAGCCGGAAAGTAAGCCTTAGAAATTAAAAGGTTTGACCAATTCACGCTCGCGCGTTCCGCCTGCGCTTCCCGCGCGAGTTTGTGACGTTGAGGGTGTGCAGTTTGTTCTAAAAATAGCAAATTTGACTATTTCGTTGGAACCCAATTATGGCTCCTAGGCCCAGTTGTTCGAAGGCTGATTAGAGCGTAACCAGGGTTTCTTTTTCTTGTGTTCAAAAGAATTTTCTCGGATAATTTTCTCTGTTATTTTTAAAGCTTCCAATCATCAACTTGAAGACAAAAAGAATTAAAACTGAAATGCTTTTTAAGCTTTCAAATCTGAATTCAAATCCAGCACTAACCCTGGGTTATCTTAACCCAGCTTTGAACAACTCGGCCCTGATGTTTACTCATGTGCTAATCAGAACAGGAAAGAGTTGTGGTTTGGGTCATACAAGAAGTTCCAAATTTCAATGTCACACTCACATATTTTGATTTCCTACTCGCACTGTGCGAAATCTAGCCTGCAAGCAAGCTATCCGGGGGAAGAGGGGCTCTGGAACTCCCCACCTCCCTAGAGAGAGCTTTCTCCCCGGGTGAGTTACTCCCATAAATTGCGGATAGGTGTGTGCCGCCCGGGGTCTTAAACCCTGGCCCTATTTAAAAGTGAGACAAACGAAAATTTACACTCCATTCAAAGCCCAAACTCGAAAAAAGACTCCCTATGCGAGGAACTGAACAAAGGATACGAATTTGAAAATGAAGAAATGATCCTCGCAGTGAACGTAATTTATGCAATTGCGTAAAGAAAACCATACCCTACCGTGCGGCACATACCGTAAAATTCCTAAAATAAGCTCTGGGGCTTATATTTTTCAAAGGCCCTTACATTCGGAGGGGCTTATGTACGGAGGGAAATTTGCATGTCAAAATCGATTGGGCTGGCCTTATTCTTGGAAGGAAATTTACTGTTTTTCTTTGTTTTACCCCGTATTTGAGGGCAATTTCCAAGTTCAAGTCCTCGGGGGGGCGGGGGGGCTTATATTTGGAGGGGCGTTTCAACGGAGGGTTTTTTGCGTTACGATTTTATCGGGCTTATATTTGGAGGGGCTTATACATGGAGGGGCTAATTTTCGGAAGTTTACGGTACTTATAGTAACTCCCTTTGCAGACTGAGTCAAATCAAAGAGGCTGCCATTTTGAATAAATCTCGCCCTTAGTAAGGGAATCCGAATTCTGGACGTCAAATCCGGGAAAATTTTGCATGTGGAATCCAGAATACAGCTCAAAGAATCCAGAATCCCACTAATGATTGGAATCCAGAATCCAAATTCCACTGACAAAGACTGGAATCCAGTAGCTAATAATAATAACGCGAATATTTATACAGGATAACCTATCAGTTTTAATAAAAAGAACTGTTATCAAAAGGGTCCTGTAATTATCTCATAAATAGCTAAAAAATAAAAAATAAAATCGAAAGAGGAAAATAAAATAACACTAAGGAATCTAAGATTCAAAAATCAAAATCTGTAAAAATTATTGACTTATAAGACTGAAAAGAATTGTGAATTATGGAATACTATTGAAAAAACTCTTTTAAATTACTCTTAAAAAGAAACCTAGAATTTAAATTTCTCATATGCCGAGGTAAAGTGTTGTAAACTAGAGCTCCTTGAAAGTCAAAACTTTTCCGTCCAAATTCTAATTTGGCTTTGGGAAGTTTTTCGTGAACACCCATTGTTTCTAAAGTTAATGTTGTGTGCAATTTTTGTAAAATATCTGGAATCCAGAATCCAAGACTGTATTGGATTCCTTTACATGGGGCGATAAATCACAAAACAAATATTGGAATAGGCTTTCGTATGATATGGAGAATTATACTGATCTCAGAGATTGTTCAGTCCCTAAAATGTTACTTAAAAGATAAACCTTTCCGCGACAATCTATGTTGCAAACAGGCATTTTCTCATCAAGGTCGTTGCCGGTTGCCAAAGTTTCCCCCATGCCCTTTTCTACGCAATAGATTGCTCTTGTCCCCAAATCTTCTGCAGGCAGTGACTTAGGCTCAGTTTCCAGCCCTGGGTAGGGAGTACCGTGGGTGTACCGATCGCGAGATACCCACGACTGGAGACTGAGCCTAGCAGTGACCCTGTTGGCGCTTTCCGCTGGTAGCAGCTTGCAACTTGCACCTATCCCGTAGTCATGGTGACCGTTCGGGCGCGACGGACCTAGCAACCCTTTCCCTCTATTTAATTTTCTTGTTAGCTTTTCTTCTCCGCTGGTTAGTGTTCTGTAAAGTCTGCTTTTGATCAAAATAGCCTGTAAAGCCGGAGTTTGTCTTTGGCTTCCATAGCATGAAGGTAGGATATTCGTATTTCCTCTAATAAGCGGCCATGCTCTAATAAGCGCCCCCTCCTCTCCCCCACGTTCTTAAACTGAGTAGGGACAAAAGGAATAGTTGTTCCTATTGCCTCTTTATTGATGAGATAATCGACATTTGATGATGATGATAATGGTGACGATGATGAGATAATCGATATCAGGGCTTCTGTCGATATCTTACCCACGCGCGGCAATAATGTTGTAGTATGTTTGATTTTACCAAAAGAATATAGAGATAGAGCTTCTTTTTAATATTAAAAACGGTGATTTCGGCGCGATTTCTGTCACGGAACGAAGCTGCACCACGCCGATCTGCAACGTAGAGAGTCACATATCGGATAGCTGTTCACGCTATACCGGATAGCTTCTGCGCATGCACGAAAACCATACTGGATAGGGCTCCTATTCACACATAAAAACGGTGATTTCGGCGCGATTTCTGTAACGGAGCGAATCTGCTCCGCGCCGCTCTCTTAAGTGGAGAACCACATATCGGATAGGTGTTCATACTATACCGAGTAGCTTTCTGTGTCGGCACGAGATGCTATCCTCTACAATTTGAACATAGCCTTAAATAGGTGTCCAAGGGCTTATTTGATGAAATACGGTATTTCTACTACTCTTTCTACGGGATGGTTTAATACCCCCCCCGCATTAAATTCGCCGATACCCATTTCATCATCGTCATCATCATCTTTATTTAAAAACACGGTTAATACATCAGGCATTAACAATTTAATATAAAGCTACAACTTAATACGAAACTATGTATACAGATTAATCTTCTATAATTTAAAATATTGCTAACTATTAAAGAAAAGTAAAGTAAGTTAAAGCCTGTTTTACATGAATGCCGCGTGTCGGAATTAATTAAGAATCGTCGGAAATCAAACTCGTCCCCAGGGCTTTTCCCTCAAAAAATGGGTGGGCCCCACCCATTTTTTGAAAGAAAAGCCCTGGGGACGAGGTTGGTCGGAAATTAGTCAGAGATGTTGCTTGCCTACCCGGGGGGGGGGGGGTACTCCCATACATTACCTATACAGGTATGTGCCGCCCAACGGGGTCTTGATTTTGAAGCTCCTGATTTAGAACGGGGTATCCATTTCAGAGGCGTTTTCTAGAACGGGGTATAATATTTCGAACGCACGAAAGCTCCAGTTTTGTAAGCAGCCATTTGAAATTACTCAAGGACAGATTGCTTTTAAAAATTCGGTTCAATGCGTTAACAAGCAATCTGTTATACTCTTGTTGCACCCTAGAACGGAGTATAAAAAATTAGCCCATTTCTAGAACGGGGTATCAGTTTTAGGGCGAATTCTAGAACGGGGTGTAAAAAATTGGCCCATTTCTAGAACGGGGTATCAATTTTAGGGGAAATTTTTTTTAGAACGGGGTGCCAATTTGGAGTCCCGGGCGGCACATACCCACTCAAAAAATACCCAAGTGCCCCCGGGATTGCCTAGCAGCTGAGGGTAGTATATATATAGCTCTGGGTAGTATAGAGTGAGGAACCGTGAAAGTGTAATGAAAGGCTCGAGCGCAAATGCCTGAAAAACTCTGAGGGGATTTTAGCTACTGGAAATAAACCAAACATGGTATCGAGGGTTTTAATAGTCCAAGTTTGTCTTTATTTTGAATTCTAA